TACATAATATAGTCTTTGTTAGCCTATTAGTGTCTGTTAGGCTAGTTGAGTCAATAAAAAGTTTGTAGAAAGTCCAATAACTTCTACCAAAGTTGTGTAGATCAATATCTGCAAGTAGTAATAGACTTGGACTTGACTCTTGAAACTGAGCCTTGGGTTGTAATTGCTATTTCTAAGGTTTTTATTATAATATGTTGCCCAGTGGTACTCTGGTTTAGTACTCACGGCTGACAGTCTTGTACTGTTAGCCATCCCATAGGGTGTTGTTTGGTTTTAGGACATGGTTTTTTTAAGGCTTTGAGCCCAGCCAGCTTCAATTTATCTGTTCAAGGTTTTCTGTATATACCATCACTGCAAACACTATTCAACTTCCCCAATTGGGCAGGAGAAAATGATTGGGAGTATGATTTGTCATAAAATGATCTATCACTCCACACCTGAGACATAACACCCACACTACATATGTGTAGAAGGCTCAGTGAATAGGTGATTATCATGTACATACAGTTTTCCTGAGTTATCTGCTCATCAGGATATGTTATTCATATGTAATACATGCTGTAACTTTTTTCAGATTGACAAAAGCATTCAAAAGATTGACTACATACACTGACTCAACGTTTTGGTGTAATCTCATCAACTCAACTGCATGTAACACCCTTTCTGTTACTGAGAAATAGCTTCAACAATAAGGGTACTCAAAGTAAGTATGTAGCACTACATACGTTTTGCTACATACTTTTTTTGGCGGGAAAAAGAAACAAATATACTTTGGGCCTGGTTTTCCCCACCAAAAAAAGTATATAGTAAAAAGTATGTACACATGCATACTTACTTTGAGTACCCTTAATATTCCCCGAGCAGCTACAGAATTATATGTATGGTGGGAGACAGCAAAGATAAGGAAAATCCCAATCAGTACTTTTACCCGGTCTGTAGTCCCAAATACAGTTGAAATTGCTGTAATCATTGAAATCATATGTAATTTTGTAAATCAATAGCCCTTCCTCGATATCAATTGACTTGATATCACCACTCAAGACAACCTGATGGCTCTTTCCAGGTCTCAGAAGGCTCAACGTTATCGACAACGCGGCAATTCACGACCTAAAAAGAGACCCAAGTATCGAAATGAACCGTGGCGCAATCAGAGCTCTGATGAGCAATCCGACTCAGACCTTTCAAGTTTAACATCTTCATCCAATTGTGAATCAGAAAGCGAATCAGACCTTGATGAAACTAACGACTCTGAAGATAGATCTGAATCCGAAGTTGAACTCAAATCTCAATCTCAATCCAAAGACTCTATCCCTCACCTGCCCCAGAAAGTTGTCAAGACCCCTTGTCAGATTGCTGCGATCAACCTGGAATGGGAAATTCTCAGAGATGCCATTGAAGAGGCTGCAACTTACTACAATGATTTCGAAACCTCAAACTCAAAGGCCATTCAACAGTTTGATGAACTATCAGAGTTACGTGATTTCAATTACATACGAAGAGAAATGGAACTTGCTAGAAAAGGAACTGCATCCATGGACGCCTCGATTGCAACAATCAAGAGATCTCTTCGGCGACAGAGAGCACCTTTAACCGGATCCGAAGTTGGAAAGTCTCACGCTGAGAGGTTAAGAAAACAAGCGTCACATGTCATCACTTACAAAAGATTACCCATCCAAGGAAATGGCTTAGCCACCAACCACTTTTCAATTCTAGATGATATGGAGGTGTCTTGAGCAATTTTTGAATGGATATCCACTCATAAGGTTGGCAAGGTGAGTGAGTCTTATCTCAACTCTTGTCAATTATGATTCAACTGATTTTATTTTGTTCTCTTTCATCAGGTTTTGCCCAGGATGCTTGTAATTCACCTTGCCGATGTGATCCTACCTCGGTTCGATCAGTACAAAAGTCTAATCTCCGATAGAACGGCTCAACGTTGGATGCACAACCTAGGGCTTACGGTCAAAGCATACTCAAAATGCCTCTATTACGATGGACACGAACGTGCTGACGTAGTAATCTATCGACACCAATATGGCAGCCAACTCAAAGAACTTTGCAAGCGCGAAGTTCACTACCTTGGACCAAATTGTGATGAGATTGTGTATCCTGAACTCAAAGGCTCGGATCGGGAGATTGTACGTGTTTATCAAGATGAGTGTACAATTCACACTCACGAAGAACCTCTGAAGGGATGGTTTGCGGAGAAAGACTGTGCTTTCAAGCGCAAGGACGATGGCAAGTTAATTCACACATCGGATTTCACTGAAAAAAAAACATGGTCGACTCGTGGTACTGGAGGATTCCAACTGCCCTCTTCAATTCAAGGACGCTGCTGTCGTGATCTACCCCGGATCAAATGGGGATGCATACTGGAATAGCCTTCAACTTCAAAAGCAAATTGAAGAACGAGCAATTCTGATTTTCAACTTTTTGAATCCTGGATGCCAAGCTTTGTTCATCTTTGACTGCTCGTCTGCGCACGAGTCCTTTGCACCAAATGCTCTCCGAGTCAAAAAGATGAATATGGGATCTGCTGGTGGACAACCTCAACTCCGAAGCACGACCATTCCCACAGACGATCCCAATATCCCTGAAGGCCTTCGTGGATAAGTCCAATCAATGAACTTCCCTTCTGACTATCTCGGCATCAAGAAGATCAAGAATAAACATGATCTACAGCTAGCAAATGAGCCCAAAGGGGTTCAGCAAGTTCTTGTCGAGCGGGGCTTATGGTCATTTCATAACGAGAAGCGCGCTTCAAGAGGTCTCAAACAACTTAATCTCAAGTGTGACCAATGTAAACTTAGCGGACACGCCAAGGAAAAAATTCTCAGAGCAGAACGTCTCATTCAAAATTTTGAAACACCAAATCCTCAAGACATTATGGACTCTGCCGAATCTGTGCCAGCCGAAGGTCAAGGCCTTGACTGTTGTGCTTACAAAATCTTATCAAATCAATCGGACTTCAAGAACAAAAAACCAGTGCTTCAAACGGTGATTGAAGAAGCTGGTCACATGTGCACATTCCTCCCGAAATTTCATTGTGAATTAAACCCGATTGAACACATTTGGTGCTATACAAAGGGAGGCAAGTTCATTCAATCTACATATATTACATAAATTAAGCAACTGCTAACAAGATCAAACAACATTGAAAACAAAATTTAGGATTTCGAGATGTAAGCCACACAGCTAGTACCCTACAACAGAGTAAAGCTCTATGGGAAAAGCTTAGGACAAGCTGTCCGGTGGTGACAGTCCGTTGTTTTTTCAATCGATGTGACCAAATGAGACATGAACTAATGTAAGTTTTCTTCTTCACTTCAAGGAATCAGATTTTGATTTCCTTTCCTTTGATCGATCTGTTTAGGGAAAAACACTTTGGTCCAGACCCTACCGCTACAATTTACAAGTCTCATCGCCGCATCTGACTTTCAAAAGGTATCAATTTCCAATCACCAACTGCTTTTTAAAATCGATTTTTTACTTTTTTTACTTTTGGTAAGCTCAATTTGGTTATTTCTTTCTCATCTTTTGTCAGAGTGTTGTATCATCGTGTCCTCAGCAGCCTTATCATTTTTTTGTATGATTACACACACTGAATTGTCTAATATACACGTTTTGAAATATGAATGTGAAGTCAAAATAAAAAAAAACAAAAATCTTGTCGGATCCCTACAAAAAGCTACTTTTGAGATGCTCTGGATGATGGCATCTCAAAAGTAGCTTTTTAAAACGATACCTTGAGAATTGCAGGCTGGGCTAGATTTTACAGACTGCTAAAGGACCGACCGGGCTTTTCCTTATGTTTGGTGACTCCCACTATAGTGATTCTTTGGGGCAATTTTTTCCAAGTCAAAAAAGTTACATGTGGTATAACATGTGATTTATTTATTCTGATGGGCAAAAAACTGAGCAGACCTGTATGTACATGATATGTAGACAACTATTTACTTGGCTTGATGCACATATGTATTGTGGGTGTTATGCCTCAGGTATGCAGTATTGGATCATTTTATGACAAACTGTACTATTAATCATTTTCCTCTTTCAACTTAGGGAAGTGTTTGCAGTGCATTGTTATATTCCTCTCTTTCGCCGTGGTTACTATGAACATTCACAAACCAGTTCCCCTGATTCTGAAGGTTAATATAATATAAAACAATGCCAAGGGATCAAATTATGGTGCAGGACAACAGATATATAGAAAGGTCAAAGCATTACTTTTACATGTAGAGCCCTAAATTATACAGGAGTTGATTTTTTTCATACAGAAGGAACATGAGTTGTTCAATTGTCCTGCACAGCTACTTTCAATATGCTTCTGAAGAGGTCATCTCAAAGATAACATGGGCTCCTTAAAAATCTGAGAGTTGAGGGCTTGACTAGATTATGTAGATTGATCAGGATTTTCCTTATCTTGGGTGTCCTCCACCATAGGGAATCTCAAGTTGACCAAAAAGTTCAACTTTAGTGGTTTGTACTTCCAGTGTTGTGAAATTTAAAATTTTCAAAGAGACTAATCATTCTGAGAAAATGAGTCAGTGGTGGGGTTTTCCTACGCTTTCGTCAAGATTAGGAATCTGTCCATGAGCGTGAAATGGGCTCATGTAAGCAGTCAAATGGATGGATGATCTATAACAGACACTAGATACAGTTGGAGTTTGGTTTTGAACCAAACACAATCACTTTCATAAAACTTGTTTTGCATGACTTTGATCTAACTTGACCACCCCATTGCTTGAGCCTTATAGGCCTTTGATACCCTTTAGAAGACGTTTTTGATCGACAATTATCTGTCTCACTGGCACGGGCCAAATAGGCGAAGCTACCTCTTTGGATTTGTCAAAAGACAGTTGAATTTACAATTATTTCATTCTAGAAAGTACAATCATGAACAGTCTATGGAAGGAGCAACCAAATGATTCGCCCTGGAAGAAGTAGAGGCTAGACACGCGACGAGAATGTTTGGCCGGGATGTAGCTTACTGGCTAACTCTATTTCATGAGAGCCTCGCGTTCGGCCAAGACCTTTTTGATAGCCGGTCTTTCAGTCATCTTGTTGATCCACTTATCCAAGGCTGGATGTTCCTTTGAACCATCATAATTTTCCAAGATACCAGTGGTTGCATGACGGTGCCAAGGGATGAAAGACTGTTGTAGAAGCAGAACTCATCAGAGGCAGACTCAACATCAATCGAGTCAAACACTAACCAAGTCGGCAATGGTGTATTTCCCCGCAACTAGCCATTCCTCTTTGCTTAGGACACTTTCTAAGACGTCAAAGACTCTTCTAATCTCTTTTTCATAGCGCTCGATTGCTGATGGGATTCTGTAGGAGGATCAGACCAATCCATATGTCAGTGAGAAATGGTACACATCTAAAGGGTTGCTCAAAGAGACTTACTTTTCAGCGTGGTACTTTTGGAACCATACCGCTTGACCGAAGTACGGTCCTTGACCAGAAGCTTGGAAAAACAACCATTGGAGTTGTTTGTACTGAGGTGAAACGTATCAAACATGGCCTATCAGTTGATATTTGGAGGATTGCATTCTTGAATGGATTGTAGAATTTACCTTTTCCTCCGGCTTGGTGACAGATAACTTGCCTTCCTTGTCATAGGTGTAGACAATATATTCGAGAATCGCGTTGCTTTCCCAAAGACTGAAATCCGAGTTTCTGTTTCGTATGTGACGTTAGTGGAGATATTCATGGTAAAAAGGAAATCTGGCCCGACCCACTTGTGATCAATGATGGTAGGAATGCGACTACAAAATTCGGTAAAGTGAATTATATCATCATCAGATCATTCGGAAGCAAATTCAGACTACAGAGCACTTCATGTGCTAGGTCTAAAGATTCTAGATGACTGACCCATTTGGGTTGAGCTTGACATGTTCAGGCGACTTTTGTTCACCTTTTTGAAAGTCGACGAAGATAGTCTCATAGCTAAGACCGAGTTCCTCGAGGAGAAAGGCCACCTATAAACATAGAGAAGTATGAGTATCTCAACGATTAGTGAGCAAAATTGAGATTGTATGAGTTACACACCTTCCATCCGTTCGGACCACCCTTTGAGGATGATGAAAGATCACGTAAGACAAGAAATGAGCCTTGTTTATTTCACTGGAGCCTTGTGTTATGGATCAAGCAATGAGGTGATGATGATGTAAAACATACCTTGTGACTGTAAAGTGTGAATTGTTTACCGTGAGACATGATTGCTAGCTATAAATCAAAGAAGTTCAGATAGGAATCCGTGAAGGAGAGAAGAAGACAACTCGATCTATTAAATAGTGATTTTACCAATAATTGGTGGTGATGACTCGATGACGTAGGTTGTATTTCTTTACTCTGTAAATTAATCAAAGGTTCATCAATTTCTTAATATGGAACTTGATGATTTCCCTTGGATTGATAAATTGTAATGGTACATTACTGACATGTCGGTTTTTGATTGGTTACGCATGAAGAACTCTCGACAAACAAGCCAATTTCATGATCATCAGACCCTCAAACGCGTGTGGATCGTCCGTGGATGAGTCATCACAAATGAATTCCAACACCGGACGGATCCCACAGCGGGCATGTCCAGCGGACACACGGTCGTTGAGCTGCATGCCATGTAGATACAATTCACGTTAAGGTATTTCACTTAACTAGACCAAGTCTTGTTCTTGCAAGGAAACTTGAACATCACAAGCGCGGCTTCATCGGAAATAGCTTGTTGACCGACTCTTGTGAATATACGGCACATCGAAGATCTTTCGTTCGAAGAACACTCGTTATCATATGCGCAAATATCTGTCGGCTTCGATCGTTGAGCATCGTTCCCATCCATTCATGCCTGGTTAAGCATTCCCCTTTTTCCAGAAGGAAGATGATCAATGGTATATGAGAGAACATCGATGCATTCCGGTACACAGTTTTGCATATACACGCCTGACTTGGGCTCATTTTTTGTGATGATTCCATTGATCACTGCTATCCAGAATCATTTCGTCAAAATGTTCCTCGTTTCGATTCATCCAGAAGATGTAACTTCGGATTCAGACTACCGACGCTGCTAAACAGTCCCGGGCGTATGGGAATCCCTTGCGGCCACGCTGGTCGTTCGAGGTGGGTTTCTCTAGGTGACTAGTCCATCAACCCATCAACGTTGCCAACAATCTTATTTTGGTCTTCCGTCCCGGTAATCGAAAGAACCTAAGAGTCTGCATTGATCACCGTTTCCTGGAGCGATATCATTGGACTTCAAGCGGTTGAATGCATGAATCCTGAGACCTTTCAACTTTGACACTTTCTACCAAAATCGCCTTACCCAGGACTTGGATAAGCAATTCACATCATAGCACCGATTGTAAAGAGCGATGGCGCATGCTTTGATGAACACGTACTCTCATGGGTTTCGATTCAATCCACTTCGCCAACTTTTCGTTGTATCTCTGCTCGCCTCAATGCCTTCAATCCCTCATGCACAAATATCTTTCTTCACACCGGCCCCAATATTTTCAGGTCCACCGTTTCTGAAGGACCAGCAAGAAGATAATCAAATGTTATTGGCTGCCACTTGGCAGATACTGGTATTCTGTCTACTAGTGCGTCATCCTTATCCTATCTCGTGACACACTTGTTCATTTTTTTCGTTTTACAGGCTGCATTATTGGCTTCCATGGTCTCTATAATACGTCGGGGTCCAGAAAGCTTTCGACAAGGATGGTTTCTATCAGAAAAGGCAAACGACGTCAAGCCAGTGATTGAAATCGTAGTGCCAGACGAAAAAAAGACTGGAGGTCTACGTCAACTTTATAACACGACCTTTCTTCAAAATATACCATGTTGTAAAACGCTTACCCTTGGTCAAAGCTTGATCTGTGCTGTAAGAGACTCTAGTCTTCATCAATAAACACAGTAGTGGACTCTAAAGTCGAAATTTTGGAGAGTTCAGATATTCTTAGGCCTCATCATCATCATGAGCATACTCTCGAATCCAACACCACTACAAAATCCACGAAGGTTTGGCTACCTTGCGCTTATAAGTATAGTAGTAGCAGTTTTGCTTTCGATGAAAAACGGGCCATTGAGTCTGGCAGGGATAAGCTACGAGAAGGTTTGTTTCAAGACATGAAACGTTTTTTTGATTCGCCTATATCCTTGTTCTGAAAATGACTTCTGTCCTCGAACGGGTGCAGATCAACTTTCTTCACAAATTTGTGGGAAGAGTTGTGACCGCTGCGGTCACTGTACATGGAGGTCTATTCTTGAAAATGTACCTCGATGGAGTCATCAAGATTTCACTCGCAATGTATATTGGAGGTGGAATGTGGATCGCTCTGTGAGTACATTTAACGACATTTACTTCTCTGATTTCTCGATGTACCTTTATCCGCTTATTGACGTGAAGTTGGTCTTCAACTCATAGTGTGTGTATGTCAATAACTTCATTCCAACCTATCAGGAAGCGGTTTTATGGGCTCTTTTACTGGGTCCATCTATTGGGATACAGCGGCATCTTTAGCGCTGCAATGTTTCACTCTCCTATGTTGAGACCCGTAAGTTTTTATAATCAGAAATGATTGGTCTTCGAGATAAAGTATTGATCTCTGTGAATGTCTTTGGACTGTGTTAAGTATATCATCTCGGCGATTGTACTTCATTCAGCTTCAACGGCTTGGCAACTTTTCAAAGCAAATAAGATGAATGCCACCCTCACCGCCTTACCTGGCAAGTTTGTTATGCTTGAGATTCCCGGATTGAAATCAGGTTGGAAACCTGGTGAGCCATTGTTTTTGAAAATTCACTGATGAAACAATAGCTGACCAGCCCGCATGTACGTATCGATTGGACGGAGTAGGACAACATATCCGAATCCGAATGGGTAATTTCTCGCAAATCCTCCAAGCACATCCGTTCACAATAGCCACAAGTTCAGGTAATCCCTTGATTTTATACATCAAGGTTTCTGGGAGATTCACTCGAACCATTTACACACACGCTGAAAGAGCCCAAGAGGCTGAAGAATTAGAACTGAAGCCATCAAACCATTCAGATGTTGCTACACTGCAAGGAAATGAAACTACTCAAACAGAAGGAGATGATGCAAGTGAAAAGAGGAGTTCCCTTCCCTCAACAAATAGCTCCACAATTCGATTATTGGTTCAAGGGTGCGTGTATGATATGGTCTCAAATCCTTGGCTAAGCCGGCATTGTCTGATCATACGTTGACTTTTTTTTGTTTGAAGTCCTTATGGTGGAATGGGACCGCACAGTATGAAGGATTTTGGAAGCGTTTTCCTGTGTGTAGGTGGATCAGGAATCTCATATCTCACCAGCACAATTATGGATATTGTGACAGAAAAGATGAATGGAAGATGTTCAACCAAACGGATCAAAGCATTGTATGTTTTGCAAGAGTGGGGTGAGATATTTTTTTCTTTAATGATACCCTCTTCCCATCTCTCCAATCAAGTTGGGGAAAATATTTACTTTGAGATTAGGAATCACCCTTATTTTTATAATTAGGCATGAAGTGAGATAGAGAGATGCTGATCTGTCTTCACTTCTTTTCCGAACTTATCATCTTTGGTGACATTTACCTTGAATTTAATCTAAATAAATTCAGATGCCGCTCAATATTTTGGAAAACTCTTGGGGATTCAAATGGAAAGGGCTGAGATGTGTGGAATCGATTTTGAATTACAAATCTTTGTGACAAAACAAGAATACTCAAGATATTCACAAAGAACATTAGATGGGATCCAGGTGTCTTGGTCTAGACCCAAAGTTAATGACTTATTCAGAGAATTTCTCAAGACTGTCACTGGTGGATGGGGAGTTGGTTGTGGTGTATGTGGTCCTCGATCATTATCCGCAGACTTGAGGAAAGCAGTGGGGGGAGTTTCAGTAGGGGACGCTAAACGGCTTGGTGGTATCACATTTTACTCGTAAGTTTTTGCTTAAATTTTATCAATCTCTTTGAGAATGATGTTCATTTTGCCCATCCTTTATTTTTTCGACTCCAGGGCGGACTTTCTTTGAGTTTGGGAGATCTTGTGACATATATTCAACATATACGAAAACGTGAAAAGCATGTAGTCACTGAGATCATTTTGAAGTGTTTGACTGGGAGGAAGAAACAGTAGATATTCACTTGGTTGGTCAATTTAAAAAGAAGCGAGAGGATGTGAAACCAATTGTATCCAGAGCAAGAATCATATTTCCTTTGATAAGTTGAAAACTTATTCAAACTTTCCAAATGCTTGTTTTTTGCTTCTTGAATCAGGTTTGGATGTTTAGTATGATTATGTTTTGTGTGTGTATTTCTTGATCAGTACATAGACACATTGTTTAGTTTGAATGAATTGCCAATTTTATAATGCATGTAGATTATAATGATGTCATCAAAATTTGTAGTAGTCAAACAAATTAACAATCTATGAGATAATCAATATCATGAATGTGGTTTGGGATGGGCTTATGAAGAACTATGGTCTACAATTGGTGTGGCACTTTTACAGATCAGGGTAAATTTGAGAATGAATCTTATGATTTTCCACTGTGGAGTCCCTTTCAAAAAACCTTGATTGGTGAATTGATGGCTTGATAAGCCAGGGTTTTTATGGTGTACACAACATTTTCGGAGGGAATCTTTATTGGGAGCTATTGGACTAGTGCTAAGTATGTTTTGAGGCTTTTGATCACCTTTGGAGCTTTGTTATTTTGAACATTCATGATCATCAATTTGTTGAAGCCTGCTTCAGACAGCCGGCAACTTGAGGGATAGAGGACAGTGTGCTGCTTGATATTCTTATTGTAGGATGTCCAAGAGATTGGTATATGCAAAACCTCTCATGTATAGAGTGAAACTCAAATGGTCAAGTAGCCCATCCATCATGTGCTATGACATCCCAGTGATTCATGATATGTCATGACACAGGGAAGTTTTCGAGTCTGGGGTATGCAATTTCAGAGTGCATATCCAATTTGAAGCAATCAAGACCAGAAATCAAGAAGTTCTAAACCACACATTTCCTGATTTGAAATTCCAATAGCTTCCTTGAAGTAAGGAAGTACATAATGTGAATTGGAAGATACGTTAACAGGACGGGGCTGGCTCACTGCCTTTACCTACCAAACAGGCATTGTTTTGTGTTCATGATGCCAGTGGTCCTTTTGTTTTATTCTCATTTGTTCGAGGTCGAAGTTGATCCAAACCAAATGTGCTGTACTTGCTGTGATGAGTTGAAGTTGTCCTTACTAATACTGCTGTGTTAGATTAACCTGAATCCTATCATGCTGTGAATTGATCGACTTTCGTCCGACTTTGAGTCTGTTCGATCAAGGGACTCGAGTCGTTACCATAAATTCTGAGTTCATTCACTTCATTTGATCTGACATTGCTCAAGGTCTCTTCGAGCGAACAAGTGGCTCATTACCATCGATATTCGCTGCTTGACTTGAATTGACTAGTTTGACTTATATACCATGTCTCATGGGAAGCAGTTCACGCTTTATAGTATCATTGTGAGTGCTCAGCTTGCTTCGCTAAACAAGCCGTTTGACGATTCATGTAACCGACCTTTTCTTCACTCCTGGCGATCGTCAACACGAAAAGGGTGGCACAAATGGAACAAAGGTATTGCATGTTTCCCTCTCATTGAGGCTTTGTTAAGCGCTTTGAACTAAACGGCTTCGGAACATATAAACTATCTGATGCGCAGGTGACCTACCTGCTCGAAGAGCTTGGACTAACTTACGATACCATCTATCTGGACTACCGAAAAGATGAGCAAAAGTCTCCTGACCATATCAAGCTCAATCCCAATGGGTAAATAATTCTACCTTGAGGATCCATTCACATTTCACTTTCAATTCTGTCTTACTGACTTCCTTTTTGATGGCATCATATCTCAATTATCAGGCGAATTCCTACGATCATTGATCATCAGTTGAGTAATGTTCCTTCTGAAAACCTTCTCGAACCATGATTTCCGCTGTCTTCGCTGACTTGGTTTTCCATTATTGACCTACGACAGAAACTCGGATTTCTCGTTATGGGAAAGTAATGCAATACTCCAATACTTAGTAGATAAATACGACAAGGAAGACAAGTTCTCAGTGACGAAACCAGAAGATAAGGTATGATCCCGTATGATGTATGCGTGATATATTCACTTACATCTGACTATTTCACGCACTCTTCAATCTCAGCACATACAATCACAATGGCTATACTTCCAAGCTTCTGGACAGGGCCCTTACTTTGGTCAATTAGGATGGTTCAAGCTCTATCACCCTGAAAAGTTAAGCGTTAAAATCATTTTCTTTTCCCACGGCTTCCCTCTTGAGCCACAATTGGCCACCCAATTCATCTGCTTTTGTCATTTCCTATCATCCACAGGTTTGATTCTGCTATCGAACGCTATGAAAAGGAAGTCAAGCGAGTGTTTGGTGTCTTGGAAAGTGTTCTGAGCAAACAGGATTGGTTGGTCGGTGGTAAATACACTATCGCAGACTTGGTTCGTCCATTGATTTCATCTACATCTGCATTTGGGTTCTAATTCACATCTTATATCTATAGTCCTTCCTTGCTTGGCACAACATGGCTGTGAAGTTTCTACTTGACAACTATGATTGTGCAAAGGAATATCCCTCACTCGACAAGTGGGCGAAGAGAATGGATGAGCGACCAGCAATTAAGAAGGTCAATGCGCATCTGGAAGCTCTCAAAAAAGCTCAGGATTCAAAGGAAGGCTAGGTAACAGAACATGGCCGGTGATTGACCAAATATACTGGGAGAGAATGGCTTTTATACCTCCTCTGAATTCATTCCACTTTTGGTTTCAAGAGGCAATGTTGAGTGCAAAGATTTTGATTAGTTGAGATTTTAATGATGCTCTCAAATCATCATCCTTACCATTGATGGTTATATTGGAATCATGATATGATGACAAACTCTGGAGTGATAGCATCATGATAGACTGACTTTAGAGAAGGTTTGGTTCTGATAGAGCCACACTGGTAAGTCAATTAACAGGGGTGGAGACAGTATAAAAACTGATCTGTGACCTACTTTATTTAGCTTCTGTCTCATCTAAAATTGCCCTTGAATATATGTAGGCTTAGTAAAAGAGATGCCTACCATAAATTGAGTAATCCAAAGGATGGAGAAGTGTGGAGACATAACATCACAAAAAATGGGAAGAGTGACAATGTTTCTCTATCAGATGACAAGACTTCTAGAAGATTTGAACATGAAGCTTTTGACACTGATGTCTTTTTTGACTTGAGCCTTCAAGCTGGAAAAAAGGAGGCCAAAAGATTTATCCATGACATTCAGAAAAGTGATGGAAGGAGGATTGGTAGTTTTTCTATCCACATCCTCCATACATTCCTACTTTCAATCCACAGTTGATTGCTTATGATGACCTGAAGTTTATAGTGAGCAAGTGAATTACTTGGCACTGGTGGCCAAAGGAACGACATCATTGGTGAGGTCCATCGTGACGGGTAACGCAGTGTATGAGAGAGAGAACAGGGCCGGGTAGTACGCGGCCCACTCACAGAGTGAGGCAGTACAAACTATGAAAAATTTTCAATTTCATAGTTCCGCACGCCTCACAAGACTCATACACTTCAGCTTCGAATCCTCAAATCTATAAAAGATTTCCAACTCCCAGCAGAAATAGTTTATTTCAGTTTTAAAAATGGCATCACAAGATCAAAGCAGCACACAAATGTTCAACAAAGATGTAGAAGACATCTTATCTAAACACAAACAAGGAAGAGAGAAAACAGATCAAGAAATAGGTGGTGCAAATAGAGGAAGAGGGAAAGGAAAAGCAACTAGAGGAAGAGGTAGAGGCAGAAGAAGAGGAAGAGGCGGAACTGCAACTACTAGAAAAACAAGAAGCAAAACTAAAGGGAAGATTCAAGAACCAAAAGATGAGTCGTCAGGAGAGGAAAGAAATTTGACGGAAGAGAAGGAGGAGAGTGGAAAGGAAGAAGGAAGAGGAGAAAAAGACGTACCTGGTGGTGATGAAGAAGAGGAGGATACCGTCTTGCTAGGTAAGTTCCATCAAGAAATTCTCTCTATTCAATCATAGTTCTCTCTTCCTCCATGGTCCAGAAGTTGTGAAAGGCATAGGGTGTAACCACACGGGTGGAGCAAACCGCATATGATTCGAGTTAGAAGCGCTGTAACCACACGGGTGGAACAAGCAAATGGAGAGAAGGTGCAGCCACACGGGTGGGACACAAGAGATATCTGGTTAAGAACCAAGGAAAGCAAACAGCTTGATATATGTCCTAGAGTGTTAGAGATCCTGTCCTAAAGTCCTCGAATGTCTTAAATCCTAAAAAGTCCTGGAGAGTCCTGAAAGCGTAATAGAAAAGAAGTGTGGATCAGAACTAATTCAATGAATTATGTGCCTTGTGTGATAAATAGTAGATGAAGCAGAATTTTCAGCGGAAGACGCACACATTGATAGAGAGCATGAGCGCTACATCTCGGAGTTGACGAAGCATTATAAAAGAGGAAACACGGGAAGGTTTGAAATCCTGGAGCGTGCATACGCGAGATGGTGTGAAAGGATTGGGACAGATCAGAGAGGTGTTCAAATGCTAGACGCATCGAGTGAAGAGGTGGAGGTAGAAGTGAGTGAAACCAAGAGGAAAGCAAAGGAGAAAGTCAGCAATAAGCCAGCTAAAGTCGGAAAGAAGATGAACCCGGGAGAAGTCTTAACACACAGATTAATCAATCTAGCGCCTTACTGGGATAACCGTATGAAACTAGCGTTTGGTTACGTACTGTTGACCATTTTCGTCCCGGCATGGTTATTAGCGGATAAAAATCATATGTCAAATAGGAGAAAGCAGTCGTCATTGTGCTCAGATGTGGTGGCGTACGTGGGGTTAAGAGTCCCAAACGAGTGGTGCCAAAGTTTTTTGATGTGGTCGACATTGTTCAATTGATACATGCAATATTGGAGGCTGAAGTATGGCAGAGAAGATATCGCAAGTAGATTAGAAGAGCATTATAAGATAGTGTTAGCGATAAAGGACAAATATCACAAAGCGTTTGCGCCAGCGTTAAGATACAACATCACTCACAGGACCAATGTTTTTAGTCACACGCTAGAAGATGGTGAACTGTCGGACGTCGGAATCAAGAATGAGGAGATAGCAGAACAAGCGATAGCTGATTCGAAGGCAAACGGTGATCATTGGTACTTCGATAATCCGTACATCGTGGGAGGAGCTATGGAAAATACAAATCCAGCAACTGGGAGGATGCAAGTCGGGTGAGATTTGTTATTGAACGGAGACAAGCAGATCACGGCAATAACGGGAGGAAGGATGCTATCACATCTAGCTCCAAGTGGAAAGAGCCAGAGTCATCAGGTGAACGGACAGTTCTTTTTTGAAGGAAATCAGTCACAAAGTTACCATCAGAGTGATTTCACAGAGGCGAGTGGAAGTAGCGGTCATGGAAATAGAGGTAGAGGTTGTAGAGGAAGAGGTGGTCATAGAGGTGTCGTAGGAAGAGGTGGTAGTAGTAGAGGTCCCTCAACATCAGGCCCGACCTCAGTAGTGAACGGAGTAGTGGTACCAAAGTTTGGCCCAGGAGCGTTCGAGGCAATGAAGGTGGCTAAGCAGGCAGGAGCAAGTAGTGGTGGTGCAGGAGCTCAGTAAGTGGCACTCAAGTTGTAATAGTTTTCCTTTCACTTTAGACAGAATGGAAGTGGTGAAGAACAGAAATAAGAAATTATGATTGTGTCTCGTTTCTCGTCTCCACATGTGTCCCAATAATGAAATGTCAATTAGACATGCTAGTATTGAGCTAGAGAAGCAGTGAGAAGTGAGTAAAATACTGAGAATTGTTCCATATTTTGTTTGCTTGGGGCGTTCTCTAGATCTGAGGAATTGAGAGAGTCAAATGAGAAGGTAGGAGAGATACAAGTGGAAGAGAACGAGGCAAACTCACCGGCTAAAACGCCTGAGGTAGAGAAGGTGGAAAAGAGAAGAAACACCAGATGGCCAGTCGGAGCAAGATGTGAGATGAACTTAAGGAAGTGGAGAGAGCTGGCAAAGAGACTCGGTGTAGAAGGACAAGTAGAGGATGTGATACAAGGCTTAGAAGAAGGCTTCACGCAGGGGATTCCGGAGCACTACTTATGGAAGAAGAGGTGGTGGACACCAGATAATCACAGCTCAGCAACGGCGGTGAAGGAGAAGATAATGAGAAACTTACAAAAAGAAAAAGAAGCCGGGAGAGTCTTCGGCCCATTCACGCACGAAGAGGTGTACAAGAAATGGGGATTCTTCAGAACGAATCCAATGGGGAGTGTGGTTAACAACGATGGATCTTTACGGATGATTAATGATCTTTCCTTTCCGGTTGGGGATGCAGAGATACCGTCGGTGAACTCCATGGTTGACAAGCATGATTTTGACACGTCGTGGGACGACTTTCACGCGGTGGCCAAATATTTTAGAGAACATTTCAAAGAAATTTTATTGTTAGCCATATATGACTGGGAAAAAGCTTATAGACAAGCTTGTACAAAAGAGGAGGAATGGAAATACCTGATGATCAAAGACTTTTGTAACAGGATTTGGATGGACATTGTGGTACCGTTCGGAGGGAGAGCCGGATGTGGGACATTTGGAAAGGTGGCGGATGCATGGAGATTGATCATTCAAAGACACCTGGGAATTGATAGGATCTTTAGGTGGGTAGACAACAACATGATAGTGAAGGTGAAAGGAGACAACTGAAGGATAGAGGATGTAGTAGAGTTAAGCACGGAAATGGGAGTGAAAACCAATTACGAAAAGCTACGAGACTTTGCAGAGGAACAAAAGTATCTGGGTTTTGTGTTTAACGGGAGAAACAAAACTGTGAGATTGCCGGAAGAAAAGTTAGAAGAAAGGTTAGCCGCAATCACGGACATGTTGGAGAAGGAAGGACCGTGGAGTTTAAAAGAAGCGGATTCAATTATAGGGAAAATCGTGCACCTGATCTACATTTTACCACACATGAAACCGTACATGCGAGGACTCTATGCGTGGCTGAATCCATGGCAAAAGACGAACGCAAGACGATACCTGTCAAGAGCGGCGAGGAAAGATCTACAAAGCTGGAAAGAAGTGTTATCCAACTTTGAGCCAAGAAGGATTATACCGGCGGTAGAACTGGAGAGAGTTGGTTGGGTGGGAGATGCAAGCGGCTTTGGGATAGGCGTAGTAACAGAGCACGGATGGGTGAGATTCAAGCTGAAAGAAGGATGGGCCACAAAAGGATTGAGGAATGATGAAACACATCAGGATATTGCCTGGGCCAAAACGGTGGCGATAAGGATAGGTTTGTTGATGTTAGAGGTGTCAATAGACGTCAGAGGGAGAAACTTTTAGGTAAAAACCGATAATACAACCACGGAGTCAACAGTACACAAAAGATGATCGAAAAGCAAATCGGTAAACAAGGAGTGGAAGAAAATTCAGGATTTGCTTTTGAGACTGCAGTGCGACATAACATAAGAGAGGGTAGACTCAGGAAGCAACAAGGCAGACGACCTATCAAGAGGCATAGGAGAAGACAATCAAGTGAAGGAGCGAATTAAAATAGAACTGCCGGAAGACTTGAAAGAACTGTTGGTAGAAGCATGATAGCCCCGAGAGTGGAACATAAGATCACGCTATTCCTGCAAGACGGACCGGGGTAGAGAGGTGGAGAGAAAATGAGGTACAGGTCCATTTTTTATCAGGAGGATGGGCGGATTTGACATTGATAAATTATAGTAGCGGAGTTTCGAAACTGATCAAGTTCGCAAAGGAGAGAGGTTATGAAAGGAAGAGTTTGTTACCGTTGTCGATCAACCGGTTGTATGAATTTGTAATTTGGGCTGGAAAGAAGCTGAATGAGGATGGAAAAACAGAAAAGAAAAACGAATCAACGACGACAATAGAAGTAGAAACGTTGAAAAAATATCTCACAGGCATCAAGTGCTGGCACTTATTTCATGATGAGGAGTACCCAAAATATGACGCATTGAAGTTGTTGGTGTTATTGAAGTCATCGAAAATAGCGGAAACAGCGATAAGGGAATCGGAGAAGGAACAGAAAAAACCGGTGTTATTGAAGCATATGGTACAACTCCTTACACTACACAAAATGTCATCTTTACTGGGCGGTAAAGAAAACTACTGACATAGAAAAGTCCTGAGGCAACAGGAAGAGAGCTAAAAATCTGAAAAAACATGCACCTTGTTCCTAGATGTTGGGGCGTCATGACAAGTATTTTTTTGTATTTTACACACAGATATTGGTTAATGTACTAACAATAAAGGCTGAGAATCATCAAAAACCCACCTGTAACAATACCTGAAATTTGGCCCTTGACTTTGAAGACAGGATTTTGGAATCTTCAAACATCAATAACTTTTGCAGTCCTGAATCAAATCAATCGATGTGAAGTTCATGAAAAAGGTGAGCCTTTCCTCTACATTTTTCATTGAGACATCACATCTGTAGCTGGTCTAAAAAAGATCCTACAGAGCTATTCATGCAGAACTGTTTGAACATATGTAGAGTCTTTAAATGACTAGATAGCACCTTACTAACATTATGAAGTGTGAAGGAGAATAGTTCAGCTTTTGAATGAACCACAAATCGAGTTATTTGGAGCAGAATTGCAAAAGTTATTGAAGTTTTTAGACCACAAAATATTGTCTTCATACTCATGACCCAAATTTCAGGTATTGTTACATGTGAGTTTTTGTTGATTTTCAGCATTTATTGTTAGTACATAAACCAATTTCTGCGTGTAAAATACAAAAAAATACTCATCATGACGCCCCAACATCTAGGAACAAGGTGCATATTTTTTCAGATTTTTAGCTCTCTTCCTGTTGCCTCAGGACTTTTCTATGTCAGTAGTTTTCTTTACCGCCCGGTAAAGATGACATTTGGTGTAGTGTTAGGAGCTTGTTGAACGGAAGTAATAGAGGCCAGGTGGCACTAACAATTGCATTGGTGGCATTCTGGGGGATGGCAAGATTAGGGGAGTTAGTATCAGATGACAAGAAGAAGAGACAGATCAGATTGAAAGACGTACAAGTGACAGGTAATGGGGAAAAAGTGCTCATCAGCTTATTCAACGCAAAAACGGCACAGCCAGGACAAGTCCAATACATCAAGTTGAAAGCACAGCAATTGTACTTAGACGCGGTGACAGCAGTAGAGAGGATGATAAGAGATAATCAAACGGGATCAGGTGATGTGTTATTCTCATATCTCGAAGAGAACGGTCAGAGGAGCACGATTTTGAAAGCTAAGTTGATGGGAATTTACAGGAGAGTGTGGAGTGCAGAAGAAGATGGAAAACGACTGTCAGGACACTCGTTCAGAGTGGGAGGTACTACATTTAGGTGGAATGAGAAGAGGCCTTTAGAAGAGATCAAGGCAATTGGGAGATGGCAGTTGAAAGCGTATCAGTTGTATCTGAGAAAGTATAGTAACAGACACCGTGTCCGTATCCGTGTAGCACGTCGATGTGCACACACCAAATACTTTTGATACATACTTGAAAGAGCCATTAAAGAGGTCTCCACAATAGGCATGTCTTCCCTTTGTCAACTGGGACGTTGGCACTCAGTTGACCCCAACGGCTGACAAAGGATCCCACAAATTCTTTTGTCAAATTATCATTCACAAAGGGTGCTCGGCACCGATCTCAGTCTAAAGCCTACCAAACACCTTTCTGTTTTTTATCAAAACTCTCCGTGTGTGCACGTCGACGTGCTACAAGGATACCGACATGGTGAGAGAGAAGAAAGAGACAAAAGAATTGTGGGATCTGTTAGCGTTTGAAGAAGGACAAGGGAGAGTGAAAGTAAGTGAGAAGTGCTTCAAACAATAAGAAGAGAAGGAGACTGATATTGGATAAATAATTTCCGAAGGCAGCGGGAAAGACAGAAGACTAGGAGAACAGTAAGAGAGGGAGTAGAATTAGAGTTTGGGAAGACGAGGCGATGTGCGGGGGCTGTACAAAGAAAGTTTGAAATGGAATCAGCCTGAGTCCCGAGACCGACACCCCGAGGGTTCCCCGAGCCCCGAACCCTTGGGGTGCGGGTTTGGTCACCTTTTTTGGGACCCCAGTACATCGGGGGCCCCGTAGGGTTCGGGGGCAGGGGGGGCTAGTCCTCAAACCCCCAATCTTATCCGCGGGGACCCCCGGCTTCCCGCGGGTTTTAGGCATTCGGGATAGGGGTCGGGGGGCCTTCTGGAAGCCGGGTTTTGATTGGTTTGGGTAGGGTTCGGGCGCGGGGGAGCCTACTGGATATCGGTTCGGGGTGCGGGCAGGCCATTACCCGCGTTTTGCGGGTCGGGGCTCAGGCTGAAAATGGAATGTGTCAAATTGAAGATCAGAGAAGTCGTATGGAAAATCTAATCACATGCAGCAGATCAATTGCGGAGATCTGGATGTTTGCCGTAGATGGGTTTTTGACGGGCTCAGGACGCCACCCGTCCAGAGATTAGGTGGTAGAAAACCCTTTTTCGGACAGGCAGTCCCCCGGCCTACGGCCCCCCACACACACCAGGTAAAGCCTGAATAAGGCGAAACCTAAAACAAAGATTGCTTGAAAGAAGAAAGGAGTAGAAAGAAAACAAAAGTTAGAAATTGTAATTAAAAACTGGAAATACAAAGTTTTAAGAGAGTAGAACAAAAACAATGAGAGCTTAAAACTATGCACAAAAATGAGAGCTGAACAAGATAGAGTCTAAAAGATGGATTGATTTATTCTTTGTCAGATTCTTAAGTTATGCTACTTCTCCAAATGGCACATCATTCATTAGGATGCAGAAGCAAAAATATATCAGAAGCTTCGAGAATCAAAATACCATTGTGTGGCTGCAAAGATTGGAAATATCAAGGCAGTACAACTATCAGTTATTTTGTATATAGATATGAATTCTGTCAAAGGGGATTCTAACTGTAAGGCTTGTCTAGATAGAAGCATTGTTGATGCCATGAACATGCTGAACAGATACAAGAACACAGCTATCATCAGAGCAATAAATTAGTTGTAATATAGAAATGGATAACACAAAGAATGAATAAAAGTTAGGGGAGCTCCTAAGTATAAAGATGAAAAGGGTATAAATTCGTGCGATCTGCTACGCAATGTAATCTAGCGTATGTGCAAGGTATGTTTGTCAAGTCTTACATACTTTGCTTGATACCCATATGGAGCATCATTTGGCTCAATCCTCTATCGACCTTTGCCGAGGGACATGAACCTTGCATAATTTACATCCGGCAAAACCAATTGATTTTTGCCTGGTTAGGTTGCTCGGACTTTTTGTAGCAGAGAAATTGAACCCCCGATTTCGGTTTTTGGACTTTTGCCTTTGAACTAAATCCGCATAGTCCAATCTAAAATAGAATAACTGACTAAAGAATCCAAATCAAAGAAGGTCAGTCATCTACCCCAGGACCAAAAGTGACAAGGTGTGGAAAATATTCACTTTTTAACCTTTACAGCAACTCCCAGGTATTCATCGGGTGCAATACCGCTGATAGGGGATGGATTTTTTACTGCATCATTAACAAATTGGATTTCGAATGCTGGGTTCTTGAAGTCCTTCAATCGAAAGATCTCTAGCAGGTGTTGCTCAGCCCCACGCCCATGAGCCACAATTTGTGCAATGTATTCAAATAACAATTCCTTGTTATGAATGTTTTGTTCCATGCTTTCACTTTGGAAAATTTCCATCAGCTCGTCTAACAGCTTGTTCAAATTGCTATGCACAGTAGGTGGGTATACCCATTCTACCTTCTTGTACTTGTCAAATGTTTTTTGAGGTACAATTGCTCCTTCAACCAGCATCTTCTCAAGGATCACTCTTCTGGCAGATGGAAGGAGGCGCGTATCTGAAAGTGGATCAGAAATTCATTGGCATATTGCTTTAGCGCGGAAGAACCGATCTTTCGGACCACTTACTGAATGTGAATATCTCGTGTGGATAATAATCATCGTACAATTTTGGTGCCAGGTCAGGATAGATGTCCTTTAATATCTGAGCCAGATACAAAGGACATGTGCGAAGGCTCTGTATCCAACGCTCGACCATCCCTTTTACATCTGGATCCAAATGCGAGTAAGCTAATAACATCTTCAAACTCTTTGCACCAAGCTCATGTGAAGCTTCAAAATATTCTGCCATCGCCTGTTTAACTTTCACATCATTGAGACCCAGCGAGCTTATATGTTTGATGCGTTCCACGTTTTCCTCGATCAAAGGTCGATTCTTTTGCCGGGAATCGAAGCATTTTAATTGACATTGTACGTTAGCACGTGACCAAAATCTCCTTGAAAGATGTTTCCATATGCTTATCTCATGATATTGTGAGATACGCAGGTGGGTCAACATGTGGTATGCCAGCTCCCGTTCCACAACAGAGTGTTTATAATACGCTGCCACCGGTTTTTGTTCTACCGTAGTATCAATTGGCTCAAAGAGTATCTTGATGTCTTCGATCAAATTCTGCGAGTCCACAAAGTTCAATGGGACTGGAAGCCTCAAAAAATCATCGTGAATCTTTACCAATAATGCGCTGGGCTCAAATCTGGGATGTTCCTCCATGATGTGGTTTCCAAACTCGCGCAGAGTACGGATCCTCTCAAGGGGTTCCTTCAATGCTATTGACGTTCCAACTTCTAAGTAACTTTCGTAAAGCTTCACCGAAAGGCTCAAAGGACTTACTCATATCACGTATCTCACGATCTTTGGAGGCAATTCCTGGAACCCACATCCTTTTCACCTCGGTTTCCAGAGCCTTCAAATGACCTGTAGTTTTTTATAAGCCCTCAATCTTAGAAACATACCAATGGAGATCAAAAAATAGCCTCAACGCACCACATAGCAGAAAAAGCTCTGCTTCGCCTTGAGTGACCTTCTCTCCTGCATGAAATGCACGTAGTTCTGAACGAAAGGTCTTTTTCATATGAGGCTTGAACCACGAAAGGATTCCAAGAGTCCAAAGCCTCTCTCTGGGTTCAAGAGAAACATCTTGCAAGACTTCTTGTGCTGTTGCAATACATTTCTTCAAATACTTCTTGAATGAAGGCTTGTCACAAACAGTAAAATCCTGTCCAGTCTTCCTTTCTATGAAATGACTCTCAAGCTGTAAAACCAAGAGAGCTAGAGGGTAAACCTTCGAATCTTCTCCCTGCTCGCTTATCTGTTGAGAAATCTTACGGTATGTGTTTAAAGATCCAGGCGATGGCGCAATGGATTTTTTACCCTTGATTAAATCTACCCATGGGTTCTGAATCCTTTTCTCCTTTGGTAGTCTATCAGCCATCCAAAATCCGTAGGCGAGGGTTACTGAACTTCCTCCTCTGCTTGATGGATTGTGGTATATTCCATGAGATGTCACTTCGTAAAGTTCATCATGATGGCGGCTTGGATATACCTCAACATGGTGAGAGTTTACCAGTTGACCGGGTATATGTTCTTCTTTTTGTACGGAGGTCTCGATGGTATAAACCACAGTCCAGGCAAAAGGAAGTAATACCCAGATGTTCATGTTTCTATGTGGCTCAAGAAGGCGGGCTATAAGATATACTCAGACAGGAGAAAAGAGATCACAATGTTTCTCCCTTCAGCTAATGGCATCCTTATATGAGCTGAAGATGAATCTTCACATCAGATTGATACTTCCCCTCCAAATGCTTGACCGGCAACGGCTTCAAAGTATTTTCTTCATAAAGATTAGGTTACCTATGAATCTCATGTGAGACTAACGGTATCCTTATTTGAAGTATTGCGTTGAGTACATATCGCTTATAAAGCGTGTGACAGGCAAAGGCTCAAGATGTTTTATTCATGAAGATCAAGATGATTATCTAATGCGGATAACAACCCCGCGCCTTGATATGAAGTATTGCCTCGAGTATCGCTATTGAGGTATGTGAACGAGACCCATACCCTGACCTATTGAGCCCTTTCATTCGGAACAGCAGTATACAAGATTGGATGACAAGTTTCCAAATGTCGATGACAAAGTGCAATTCTCATGTTCAAGAACTTGTACAATGTGATTTTGAAGGACATACGATGATTCTGTCATTTTTCTACACAGTCCGCCCGAGCTATCAAATCACCTCCACCTGTGAAACTGACGCAGTTCAGATTTTGTGATCTATGCAGATGATCTGAGAGCCTTCAAACTCGTCAAGGACCCACCGGTCCACCAGCTGCGAATCAATGGAGAACATCCTTCCACGAAACCGCGAAACTGCCTGTGTTCCACGCCGCATGAGACAGCGCAGCTAAGATGTTCCCCTTCCGTGTGCTCGGCCGGAAGGGCTGTGCTTTGTGATGTAAGAAACCTGCGAGACAACTTGCAAATTATGTTAAGGAGGGGCCATAGCGTGCAGTGCGACACCAGCTTCTCAGTCTACCAAGTCATGCTTACGTTAGCGCTACCAATGAATGGCTTGTCAACTTCCCAGAAGCTGCTTGATAGCAAAACCAATGGTATCTTGTTGATTCGTCTGATAGTTTGCCAAGCTACCACAAAGAACAGTAAGGTTTAGGTATTGTTCATTGCCTTTGTGGAATTCATATTTCACTTCAATTTATCAGTCTCAGTGAGTGGAAATCAAACTCTTCTCTCAAGAAATCCATGACTGTTCATAATATTGGAGTGATGACTGTAATCCATTAGAGCGCAACATATAACCTTGGAGAGAAATTCATTTTGGTTTAAAGCCAGAGCACCACAATCAATCAACACATCCAATGAAAATAGAAAAGACCCTCATCTATGTGCCACATTGCATCGATTGCGAGGTTAGAAAGAAGCAGATAAAACTGCTCAGCCATCGAAACAGAACCTCTTCCAAAACCGATCTTACAATCCTAGATGGAGAATTATCGATTTTTCATTAAGAACCTCAATATTAGAGCATTGCAGGGTCCTGCCAGTCCATACTCCCTTGTGACCCCCAGTGGCACTAAACAAGACATCGAGGATAGGCACTTAGAGTATTGCAGATGAAAACTATACACGGAAGCAACAGACACGAATAAGCGTTGTCCACGTTGTTTCCCTTCTACTCTGCATCAGAAGAGTTTGTCAAAGTATTTTTCCTCGTTTCAAAAAACTTCCGCCATATGTAATGATTTGTTTTTTCTCCTTCTCCAAATCGGGACGTAGCTTGCGCAAGTCATATCCGTACCCCACATAGTCCGATCACCCGACGTCTTGCGCATGTATGCAGTACGTTTCAAGGTGCGATGTTCCACTGCTTTGAGTCACGCTTAGCCATTAATTAAATTCCAAGTCTGAATTGCAATCAGCAAATAGAATTATCAAGACCCTGGTGCTCAAACATCGACCCTGTTTTGCTTCTCTTCTCGTCAGTACTGTTACTTACATCCTGTGGCACCCATAGAATCCAGCTTATCCTGACCGAAACCGAATCACATCAATGAGTGTACGCACACAAACGTTTCAGGGTCTTTGGAGTGAAAATTTTTGTATAAGGTCGCCCTCTGATCGCGCTCGAAAGATAACCATCAAATCCATTCCGCATCCTATAACGCCATCTTCATGAATCAATCCTGGCTTTTCATCTTTTGCGTCGCGACCCTCGTGTCTTCTACCGTGAGCCAGATCATCTGCAATGGGGCACCAGGCTTACGCGAATCCTCAGGCAACACGGTTGGTGAGTGTAATCTTCTTCTGTCCGTATCATCAAAACCCAAGTCCGTGTCACCCCATCCGATGGCTCATAAGGATTGTACTTGCTTCAATCTCACTCAAAATACCAGCTTGCTACAGCGCCCAGAAAGGTGGGGTGAAAGAATATCTGTGCGACTGGAGCTCGTGTTCCCAAGCTACAGGTGAGTGATTTATTTAATCCTTCACCCCAGTCCCCCGCCTTTTCAATCCATGATAGCCTAGCACTGACAGTCTTTGTCCCTTTTCCCACCTGTTGGTATTTCTATCAGCCACCAATTGTGAGATCAATAATCATGCATACACGCCAACAGAGGTGTTTACTTGTGACAAAGGTTACAACCTTCCGATCGGTATCGACGACAAGATCAGTGAGTCATCAACACTTTCCTTTCCTCGGTCAGACCCGCAACCCATATTTTCATTTCTCTATATGGGGTCACCATCATCTAATCTCCTACAAAAATTTCCTCAGATTGCAATGTCAACACCGATTACAACAAAAAGTGTGGCGGCAAATATAGTAAGTCAATTTCTCATAAGGCTTTCAATAATCACATTGTTGACTCACATATGACAACAACTTGTTTGTAGCGGAACCGTGTTTAGCCTCTCCCGCAGATTCATATTTCGCTCAATGCAAAACAATCTCTGTTCATTCGCGTAAGTCTTTCTCCCAATTATCTATCGCGATCAAGTAGCGTAGCATGAGTTGTTGATACTGTGCGATTACACCTTTCAGATTGTACCAAATGCAACCCCATCTAGAAGTGGTCAACTTGACGCCTTTGATCTTTCAATTGAACCTCTGGTAGTCGTACACTTTCGCTTGCTTTCAATCTCATCTTAGACCAGCGTTCTGCTAGTGGTCAAATGTTCAGCCTTTGTTCTATCCAACTGAGCTTCTTATACCAAGTTACCTCTGAGCTGTCTCCAATGTCATCAGAAATCAGTGCACTTTTGGATTTCCTACCTGTATATATCCTCGTCAGTCAAAACTTCTTTTTGACTCGAAGTCCATGTTTATACTTGGAATACGCATTGACAAAGACACACGCACTGCCATTTTTTACTCAAAAAGTGTACACACACGTTCAGCCAACGGAGGCGCACAATGGCATTAGCTCTTGAGAACATGCTCTCAGATACCCATGTAAATTAATAGTCATGACATTCACATGTGGAAGACAACCTGTCGCACAAAGCACGTTTGACTCAGTTAATTCCTCCCATAAACACATTTACTGGGATTACCAGAGATATGATCTGAACCGACTTCTTGGCTCACGGGTGTTCAGATGAACCTGCGCGACCCGAACTGTGCTGAATGATCGCATCCGCTTCGGTGGTACTGGCCGGATCTCTCCTCATAAATAGTGTAGCAGGTGATCAAATTTTTCGACATCAGTTCAGATAGCTCAATTTGCCATAGCCCGGACAGTCCGGACTATTGAATGGGTTTTAAATATTGTGACACGCTGATTAGCAGCCCAATTTTACCAGATGTTATGGTAAACGGACATGAGGTGGGGGAGGTCGGATATGGTTTAAATACTACATGAGGAAGTGTAGGCTTCATCACATTTTATGAAACCCGATTTGATAACTTTATGCCACAGTGTTGGGTAGCAAGACTGTCTACTAGTGTTATAAATCCGTCCAATTTGGTTGTATCGTGCTGCATCGAAAGCTTTATCTCGAATCCAGTTAGAGTCACGTCAGCTTTGCCCAACGCAATTCTTGAGATACGGTCAATCTGGGCTCACACTCACCTCACTCCTGAGCTCAATAAGGGTCTTTCCAGGAAATCTTGAATCCATTCTTCTCTCCTTTATAAACGAAAACCCTTTTCCACCTTCAATATCAATCGGGATCTTTGTAGTTTGTGACGTGTAGCTATCAGTGAGGATCAGTCGTTTGCCATTGTGAGTGAAATGTGTAAGTCCCTTTTCATAACCTTGAGATCCTTCAAGCATCTTGGGAACATTGCGACAAGTCACAGTGAAGAAGAGGTCCATTGGACTGAAAAAGACACAGGGCCGCAACTTTCATTAGGTCCTTGCACTCGCGGGAAAGGTAGAAAAAAATGTCACTTGCAGATCCGGCATCATAATCACTGCATGCTTTTGGTACAGTTCTTCTGTACTGACTGTACCATCCTGAGAAATTGATACTCGCAAGCTACTTGTCCAGTCTTCACTATTGGGATCTGAACGTGCCTCAGTTGGTGGGGCGCTGAACACTTCTACAGATAATTCTTCCTCGGTATCAATTTTAGTCCCTTTATCGGTCGAAGTGATCAGATTGGCGAGTTCCTGAGACCGCGACGATAGATTAGATGATGGATCGCACGAGAGTGGATGTAGACTTTGCCAAGACCACCGCAAAAAACGTCAGGAAAGTTTCTTTGGCGGTGTATGATCTAATGTCTGAACCTACCTCGGCAGAAAAAAAGGACGCGGTATAATCTTTGATGACCATGATCCCAAAAGATGTAGTTGATCCTCGCTGTCGGAAAACCGGGTATCGATGAGCGGTCCTTGGCCCTGTCGTGGGTATAGGTATTGACCGAAGCTTTATAGATCCAAATCTATTAGGGGAGTAAGCATATTTCTTGACAGCAAATTGATCTCCTTACGTGGCGCGTAGCTCAATTGCACCTTTATCTATACCAGCCTGGACATCTGTTAACCACGTTCGTAGATCCGGCATTGGTCTATAAAGGAAGAGAAAAGTCCAACGTTATTTTCAAGACCAACTGGAATGTTGACAAAGACGCGGCTCATACCTATGTAATGCTTTGACATGCTGAAGCTGTGGGATTGTCAGACGTGTGGTTTTTTGAGACTTGCCGGGTTCATTCATGGTATCAAAGTGGCCCTTTGACCTCGGAGAAGTCAAGCGACGATATGTATCAGCAACGCCAATGTTATACCATGACGGCTTGGAGACCGGTAAGAAAGGATAGAGCCAGAGATCTCGCGGTGGTGACTTCGGATTATTCCTGATAGAAGAGCAAATTGCAACCGAGGTCCGGTCATGCTGACCGGACTTCAAACAGATCCATGTTAAGGGGATTTTGACTTTGTGGAAGATGACGATATTCATAAAGTAACTTACAAGTATGGCGAGTTGTAAGAAGGTATCGTTGACTGTGTCTGTCAAAGGCTTATCGTGATATGAATATGCAAGCAGACTACCCTGCAAAACACATATGTATAGCGCCGATATCAACATACATCACATCTCACACCATGATCGATTGTTACCCATATATAGACACGGGTGCGTACCTCGGCTTCAGATGTGAATTCTAGATAACATCCTGACAATTCGCTCAAGCTCGCCAGGAGAGCAGGAGTTACGACAACCTCACTAATCGATTTTGGTATAGGTATACGTTGTTGATGGATAGGCTGGCGCAATTTCTTGTACAATCGCCAAAAATCATCTCGACTTTTCATGTCACCTCTGACCATCAATCCAGCGGGATCTTGTTCCAACTCGACACCAACATTGGATTTTCGAGCTAGATAACTGAGCAGATTACGTCTAGGAGAGCGTGCTATGACCAATACATCAGTGACATAGTGGGTTGTCTTTGAAGATCAAATGACTCACTTTGCTCAAGACGGAGGAGGAATAGCTCGTGATAGGGGATTTTGAATATTTCAGAGTTAGTCTGAAATCTATGGGTGAGTGTTTGAAAGTTGATGGGGAGAGGTATTGATTTGGGATCGGTCAAACCCCAATGACTAGTCAGCACGAAATTGACCAGATCAGTCTTTGTATAAGATGCGTTGGATGGATGTCGTTTCTTGACACTCGATTCGAATGTTGGGTTTGCTTCTGCTAGAACCAGTGATCTTAAGTCTTTGACAGACAAGGTAGGATGCTGGATTCTAAGTGATTTTAAACGTTCCATGCCAAGGGTATTGAGACTGACTTCTTCGGATTGCTCGAATCCAAGCACTTTGCATACATGCTCCAATTGAGGCCTTGTGAATGCTCTCATGAGTCGTCTGGAGATCGCTTCAAATTGGTCGATATACCACATTCGCGGAGTTCCAGGTATATAGTGTTTCAATCTTGGTGGCTTCAAAGCAGCAATATCAGGTAAATCGGGCATCTGATTAGGATTTGAGTAGAATTGTCGGCGTTTTTCTTCCGCCATAACATCCAATTTGCCTTCCGAATTATTGGCCGGATCGTGTTCCAGGTCCTCATCGCAATTTTTCTGACTATCCGTTTCTCGCTTCAAGTGCCGTCCTTCAACTTCAGATCGAGCGCTGGACGATGATCCGTCGTCATTTTGAGACTGCGAAAAGTCCTTTATGAGAGCGGAATCCTTGGTTTTTCCAAGCGGCGCTTCCTGAGCCCATGTTTCGATTTCAGATTCCAGTGACTCCAAAAAAGCATTCGAGTGATTGTCATGAGTGTATGACTTTGTTTGTTGCTGGCGGGCCGAAAGAGTTGGAATGGAAGACCGATATTGAGATCGTGCAAGATGAGAGCATAATGTACATGAGCTTGAACTAGATTCGCGAGGAGTCGAGATGGATACCAGATATCGACGACCGGCAATTCTAACTTGATTGGTGAGGATGTTTTTCATTTAGGACACCACTCGCAAGGTCTTGAGAAAAAAAGTTGAGGACTGAAATTATGCTGAGCCCGAGAGTTTTGGGTTACTTTCTCGGGTATCACGTGACCCGTTCCGTGACTGCGCCAGCACTCATCCAAAGTCTATCATTTCTATCATCACACTGTTTCTCATCGACATCATGATTTTTGTTTCACCTCAAGGCTCAGCATGGGGAAAGGCTTCAACTCCTCCAGCGAAATGAAGTCGCAGAGACCATGGAGGACCTACGCCGCGGACTTGATCACTGAGTGCCAATGGAGATCCGATTTGGGAATCATATGACTTTACATTTTGCGCTGTTCTCATATCCACGTCAGTCATGACTCATCAGGACGCGAGCGGCGAACTGAATTTAAGATCCACTCACGAGAGACAAAGCAAGAAAAAAACAATCACAAATCAAACCAAAAGTTATCAAAAAAAACTAGAACAAAGGATATCTACAGGAAGAAAAAATAAGATTTCCGGTCCTTTCTTCATCATCTTTTCCAACCAAGTTGATGGAATCTCAATCAAACCTCATTGTATTTAGCCCTTTTTACTCTCTTATCACGACCAACTTCAACTCATCATCACCTCAACCCCAATCACTTTTAAACTTTCCAAATTCGAAACCTGTCAAGCTCATCAACTATCTCATCTAAACCCGACTTCCGAACGGTGCTTCAAACTTCTTGGAATTAAATAAACCATTACATAATGCACATTTTTTTCCCGAAGTGGGTGATATCATATATGCGAAAGGCACTGAAAGGGGGATATCAATATATACAGACTTGGGACTGTATCACTGGTTTGCATGCGGGGAAAGCTCACCGTTCTCTGACTTGGTGAGCCTCTTGGATCCCATGAATCTCCTTTTAAGACTGCTGCTGAGGTCGCATCTGTTCCGAATTCCCACTTCAAGTTTTGTCGAAAATGTCGTCCAACACTGCACGGGCAGAAGATGCTAGACTACGAGGTAATGCTTTCTACAAGGCTTTGCAATTCAATAAGGGTATGATTCACAACATCTCTACGCCCTTCCGGTGCACTTTTTGTTTTTCATAATGAAAGAGATACTGATGATATACAAACTTGTCAACAGCCATTGTAGCCTACAAAGTAGCTGCTGCACTCGTCCCTTCGGACCCCACACCCCTGTCCAATCTATCGGCTGCCACCTTTGAGCTAGGAGATTACGAGAAAAGCATCCAATTTTCTAATCAGGCTCTAGCTCTACTTGAGAAAGAGGCAGATACCGATCCTCGAAAACAAAAACTGATTATTCGTCTTAGCAAGGCCAGGCGTTACCAGTCCGATCCTGACAATTCTATCGCCAAAGAATCACTCTGGAATGCCATCTTCCGTTTACCGCGATACAGACCAAACTTAACTAACGACAGGAGCTACTACCCTAGTGGACATGATACTCCAGAGTCTCTGTACGGCCGAACTCTTAGGCGCACAACGAAGAAGGCTCCAGTCGTATCGTTTATGTTCTGTGGGATCGGCGACGCTCGTAACTTGCTGCAAACTATGATGGATTATCATCTCAACGGTCCCTCATCTCACCAGTCTGATCAAAGGCTTCATTTGACTATCCTGGATTTCAAACCGGCCATCTTAGCACGCGACTTGATTTTATTCTTACTCTTGGATGATATTTCTCTCAACTTGGGAATCTCTAATCAAAAGAAGTATATGTTAGGCAAACAACGAGCCTGCAATCTCACCGAGTTACTCACCACTGTATCATATTTTTATATCACTCAAGTGATGCCTGCTTATGCTTTGAAGAACATTCAAGCCATCATTCAGCGACTGCTTGACGCCTTTGATGATTCCAGGCAACCAATATCTTGGGTTCACATTCCTGTCGCGGTTCAGGCCGCTGTCCGACCTAGTCTTGAATCTTGGAAACGAGGGCCCTTTGGTCCATATTCAACTCAACGGTTTCGCGAGATCGTACAAGGTAACTCGAAATCAAAAATGAACACGACGAGCATGGTTGGAGGCTTTGATCTAGACTCATTCTCAATATTTTCTTACCTCAAGTTTGATAAGCGTGTCTATGACGATTTCACAGTTCTATTGCCTCCTGAAGACATGTTAAATGAACACGATCCAGCGCTAGCCCAAATCCTTCGAGACTACAAACAGATAAACGTTGCTAGTGTAACCATGGAGCGTATATCTTCACACATCAATAGGAAATGGAAACCTAACCTTACCCTAGCCGATATTGTGTTTGAGAACGAAAACTCTCGGCCTGGAACTTTACCGAGTCCAGAGATGGGTTTTACACCATTTGAAGTTATGCAGAACCTTTTGATGGGCTCTGCAGATTTTCAAGGATCTTCCTCAATAGTTAACAAGACTCTCATGAGCGTTTCAGAATCTTATTTCCAAAAGGTTGCCAGTGCCATTGCTTCCCTCCGGGATCGTATGATCGTAGAGGTCTGCTTAGGAGAAATGGCTGATTTCCTTGAAAAAATGCAACATCAAACTCTTGATCGGTCTAGAGAAATTGAATCAAAGGATTGCTCGTCATCGCCGGAATGGCCGCAGAAATACCATATCATTCATATGAGCAATATTCCGTAAGTCACTCTATCCTTGACCACAAAGTAGATTAAGACATCTAACTGAAATCATCACTAGTGACTATGTCGGTGGTCCTTTAACATCCTTCCTATACGGCGTCCCAATCCTCGAACATGGCCCAGGAACTGGACTCACCTCACGCATCCTTCGAAATCCATTACCTTTTGATGACGTTTCTACATATTTCTCCGAGTATCTTCTCATGTACAATCCTAAATTGGTCCGATCCCACTTTCATCTAGCCCTGTCTTGCGAAACTCCTGCGGCAGAGGATCTAATGTCTTACTTGATGTGGGAGCGTATTCCAAAGCCTCAGCAGCTCTTGAACTTTGAACAACTTATGTCTCAGTCAAAGTTTTCACGCTGGATCTATGCCCATTTCCTCAAGATCTGTCTTCCTTACCCACGCATGTTTCCAGACAGAGTGCCACTTGCTCCACTCAACATGACCGCTTTTATTCGCTTGATAATGTATGTTTCTGGATTGGGATACCCAGCTCACTGGATCTCGAATCTGATGGACTCCATCTTGTCGGGCAAGATCACTACCAATGCTCGCCCACCGTCACAAATTGTCAGTATGATCAAACATAATCTGAACCCACTTTGAATCGTTCACTGATGTACTATAAGTCAATAGGTCTGCACTCCAAGAGATGTTGACGCAGTATACCCAACACAATCTTTTTCTACCACATCGTGGATCTTGGAGTTCGCGACCCTGACCGGACTATGGCGCCGATTATTACCAGTTGGACTTGTACTGCCATCCACCGTTCCTCAGGTAGAGGAGATCGTACAGTACCACCTCAAGTTTCCTGGTTTCAAGGTATGGGATGCACGAGTCCCACATTCGATGCTAGTATTCTACAATGAAGAGAAAGTTGAAAGATTACCTAAAAACTTACGACCGATACTGATGGAAGACATAAAGAAATCAGATCCGAAATCACGTGTATTACAGGAGAATGTACGTTGTATGAGTACATTTGATTGGAGTGTAGAAGATCAAGAAGTTACGTTTTGGATATCAAATTTGGCTTTTGAAGAGATGAAGGATTGGAATGTCGAGATATGGAGAATCGATGTTTGGGAGAAAGAATCGAATCAGGTGAAATTGGCTGATTCGGTTGTAAAGAAGAAATCCTGGGAAGAGTGGAAAGATTCACCAAGCTTCAATGATACCTGAAACCAATCCTTTCTCATCTCCGTTGGATTTCTCAGCACCACATCATCATTCGGTTCAATGCTTGGAGGAAGCCCGAAATGATGGAATAACCTGACACTCAGTTGTAAGAATCAATTTCGCCATAACTTCCTTGGATATTCGAAATTCAACATCCTCAATTCAGCCACCAGATCGGCTGAAACTAGTTATTTGTCTTGAGCGGCCTCTTGATCTTGATGTACATTATATGATAAAAATCGTCTTTGAAATGAGCTCGCAATGCAACCTGTTGTTGGGTAGTATTTTATTGATCACCCTTGAACCATCAAATATTGTCATAGTAGTGTTAGAAGTAAGTTTTGCAAGAAGTGTTTGATAGTAAGCCTGAAGAATTTTTTGCTTGGTAGTAGTACTCGAGAACGCTGTCATGCCTTTCAAAACTTCTTTCTTAGTCTTTGTGTGAACAAGTTAACCGTAGGTAATAAGCTCAACACCAGACTTAGATACTTAGCTCCATACTTCACGTTGTATAATGACAAAGGTGAAAAGGACAGTGTCAAACCAATGTATAGTAATCCAACTTGTATTTCAAAAAACATACAAGTTTGATTTCTGGTTATAAAATTGATAAAAACAAAGATGTTTTTCCCTAAGCTTTTAAACAAGACTTTTGTTATCTAACGCTTTTCCTAAGTAAGCTGTTGGATTGTGATATTGATCAGATCAAAAGATATTCTGATACTTGAAGGTCTCTACTTCTTCTGTGATTTGATTGTTTCCTAAATGATGATGAATAAAAGATTTGAACTCTTGAGTGAATACATGATGAATGGTTGGTATTTGGATATGTTTTCATTAAGATTAAATTGATTTCAATAAGACTATACTACTTGACTTTGATTTTCTTTGGTACTTTTTTGGGGGGGGGTTGTGATTTGATCTTTTGCTTCAAGAAGATTTCTATCGAAGAAAATCTATTGCTTTTCTGGAAAGTCTGCTGGTGAGTTTCTTGTAGTCTTTTTTTAAAGAAGATTAGTAGTTTAACTTTATATATTGATGAATGACATCATTGAAATATTTTTCTTTCTTGGAAACTATTCTGATTCATCTTTGAGTGTATGTTGATCTTTAAACCTCAACACAAGTTATGAATTATTCCAAGACTCCCATTTCATTTCAATCCACCTTTTGTAAGTTTTCTCCCACTCAAGCTTGCAAGCCAAAAAAATGTAAATGTTAATCTGATCATTTCTTAAATTCTGGTTCTTTGTCTTCATAGATATAACTTCAATTTTGATTTTTTTTTGAACCTGTAAAAGGATTGAAATCACATCCAAGAGAGAACATGAATGAATCTACTAACATCTTCAGATGTTGATGCTTGAATTAGTCTTGCATCAATATAACAAATGCTCAAGTCATAGAGTACAATTGGCACAGAAATGTATGAGAAACACTTGGGTACAAATATTTACATATCTAGATGAATCCATAATCCATGACTCAAATTGTTTTCAGTCTCAGCCTCATGCATGATGATCTGTAATTTACGAAGCATTAATTACGCAGTTGGATGTTTTGGTGTATCATGATTCATGGGCGGCCTTAAGCCCACGTGTATTATCATAGCCGTGGAAGAGCGCGATAGGTTGATTAAGACGTCATGCCTTGGATGATGATGATGAATCATGAGGGTGTTCTTCCCGTTTGTTGTTCCCTTTACTTGGGATGTAAGGTAGCGTGTCAGAGACAACCAGTTCTTGAAACCCTAGAGAGTGAGAATTAAGGTTATAGAAGATTTACAGAGATCTGAATGAAGTTAAGTCTAAGATGATGAGTTCCGATCCGAGTTTGACCGATTCACTGGAATAGAGAGTGATTTGATGATCGAATGATGGGTTGATGGATGAGAGGATAGCATTCAATGAAGCTGAGAGTAGCTAGAGTAGCTAGAGTGATGGTGTATGAAGAGAGAGATGGTCGTACAAGTCTGAGTCAAGAAAGACCCTTGAAGTGGCTTCATTTGGATTTGATACAGTATTCACTCGGAATTCAAAATCAAAATCGATAAATACATCTCACTCACACACTTTGACTTCGATTCAAGAAACCAACTCTAGGATCGAACGCGTCCTTAGACTCATTCATTCAAATCAAAAACCATTCGATTCACTTGACTTTGACTTTGACCTTACTTTGCTTTACTTTACTTCTACTTTGACTTTACTTTACCTTTACTTTTACTTTACCTTACTTTCCTAACTTGGACTTTCTTTATCCAATTCAATTCAATCTAATCTAATAACAACTTTTTACTTCCAAGATGAACTCACCATCACCTTCATCATCATCATCATCATCATCATCAGACTACAACGATGATAGCAGATCCAGAAACTCATCCAATACGAACCTAACCTCTCTAACCTCAATCACCACCCCATCCCATTCACCCAAACTATACGAACACATTCAAACTCAACAATCACATTTAAAAAACTTACAAAAAAAATTCAAACCAGCCTATCACACAGGTTATGGATGGAAGTTAGGACAAATCCAATCAAGATCGAATTATTTTCAATCTGTTTTGTTGTTTGATGATTCATTAAAGTCTCAAGAGATTTCAAACTTAGAGTATCATAACAGATCATTTGATGATCCTAAATTCACTCCTATCACTTCTAATCATCAATTATCTCATTCGGAATTCGGTTCGATTAATATTGATCAAATTCAATTCATGTGGGAATCAAAGTATAGATCTAATGATCATTTTCATGAATTTCAAAATGAAGATGCTGGGGTGTTAACTTATCTTACGGCTTATTGGTCTTATCTTATTGTTTTTCTTATCGGGTTAGTCTTTTACTATATAAGAATCGAATGGAATGTTTTGAAACTGACAATTGTGTTTTTTTTACTTTTTGAATAGTCATTTACGTGATTTTTTTGGAAAACGATTTTCACCTGATTCATATGCACATCTCATGCCACATAACGGTTATGCAGCATTAAATTCAGATTTCGGTTCATTCTTTACCCGAAGAGTTAAATCTAGATTAGACGATTGTTTCTCACGACCAGTTTCCGGTTCACCCGCACGAACGATCACACTCTTAGATCGAACCACTGAAGATAACGGAATGAGTTTTAAATATACTCATACTACTACTCAAGCATTAAACATTTCATCTTATAATTATTTAGGATTTGCTCAGTCTAGTGGGATTTGTACGGATTCGGTTGAAGAGACGATCCGATCGATTGGAATCAGTTCTGCAGGATCTAGGGATGATATTGGAGTAAACTCAATCACTGTTCAAGCCGAGAAACTAATCTCAAGTTTCTTAGGTACAGAAGATTCTTTATTGATCAGTCAAGGTTTTGCGACCAATTCCACAACCTTTCCTTCTTTGGTTAGTAAAGGTTCATTAGTCATTTCAGATGAATTGAATCATTCTTCTATTAGGTTTGGTACAAGATTGAGTGGTGCGATGGTTAGAACCTATAAACATAATGATATGGTCGATTTGGAAAGGTTATTGAGAGAAACGATCTCAGAAGGTCAACCTAGAAAGATGAGAGCTTGGAAAAAGATTTTGGTGGTTGTTGAAGGGATTTATAGTATGGAAGGTTCGATTGTCGATTTACCTAATTTGTTAAGATTGAAAGAGAAATATCAGGTTTGTGAATTCTTAAAAACAAGTGATGTTCTAACTTTTTCACTGATTTCACACTTGATGTGTTTTTATAGTTTTACTTGTATCTTGATGAAGCTCATTCCGTTGGAGCTCTCGGTCCAAGAGGAAGAGGAGTATGTGATTACTTTGGAATCGAACCCAGTCGAATCGATATCTTAATGGGAACCCTAACCAAATCATGTTGAGTAGCACCTTCTCAATCGTTTCCCCACCTCACTCAGGAATTCACTCACTGATTAATATTGTTACAATAGTTGGCGCAAGTGGAGGGTACATTGCCGGAACCCGAGCAACGATCCAACACCTACGAAAAACCTGTCATTCATCAATTTACGCTGAAAGCCTTTCACCAGCCGTGACCTCACAAATCATTAGTTCATTAACTTCAATCATGGGATCTAGAACTGATCGATTACCGACTTGTTTAACTCAACTGACACGGAATAGATTGATTGAGAATATCTTTGAAGGAGAATTGAGGTTGAGAAGATTAGCGTTTAATTCGAGGTATTTACATGTTGGGTTAAGGAAACTTGGGTTTATTGTTGGGGGTGATCATGATTCGCCTATTGTACCACTCTTGGTCTTTCAACCTGGAAAAGTTTCGTTTATATTTTCTCTCCATTGAATTTTCCTATTAAAAATAAGCTTATATACTAACCCAACCAATCGAATATGATTTTTTTTTTCTTTTTCTTAGATGTTATTATTTTCAAGATTAATGTTACAAAGGTATCAAATCGTAGTAGTGATTGTAGGTTATCCAGCCACTCCATTGGTTTCAGGAAGAGTTAGGTTTTGTGTTTCAGGTTCACATACTAAAGAAGATTTAGATAAGATCTTGATTGCTACAGATGAGATTGGTGGTGCATTAGGTTTGAAGTTGGGTAAGGTTCATTCTAGGTTAAGGGTTGAGGAAATTATTGAAAACTCTTTTGAACTGGTTGCTGGGTCTTATAAACCTTAATTCTTGTGTTTCATTCAAAGATCATTTATTTGGATTATCTTTTTTTGGTTTTGGTTTGGGGGAGTGAGCATGGGAGTGGGAGAAGTCTTTGGAAGTTTTTAGGGAGCCTTGGATTGAGGGTTCATTAATCTGGTTGTTTGACCTTTTGCTTTCTTTTTTTAACCTACTTCTTTCTTTTTTCGACCTTTTTCTTTCTTTTATGACCTACTTCTTTCCTTTTTGTTCTTTTTTTGTTCTTTTTCTTTCTTTTTGTGTTTGTTTTTGTTTTTGTTTTTGTTTTGTTTTGTTTTTGTGCTTTTGATGAAGTAGAAATTTGAATGAAAGAAAGAAAAAGTTTTGAAGTAAATGAAAGTCAATGTAGTTTTTCCTCATGATGATCTTTTTTATCAAGTGTTTTTTTTCTTTCTTACAAAGATAAAAGATACAACATGATCATGATGAAGAATCTTTTTTTTCGTTTGTTATCTTTTGTTCTTTTTTTTTGGTTTTTTGCTTGATGACTTTTTTGTGTTTGATAACTTTTTTTGTTTGATGACTTTTTTTGTTTGATAACTTTCTTGGCTGATAACTTTTTTTGGCTGATAACTTTTTTGCGTTTGATAACTTTTTTGTGTTTGATAACTTTTTTGTTTTGTTTTGTTTTGTGATTGTGAATTTGTTGTGATTTTCCCTTACTCTGTCTTTTTGATTGAGTAGATTTTAAATTCAATTTTATTAGCTTTATTAGCTTTATCAGTTTCTGGATCATAGTTGATGATAGATGATGATGACAAAACGAACAAATTAATTAATATTCTTATGATGGGTTTTCACTTTGACAATTGATCAGAATTAGAAAATAAGCTTAGTGAATTGAATCTTTTTTTCTTTTTTGATTTTAAAAAATCAAACACTCATTGCTTTGTTTTTTTTTGAATTCTAAGGATCTGGCTCTGAGCTCTGGTTGATCTTACCACTCTGGAGCCCGTAGTACTTTATTTCAGAGGTGCTGCAGGGTATAACTTTAGACTCTTTATGAGGTACACTTTGTGAATTTCAAGTTTGTTTTGTTTAGATATTAATCCCATTGTGACCAGCTCAGAATACCACTTGAGGTTTTACAATCACCTAAACAATGAAAATAACTATGATCATCAAAATCACAACAGGATCCATTTTGCTCAATATGCTTGGTAAAAAATCAAGTTGTGAAGTTGTGTTCTGGAATAATACAACCCTGTGCCAGCAACGCAACGCACCACAACACGAGTGTTTTTTGGTGCGTTGCTCCGCAACACGCAGCACAAACCTGCATTACATGCTGCGCTGCGGTAAGTACCGCAACAACAAAAGGTGAGGTCAGGTTGCGCGGCGCCTTGACCGTCGCGCAACGCAACAGGCGCAACAGCGCCAAAAAAACACCAAACTGTGATTTTTTTTGGGCAGCAACGCAACAAATGTTGTTGCGGCCCAAGAAATCCATCGATTTGACAAATGATGTTGCGCTGCGGGTCAGGCCGCAACCTAGAATTTGATTCTATGTTGCGCTGCGGTCAGAAAAACCGCAACGCAGGCGCAGCGCAACACGCAACACCTGCGTTGCTGGCCCAGGGTTGAATAATATGAAGTTTGTTCTTTGTTCCAAATTGGAAAGAGAAGTGGTTTATAGATTCCAAGACCTAGGTCTCAACTTGTGGTTGGCACTTAGGTTTAATGGTCCTTGGCTTAGGGTTTAACTTTACTATTTAGATTATAGCTAAGTCTTATTGCTTAGAGCATCCACTATTGTTGCAGTAAAAGTTCAGTAAATTTTACTGTACAGATTTCACAGTACAGTAAAAGTAAGTACAGAAAGGTAGAAATCCACTATTGTTTCAGTACATACCATTCTGTACGGTATGTACCGTACAGAATAGACCCTGCCCCACAATCGTGTGCTCTGTAAAAGAAACTGCAAATCTCAAATCATCAAGTTGACTTGTTATCATTGCTCAAGACGGGTTGAAGATTGAGAACAAACAGTTTACACCATGTAAATATCCATGTAGCACGTCGACGTGCACACACGGAGAGTTTTGAAATAAATCTCAAAGTCTTTTGGTTGAAATGAGACTGAGATTACTGTTGAGCACCCTTTGTGCTTTGTGATTTGTTCAAAGGATTTGCATCATCCTTTGTTGTCAGCAGGGGTCAACTGCCTTTTTAACCTCCCAGGTGATAAGGGGAAGATGCGCTTGATGTGGCACCTCTTTGATGGGTCGTTACAGGTTCTACGGAGAGTCTTTTGTGTGTGCACGTCGACGTGCTACACAGATATTTACATGGTGTTATCAACTATCATTTACAAGTCAATCATTTCAAAAACAATCATTTGAAAAACCATCAAGTTGAAAACAATGGATCTGAAAAAAAGAATCAAAAAAAAAAAGAATCGAGAACAATCGATTTGAGAACAATCGATTTGAGAACAATCGATATGAGAACGAGCAATTAGAAAACGATCAATTTGTAAACAATTAATTTGACAACGGGATGACTTGATAAAAATGGCAATCGATGTGATGAGTACAAAATGAAAGAGGGTGAGCAATGGTTTTGTTAAAGGAGAGGTGTATATAGTATTTGTTTTTTGGGAGTGGTGGTGTGATTGATCATGATGTGTGACTCGGTCAAAGTCCAGTAGATTTTCAGATACCGAGTCGGTAGAGGTCCAGTACATTTACTAGACCTCTACCGACTTTCTACCGATTCAGTAGGTACCGATGGGCATTTTGGACACGAGTGGGGAATTTGGGAAAATTTACCGTACCGAGGCCGTTTACCGAGACAATTGTGGATGCTCTAAGAGTGACTCTTGATACTGAGCCATGAGTTGTAATCATTATGGTTCTAGGCAAGTTACATACATTTACATGTCTGTTTGTTAGTCTGTTGTCCTGTACACAGGGCTCAGGGTTGACACCTAACTAATCTCAAATTAAAAACCTGAACAGGAGTCTCATTAGGTTTAAGCTGACCTTGTCATGTGTCAGTGTGTACACTCATATTGAGTAAGAGCATCACCACCAGGAACCACTAAAAAAGAGCCAATCCAGAGCCTGTACAAATCCTTGCTGACATGTGAAGAGGTGTATGGCCATCATCTTGCCTTTTTGTAAAATTTTGAGAAAACCGTGACTAAGTATAAACCACAAAAATGAAATCAAATACATAGCCCAATTGGTCATGATGTGAAATCAAGGAAAAGGTTTGTGGTAATATTGATTGGCAGAATGGGATAGCATTAATTGGAGGGGTGAGAGGTTGGATGGTGTGCCCCTTTGGGCTCTATTTTCTTTATAATCAACCAACCATTCCTATGAGGTCCTGTCAGATTTTTACTTGGTGAGCAAACCATACAGGTGGTTTACTAGGTTCAGTGCCTCAGTGTTTTTTCCACAGCATTTCTAAAGTAGCTGTATTTTGCTATTTGGTTGGTCTGGTGGTGATGATCTAAGGGAGTTTATAATGTGCCTCATCACTCATGAGGTTGAGATCACTCTTCTAAAAAAAACTCATGGTTTAAACCTTCTTATAATCTCAGATTTTTCTTTATCATGTCAAGTTTCAATTTCAAATACATTAGTGGCTCTCAAACCTGACCCGGTTTTCAAAAACCCAGTTACAGCCCTTTGCATAATTGATGACTTTGAAGAAAAAAAAAACCTTGACTTTTCAAATAAAAAACCTTGAGTTTTTTCAGAAAGTGACTGAGTTTTGTCAAAACGCTGCTGAGTTTTTCAAAAAGTCAGTGAGTCTTTTTTGGAAACCTGGCCCAGTAATTCTAAAAGAGAAAGAGCTCGCTCAGTTTTTGAAAAAAACTCGCAGGTTTGTTTTGAAAACTCAAGCGTTTTCTTTTTTTCCAAAGTCATCAATTCTGCAAAGGGCTGTAACTTTTCAAATCAAAAACTGGTGAATATATAGTGAAATCTATTTTACTGGTGTAGATTAGACCAATGGGAAGTACAGTTATCAATTTCAAAAGGACTTTTTCCAGTTTATGATCTCTACATTAAATCTAGTGATAGCACAAAGCTCTCAAAACCTGCCAATAGATCTTACAACAACTGTACTTCCCTGACCATATTTAATAAACTCCATCTCAAATAACCAAAAAAACTCATCTCCCAAAACTCAACTCTCACATCACTATTTCTCTCTATAAAAAATGATAAGTGATAAGATTTCAAATTTTCAAAACAAGGCAAAGAGAGAAACAAGTTTCAAATTTCAAGTACCCAAAAAAAAAGATAATCAAATCTCTTCATGGGGAAAACTAAAGCCAATTAAAAAAAATTACTTTTTGCTTTGTCCTACTAACTACTACTACTACTTTATCTTGATCTATAAAGATTGAAGAGAAACCCGATTTCAAAATCTCAAACAAATAATCTTCAAGGTTCTTTCAATTGTTTTTTTCAAAAAGATCCTCTCTCTCTAATCTAGTCAAAAGAAAAATATCATCTTCTCATCACAAGTTTTTCCCCTTCTATGTATCACTCAATTTCAAAAAAACTACCTAACCTTGAGTCTCGGAAAAAGATAGGAGGGTACTTATCTAATTAAAAGGCACAGAGACACAAAACTAATGGTTTACTTTGATTTAGCTTGATCGACTTCGATTCCCGAATCACTAGGTGATCCATCCGATTCCTTCAACCTAATCAAAGCTTGTCCCTTAGCATTCTTATAAAACACCACATCTCCTTCATCTTCCACAAACTAATGAAAACCTCCCATCAGTTCTCATATCCCATACACATCGTTATACCGAAGAAAAAATGTATAAACTTACTCGACAGTGTCGAAAGGCTTTCCAAAGACTAACCCAATAGTTTTCATCAGTCGATTGATAATGAGGTCCTAGTTTAGCCTTTAATGCATCGGTGGCTTCCCAAGCGTGGTAATGTGGGATCTTGGAGCAGAGATGATGAGCCACATGAGTTTCGGCTAAACCATGAGTAAAGAATCCATGGATCTTCCTAAAAACAGATTCGATTATACCATTAGCTTTCAATTTGTAAGTTTGACGAGTTGAGAAGATGACGAACCTGTCCATGGTAGCAAGAGCTCCACGTTGGAAGTTAAAGGCACCTTCACGGTAATGAGGTAAGAGAGGATCAGTGTGTTGTAAGAAGGTAATCAAGACGATCCAATGCTATTGATGTTTAAAACACAAAGGATTAGTCAAGCCGTAAGATCAGATGATTTAAAGGTCAAATAACTCACATGAACCCATAGATAAGGTACGATATAGTACTTAAAGGCCGACAAGAAATCTGTCTTCATTCCAAAGAAGACGAGTGATCCAATGGTGATAGCGATCCCGATATCCGAGTAAACGATATGCATTCGGTGTCGATCATCATACATGATGGCCCATGGGTTAAAATCTAAATCGATTCAAACAACTTGGATCAATTCATGTCAAACGAACCATACCGGCTTGGTAAAGTTCACTCACGATTGGTGTATGGTGGATAATGTTTTTGTCCTGATGCATTTCTTACAAGATAAGCTGCGAAGCCTATGGATTGATGAACTATCAATTTCCATAAAGCCCATAATGGTGCATCTTCTAATAAGTCATCCACTCGTTCGTAACTAGACAAAATTCAAATATACAACTTATCAAAAACCCGATCTTGAACCGAAAAAGAGAGAAAGAAACCACTGACAAACTAGGAGCCAAAGTGCCTTCGATTTCACGTTTCGAAGCATCCTTTGGTAAAGGAGGTAAATTCAATTGAGATCGAGTGTAAGGAACAAAGGCTTGATCACGATTAAGATGAGAAGTTGAAGCATGATGTTGAGCATGAGTGATTCTCCAAGAATGAAAGGGGACCAAGAGAGCCGAGTGTAGGATCCATCCAACCCAATAATTGATCGTCTTTGAGGATGAAAAGGATTGATGACCACATTCGTGAGCCAAGACCCAAATGCCTGAATGTGTTGATCGTTTGTGTTTGGTTTGGTTTGTTTGGTTGGTTGGTTGGTTGATCGTCGAGTAGAATTTGAAAGAAACAGGTTTAGAGTTCAAGGGTTATGTCATTGTTTGTTGTGATGATCGAAAGGTAGTAGATGAAGTAATGGACAAGAAGTAAAAATAACTTTCAGCATCTCCATCATTTTTAAAGAAATCATAGTAAATCAAAAAGAAAGCGCACCAGTAAAGACCAATCCCAAAGCATAACCATACGCAGCCCAAGCGCCAAAGTTAGCCATCGCACCTAATTGACCATCCAGAATCGAACCATTCTTTGAATTAAAGGCTCCATCGATAAAAGTAGCAGCATAGACCAAAAGAGCAGTGAAAGAGAAATCTCTCAACACATAAGAAAGACTACGGAATAATGAACGATCAAAACAATGAGAAGGAATAGAAGAAAGAATCTCTTTGATGGTGAAGGGAGGTAATTCGAAACACGGAATCTCATCTTGATCTAATGAATCAGGTGTAGAAGATCTAGTTGAATCTATATGAATGATTTTGGGTTGTTGTTCTGATGATTTTTGAAATCGATGGGTGAGTTGAGTTGAGTCAATTCGATCGATTCCAGTTGATGAAGACATGATGATGGATTTAAAGAAATGAAATGAGAAAACTAATGAGAATTTCTATAAAGTTGTTCAAGTGAGTTTAAGAATCAAAAAAATGAATGATGAGAAAATCTTCAATGTGTAGAGCTCTTTAACGTGTGTAGAAATCTAATTCTCTTCACTTCTCACTTCACTTCACTTCACAGAGTTGATCAGAAGATAAAGAAGATTTCGATTCTCGATTGTGAAAAAAATTTAAAAATGGTTCTATGGTAATTTAATTAATTAAAATTTAGTTATTTCTAAAATTAAAAACTCTCAATTTAATAAATCAATCAAACTTGACTTTTTTTTTAATTTGATTTTGATTTTACACACCTTCAAGATCGAGATTTGATTTCAATTCTACTCTTAAACTTATGTTAAGCCCCTGTCTTGAAATCTTCTTGACCCTGAAAACAACCTGGACCAGCTACTTCTGCTCTTGAGGTTTTATCAAGTTTCACTTTTCGATCATCGGTTGAATTTTGATTTCCTTTCACATGTCTTTTCAGTAGTATTTGAAGACCCCTACTGTAGTTTTTTGGTGTTGAAATCCGTTGGGGCTCCTAAGGATTACAGATTCAACCTACCATATACTTCTTTTTGCACCCACATTGATCACTGTGGTTGGTCTGCAGGAAGCACAAAATAATACCATTGTAGATCCTAGAGAGCTCGAAATATGAATGGTTTCACATGGATCACTCACCTATCCTGATTCGTTGAAAAATATAGATCATCATAGTGTATTATTACACTTTGTTATCTTTCCGGTACATCACAAGAAATCTATCTTCTGAATTTCTATCAACTTATCATATGTTTTACAAGTCGATCAAAAACTTAACTATTCACACATCAATCAACTGTTTATCAAAAATCAAAAATATAAACCAGTAAAGCTACTTATATATACTCCTTGAGCTCCTTTCTACTTCATATTGCCCAACAATGCATGCATGAATACATGTATACTTAAGCAGGTGATTTACAAAGAACATCAGAAATGTAAAGAAGGTATCGAAAAGCTTGATGAATTTGTGGAAGATGATGAGGAGGATATTTTCTTTCCTAGTCTCAAAATCATTTCATAGAAAATCTCTAATTTGAGCCAACTCCTTTCAAAATACTGTCAGACAGGTATCTGGAAACCACATCCCAATCTTTCAAGAACATGGTTATGCCAATGCACGCATCTATATTCACAACGAAATAAACTGCCCGTTATGAAATTGGAAGAAAAGAGGTATTTGTGAACTTGAAAAGACCTGTTTGACTGGATACTATCATATGATATCTTGCTTTTTAAGTGAACCATCATATGTAAGCGCTGCACTCATAACACAGAAGAAGCATGTCCACGCTGAGCACATGGGCACGCACTGAAAGCTGAGATTCAAATTTCAGGCAATCAAACCCTTCTAAAACCATACTGTCTGGAAAAGATTCTTTATGGGTAGAGTCTTAGAGGGATGATGTCTTTGTTGGAGAACCCCTTTAAAGGCATATATTCATGGCTATTGTATGTTGAAATCCCTCTAAAGACATGTAAAACATTGGTCCCTCTACATATATAGGAAAGATAATTTGATATAGGTCAGGGCAGGCTCTTGATTGATCTTCTTGAAAAAAAATCCAACTTGGTATCAAAAGAATTTAGTGATTGATTTGTTAATTAGTTTATGAAAAAGAAGATCTTTGAATGTATAATTGAATAACAACTTTGTTGTTTAAGTAAAGAAGTAATAAAGGGTTAAAGTTTTGAGGCTTCATGAATTAAATACTTCCCTACTGATAGGTTTTTTTGTTTTCTTTAAGGTTTTTGGTTGGGATACTACTGTGATAGGTTGAAATATGGGAGTTTATTAAATTTTGGTTCCACTTAATTTGGGAGAACTCAGAAATCATGGCTACAGGTTGGATAAGGATTTAGAGAGGTATTCATTTGGGGATGTAAGGCTTCAAAGGAGTTGTTTGACTGTATACACCTATTCAGTGAAATGCAAAACACAGAGAACTAAAAAATTGATCCTTTCTGCATGTTTTGGAGGAGTTGATACATATATGAGAATGAGAGTGAGCATTTGTCTAAGGATAGAGTACAATGGCCTACTGTAGGTGTATGTCAGAGGGGTCAATATGAGGATAACAGGAAGAGTTCAGGAAGATTGAAGCTTAGGCATCAATACAATGACATGATGGTTGACTTGGAAAGTTTGTTTTATTCTGGTTCTGAGGGGAAAACATTGGCTGACTGATTTATCATGCTTCAACAAAGATATTCAAAGATAAATCAAAGTCATGTTTGCAAGGCTTGGGTTGTGTAGGTGTTTTGAGATGGTTGTTTGTAGTCATTGCATCTGATATCAAGTCTGACTCCCATGCAGATATCACAGATGAAAAGAGCCTCTTTAAATCCTAGGAATCTTGATGTCTTACCCCAAGTCATTCATGAGGGTCCACTTTAACAGATTCCTGTAGATTGGCCAGGACATTGCCAAGACCCCACAGACAATTGGCTCCAATATGGATACTCTAAGAGGTAGATACATGAAGATGATAAGTCAATCATTGGCCCATATGGAAACCCTAGTATACCATCAAACACTATAGAAAGATAATGTTTTCTAGTCAGAAGACAAAGACAACCATACACAAAAAAAGTAGGGGTAAGGAAACAATCCAAAAATCCAAAACTATTATTACATTGCAAGGTTCAATACCATCGTTCTGAGTAGTTTCTTATATTTTTAGAGTGTCTATTGGTTGATGTATTCAGAAAAACTTTCAAAATTGTCTCATTACCACCTGTACTATAGTTACCACCCTGATATCACTTCAGGAACAAAGATTGAAATTTGTTTGACCATTGGCAGCACAGTGGTGATTGATAGGCAAACCTGGAAGAGAATTGCACAGCAGTGAGCTAGTGACTTGTGGCCTGGCAGTGTAGAAAGCAGGATTTTATGATGTGCTACAGATGTATATGTGTTGTAGATATTGGTACCAATAAAGTCCTGTAATCTCATTTACATACTGGGATGCATACTTTGAATCTGTACCAGTGGAAGAGATTTGAAAACACAGCAAGAGAGTTTGGGAATAATGTTTTCAAAAGAGCGTCGGAAACTTGAGGTATTTTGATTTGTCAAAACACTGCACTTCAACATAACAGGATTGCAATCACTTGAAGTGTCTTGCAATATGAGACTTTGCAATGGAACCTTGTATGATCGGAATCTCTTCAGGGAGTTTGCACTGTAAAACAGTGCAACTAAAACCAATATATCAGGAGATTTTGATGGAGTTGTTATCTCAAGAGTCATATGTGTATCACAAAAAATCAGGGTCTCTAGCATTTGGCAATGATGTTTTTCAAAAAGGATTGGCAGTGTGAGGGATCTGCACATGAGTGTAATAGGATTGGAATTCACTGAGGGATTTACACTTGTGAAACTGCAACTGGACACAACATGATCAGAATTCCTTGAAGTATTTTGTGCTGAGAATGCAACTTGATTCAAAAGAATTTCAATCACCTCAAGGATTTTGGATTGCAAAAGAATGCAACCAGAACCACCTTGCCAAGAGATCACAATAGAAATGTTCTCCTGACAGTCATTTGCTTATCAGGAGAAAATCAAAATAATCAGCAAACAGTATATCAAGCTCTCACCCATCACAGTTGCATTTGAGAAGGTTGTCTATTTATCCAAAAAATTGAGTAATTGATACAATTTCATTAAACCTCTCTCACTAAAATCTAAATCTTGGTAGACAAACATAAAATATTCTTGATCAACTTTTCCAAATACTCCTTTATGTTGATCAGGTGACACATACATTTTAGTATCATGGGCCCCATATGGTCACAGGCTTTATTCAGGGCCAAATAAAATGTAGGAACATTGTCTCAAATACCTGGTCCAAGGTAATCCAGTCCAACAACATTTTGCATTTGGAATTCAGAGTTATCTTCATTGACAGTGGTGAGTTTATAAACCTGAGGTTCCCAAGACTCAGAGGGAAAGCAGCCAGAGCTTTTTGCAATAAGGTTGTTGGAAAAAATATTGAAATCAATGGCATATTTTATGATGTAAAAGACAGTAACCCAGTTGACAATACCAAATGATTTCAATGGGATTGTCCTCTACATGTATGCTGGCAACCTTCAAGAGGCACTTGATTAAGTACTTTTGAAAAAAAGATCCCTGGAGTCACCAATATCATTCAATTCACAAATTGAGTAGTTTTGTGAGGTCCTCTCATTCAGGGCTATTCAAAATTATCCTTGGAGGCATTGGGCACATTCACTTAGAAAAATCCTGTTCAAAAATTGAATTCTATAAAACTTTCAATTCTGGTCATGTCCCATGTTTTTCATCTTGACATTTTAAGTTTTACAGAATGTGATTTCTGGACAAGAATTGTGTCACCAACTTCACCCTAAGTGTAAGAAAATCAGAATGAATTGGGTGACTTTACATAAACAGCCAATTAATACACTGTTGTGTAACAAGATTGGAATACAAGGTTGAAAACACTTGAGTAATTTAAGTTTTAGATGAAATGGAGGGAATTTGCATTTCAAAACAATGAAACTTGGTGTCATAAGATTGAAACCACTTGAGGGATCTTATAATGAGATTGAATTGAGTTTTAAAACGTGCATCTAAACCAAACATGCCAAGAAATTTTCATATACCTTTTCTTATCATGTGCTTATCACAACATATTCTGAAATCATCAGCTAACAGTATTTGTATCTCCTCCTCATCAAATTGCATCTTGAGAAGACTGTTTATCTAAGAAATTGATACAATACCATCAGAAATTTGCTACCAAAAGACAATTATTTGTTATATATATGAAAACATGTTTTTCAATTGCATACTATTCTTTCTCAAAGTGTTCCTTTCCTTTGAAGTGATTCATGCACATTTCAACAGCTTCTCCCAAAAGGGAAATCAAGTAATGTCAACCTCAGGATTTTTGGAAGATGCCATACCAGTGCCACAATACACTCAAGGTCATCTCATTCATGAGCCACCAGAAGAATCTGCAGCTGAAGGTATGGAAAGCTTTGAACAATGTGAGTTCCTTTGGGTCCCTTATCACTGATAGTTTTCACTTAGGAATTCAGGAGCTCATTTTTCCTCTATATCAAACCCTAGACTACAGACAGAAAGGTTCACATGATCAGTCAATCCACAATGGTCTTATTGTTGATGATGATCCAGTATCAAACCACCATACAGGGGGCTTAGCAGACATTTACACCAAGTCTTCTTCCTCTGGAGCAATCAATCAGTATCCACAGTATTCAGGAACAGTCCTCAATTATGATGCCGAAAACTTCAGTCCTTATCAAGCATTCATGACTCCCAATTACTCACAAGGATACAACCCTGAACATCATTCAAGCCTGGAAGATGTTTGGAAACTAAGGGGTTATGCAGATGGACAGGAAACAACCAATGATTATGATATCCTTGAAGCCACAGGCAAAACATCAGATGACACTTATGAGACAAATTCAATGAGATTAAGTCACGGTGAAAAACAGCCCAGAACAGCCAATGGTCTCCCTTACAACGGCCATCCTTCTAAATCGAGAACGTTTCTTATAGCCAATTATGCATCTCAGAGAATGCACATTCATGAAAGCATCTTCAGAGATATGCCAGTATTTTGGAATCAAATTGAGTCCATGATGACAAATGACTTGCAATTATTTTTCCCAAACAATCCTAGGGCCTGTAATAGCTTTGCTGTATGGTCAGCAATTAACATTCTGTTCCCATTGACGATGTATAGGGTAGTGTGGCTGTTGAATAACTATGGTCATATAGGCGACGAGCTCCCCTATCCTAACTTGGATTCAACACTATATCATGCAAAGGAGTTTTTCAAAGACTGGATGATGAAAGAGATCTGTGAATTTCATGATGCTGTGTTAGAATTGCATGAAGTCAATAGAGATGAGTCCTCACTATACAAAAAGAGATCTTTCATAGCTCAAAGGTCAACAATTATATTTCAATCAGAGTTCAAAAGAGGTTGTCATGAAAATTTGAACAGGGCTTCTTGGAACATATTGAAGGAATGGATTTCACAAAATGTGAAACATAAGTATGTAGCCCGAGAAGTTTTCAAAAGTTGCAATCCCAGTTTCAGAAAAGAATTTTCACAAAAGAACTTCAAGGACTCTGATTATGACCAAGTAACAAGCTGGGAGAAGGTGAGAATCAAAATATCTACTATACAACTTCTACTCTGTTTTTTCTTTGTGATCAAAAAGGCAACAGCTAATTCCAGTTTTCTTACTAGTGGCTTAATGATATAACATTTACTAGGCGTTATGGTACCATTGAGTGCATGGCAAGTTAATGAAGTCAAAAACAAGCAAGAGGAAAGATTCCAATCATTTTGGGTATAAATAAGAGATTTTGGGGGGGGCAATTATGAAATCCTTCCTGCATGGTATTTTGAAGAGAAATAACCTAAAATTGATACTATGTGACTACTTGGAAACACCTATTCATGTGAGCATGTTTGAGAAAAATAGAAGGAAGCTGACTGACTTCCTGTATGTGCATGTGAGAGAGCTGATTATGAGGAAAACATGAATTGTTGAGGAAAACTTCTGACCTGTGGTAAAGGTTTGACATGTGAGGCAATTGAAAAGATCCCATGTTTGATCCATAAGCTCATGGTCTGTGGAACACAAAACCCACAAAAATATCTCACTAACACAACATATTATTCATCTAGAATTATGTTTTGCACTTACTCACATTTTCTTTTGGGAGACAATGTATGTGAGGGGTGAGCTTCTGTTTGAGTGAGCATTTACTGAAAGAAGAGGCTGAATGGCCTTTCTTGGTACACCCAATTAAATACTGTGGTCAATTGTGCTCCAATATCTCCAGCAGAATATGAAAAGCCCTTATAAGCATCATACTCTGGATTTCAGGTTATTCCACTCAGCTTGTAGGACACCCTGGTAAATTAGAGGTACTACTGGGTAGTTTGGGCCTATTTATTTCCAAGCCTTGTCTTGCTAACTGATTAATTTTACAGGATCAGCAAAGCTGGTCAAGTTTCACAACAAGCTTTAATATTGACAAGTATAAATATCAAGGTACAACTGTATCAGTCAATCTTTTTCTTTATTTATAAGAATCAAGTGTTTTGATATGGAATTATAATGAGCTTGTATTCCTTGACTTCCACCCTGGAGCTTGGAAGATGCAACACTGCTTCTATTCTGGAGCCAAGGGTCAACTGTTGTTGACAGATTGTGTCAAGTTTGATCTAATGTGTGTGACATTATTGAGTATCATTGTTATGAGGTTCTCTTGACAACAGTCTGCTGCTGCACTACACCATGGGTCTTCTGTAGGATGCAGTCTACTACTGCTACTTAAATTTGAGACTTTGGGTGATGTATCAAAGCCATATCACTGCCCTATGAATCCCATTAACATCCAATACCAGGGCCAATATGCTGATGCTGTTACATTGACTGCTTATGAATTTCATCCACCTACATCTACCAGGGAAGTAGCATGGCTCATGTGGTATGATATTAGGGAAAGGCAATGAGTGAAGTGCTTTGTGTAACACTGCACTACATACACAATATGTTAGGCTAGCTGGTGCAGTGTTGCTCTTGACAATGAGCCATGAGAGCAAGTCTTATGAGTTTATACCAGTCATATACCACCATGGGTATTTGACAGCCTGTGGTCATGTAAAAAGGGCTCAGAATTGACAAGGGCAGAGGTGCCTCACGCAAATGAAAAAGCACTATGTGTAAGGTTCCAGTGAATTTTATTCTTCAAATTTGCATACATCCATACACATGTCTGTCTTTGAAAAACCTTTCAATACTACTTTTTGATGATATTGCCAAACTTTCTTCATCACACAACATGTCAATTGAACATTTCCGGATCCACCAGTAAGATGAGGGTTGATGGAGTGTAAGACCACTAAGGAAGAAAGATAATTCAAAGTGTTCATGGTGGTCATCCCTTCTGAGTTTGAACATGTATGATGTGAAGTTAGAAGCTCTTTTCAAGGCTCTCAATTGAATAGACAGATAATCAAGTGCTGTGAAGGCGCCCCTGAGAAATATAAATTGATAAAATTCCCTGTGTTTTCAAAAATTGACCACCAATAACAGATGCACAGGCTGTGAGGGTGTAATTTCTCTGGAACATTATAGTGTTCTGCTTTGTATGGCACAGTCCAAAGACATGTCAAAGATCGAAAAATTGTTGAACTCATATGCATACATATGAGATCACCACCAATATGAGATCACCACCAATATGAGATCACCACCTAGGATAATCATACATAATCCACATGAGTATTAATTACTCCAATGTATCTCAAATCTTGTACTTATATCAATATCAAATTCATCCAATTCTTATATCTAAGCAATGCTTGTATAAATTATATAAATCCCTGCACTCTCCAGTGCCTGTAGCTCTTTGAATGTTGACCCTGTCTATTTATTCTGTCGAACACCACATATTTCACCACCCCTTCATTTCACCACCACTCTGCTTCTATGTTATGATTGACTAAAGTGCTATCTCTATGTTACACTCTGAAACACCACAGGACCCTGTAAAGCTCCTATGGAACCATTGGGTGTGATTCTGCAAAAAAAAGATACCTGATTTTTGAGGCCTTTGATACCAATTGTGTTTGGTATTCTACAACAGTTTTTGACTCAACTTGGGAAGTTTTGTTAGCTTTTCCATTGATGACATGTCCATAGTTTTTGACCCTTGATATACCATTTGATACATAAGTGATACATATGTTGACATCAATTGTTATCAACTGTTTTGTCAAATTTTGCCAATTGATACGTTCTTTGTTGGATGGTTCCATAGTGTCTTAGATTTCTGAATCTGTCGTACAATATCTTTAAGTGGAATTAAAAACACACATATGTGGTACCCAGATGATCTGGCAAGACTTATTTCAAGGTCAAAAAAGCTTTGGATGATTGCCTCAGAAACACTGCCCAAGGAACCAATTTCAGATGACACCTCAGGTTTGAAAATCTAAAGTCTCTTTGTTGGGGGTGACTGCTTATACCACAAGATTATCATAAAAGTCTTTTTCACATATACCAATCACAAATGAATTCCAAAATCTCAGGGAAACATGACTTAAATTCCTCACACTTCATCAAGAATCTTTGAGTAAATTCACATGAATCATACTTTTTTCATTCAAAACCAAATCTTTAGTAAAAGATAGAAAAATGGTTTGTATTGATTTCTCAAGGATTTCTACCTTTTGGAGTAGATTGTGCTTGTTTCAATGGACCCCAACAACATGATAATTATCAAGACACATCAAGAACAAATTTCTCACTTTTTTAAACAAAAGAAATATACTCCAAGTTTGAGTGAAAGTTGAGCAGTCCAAGACCCCAAGATGTTTCAAAGTCTTGTGCAAAAGTGATCAATAGATTTTGATGAAGCAAGAAGAATTTTGCACGGCGTCAGTGTAGGGTTTGCTTGTCAACAAGCAAACACTATCCAGACATGGTGTCATATGGTTTAATTGTGAACCATTCTTGAAGAAGATGAGTAGCTAGTTTTTTTTAATGTATCACTTGTGCTTCCATACATAATTGATAAACGGTACTCAAAGCTGTGTATACTTTGCCGTGTATATTTTTTTTGCAGCTAGACACGACCCAGAAAAAGTATGTCTTTGATTTGAAGCTCCAAAATATGTACTTCTGAGCCAGAAACATAGTTTTTCCTGGTCGTGTGTAGTTGTGAAAAAAGAAAAAAGAAACTATGTATGGCAAAGTATACACAGCTTTGAGTACTGTAATTATATAGATTACTTTGTGTCAAAATTGTGTCTTGTGACTTTTAACCCATAACTATGAGATGATGGATGAAGGTTTTGCAATTGGATTTTATACTTTTGGGGTAATGACAGGGGACCATGGTTATGTTGCTCAGTGAACCAGGTGAATATGTACCAGAGTTAATTGTGATAAGCTGTGATTTCACTCATGGTTGTGTTGCTCAGTTGAATTTGTACCACAGTTGATTGTGATAAGCTGTGCTTTCATTCATGGAGCGTGATCATATAAGTACATGCATTTAATGATAAAGCTTGATGATGTTGATATGTAGTATGTGCGACCAAGTGAAGATTGAGTGACAGGTTATATGTAGTAGGTGATAGTGAAGTGAAAGATGGATCAAGATAAAAGACGATCGATGACGGATGAGTGATAGGTGAGTGATAGGTTTGATAGTTGGATGATGATGATTAGTTGACATGTGGTAGTGTAGTGGCAGTGGTGGTATGAATCCAGTTTGAGTCGTGATTCATGATCTGACCTGTTTTTGCTGAAGGACAACTTCATCATTCAACCTTTTCATCATTCATCATTCATCATTCAATCTCATTATTATCATCATTAGTTTAAAAATTTAAGACTACATTCCTAAAACTAATCAGTCATCAAACTTCAACTGTTGGAATCACTTTCAACCCACTTTAAATCAACCTTTAAGACAGTAGTTGATCAAGGTAATCTACCCTTTTCTTATGACTTATCCTCTTTTCTTAACTCTCCTCGGTTACTGTCCTCTACGTTCCTATCGATTGGTTTAAGAATCAAGTTTGATCGAGTCAAGAAACATCAAGATCGACAATCGACTGCAAGAACTTTGAGAAGGAAACCCGACCTGACCCTTTTCCGATATCTTAACTTTCTATTGATTACCAACTTTTGGCTCACGTTTCGATTGCTGACTCTACCATTGGCTTACTCTTCATTCCCATCGTTGATCTCGTGACTTAATCATCAAACAATCGATTCTTACGTTGGTTGATTGTTAACATTCACTTTTTTACTTCATTATCTCACCCTTGACTCACTTGCCACGTCATACCTTTGATCATCCTCTCTTCTCCCCTCAACAGCCTCAACGATCGATCCATTCAGCAAGCTCAACTCCCCACCGAGCTTGTCAAAAAACTTTCAACTTCACAACTTTTCACGACTCTAACAGTACCATGGGTTTATCGTGGGTAGCTTGATCGTCTTGACTAATCCATACTTGTCGATCGGTCCAATTTACCACAGCTAATCAACTGGTTTTTTCATTCTATCCCGATTCTCTTCCTTGCAGCGTCTCCAAGTTGTTTACCGGCCTTTTTGGTCGGAGAGAAATGGTGAACTTTTCTTGTCTTTATCCCCCCTTCTTCTATAAGTCCGATCTATCGGCCTTCGAATGCCCAAGTCGATACATCTCAAACTACATCGGAAGATTTCCGCTCAATCGCCGCTCTTGCAACTCAATTACCTCATTGGCATCATGATATTGATATTTGTTTGCCTTGTCCTCGATTGGCTTCGATCGAGATAATAGCGAATTCTGATGGTCGGTCTCGATGCTGCTGGTAAAACTACGATTCTTTACAAACTTAAATTGGGCGAGATCGTGACGACGATCCCAACGATCGGTACGTGCATCTTTACCTCAAATCTTTTCATTCCCCATATGACACTCTTCAATCTGAAAGGTACACATACTGACGCGCTTGTTGCTTTCCTTACCGTCGATTTTTAGGTTTCAACGTGGAGACAGTGGAATACAAAAACATCTCCTTCACAGTTTGGGATGTCGGAGGACAAGACAAGATCCGACCCTTATGGAGACATTGTAGGCTTCAAAGACCTAGCTATTTTTTTCATCTGAACCTTGGTTGGGAGTAGAATGTTGATCGGAGATCATCACATTGCCTTCTCTCTATCACAGACTTCCAAAACACGCAGGGTATCATTTTCGTAGTGGATTCGAACGATCGTGAGCGAGTATCGGAAGCTCGTGAGGAGTTACAGCGCATGTTGAACGAGGACGAGCTTAGAGACGCTTTACTACTTGTCTTTGCCAACAAACAAGATTTGCCAAATGCGATGAACGCTGCGGAGATCACAGACAAATTGGGCTTGCACAGTTTACGTCAAAGGACCTGGTACATTCAGGCTACTTGTGCTACCTCTGGTGACGGGTTGTACGAAGGTTTGGAATGGTTGTCTACCAATGTAAGTATCTTGGCGCTGATTTCTCTATAAGATGTGCATCCGGAGTCAAGGAGAGTAACTGACGAGATTGATGTTCTGCTTGGATCTTTTTACACTTTAGCTCAAGCGAAAATCTTGATTCAATCCTCACCGTCTGTCACTCACTTCTGGATTTGGGAATTCAAAGGCTGTTGTAGCAAAGTTGTGAGAAGTGAGAAAAAGGAGAGCAAAGGTTGGAATGAGTGTTGAATGCGAGAAGTATGAGAGAGAGAGAATATGATCTTTTTTGTTTAAATTTACTCATTTCGAGCCAACCAAGCAACAATAGATTTCTTATGGGAATAAGTAGAAAGGAAGATGAGTTGTAGAGAGTCGTATTGACGAGTTAAACTTCCCTTGAGACACCTAAAAAAAGATTACGTCATGTCCTTGTTACCTTACCAGAACGCACTACTGCAACTCTTAAAACTCTTGCAATCTTCTTTTCATAAACCCTTCCCTGCTCTCTCTCTCTGTCCTTCTCACTCCTCTCTCCCTTTGACCTGTTGTCTTTTTGTTTTGTTTTGTTTTTTTGTTTCCTATTTCTGATGATGGCTGTTAAGTAGACATGTTCTTCTGAATTGCCTAACTCTTTCCTCTGATCATTTTAAAACTTCATTGTCTTCTTTAGCCTGAATGAAAGTTCCAAAGTTCCATAGAAAGTAAAAGAACAAAAAAAGAACAAAGCTGATTGAAATATTGGTCTTTTGAAGAAATATGTTTTGACTTTTTTTAATGAATGCTCATTGGAAACTTCAAAGCTTGATATTTATTTTCATTTTGTTTGGGTGTGATTTTTCTTAGTTGATGTGAACACTTTACCCATAGGATTAATTCTTGTGAGCAGTTTGGTAGGACTCATGACCAAAAGACAATTCTATTGACAGAACAAAAGTCCAAGTGATACTCAAGACCCACCAAAAATAGTCAAAAGAGAAAAGATCACTTGAGCTGATTCTTTTTGAAACACCTTTTTTGGTGTCGTCAGAGGGAGTATGCCGGTGGATGTTTTATATAATTCATTCTATGATCTTTTCTCTAAATTTGATTTGAGATTTCTATGCCAATTTTTTTGGCTAACATTGCAACGAATGCACTTCCATTCCAGTGTTAGACTGATAAATAAGTGCACTTGCCTTGGAAAAATTTCTTGGATTGATTTCTTCAAAGGTTTTCCATTTGAGTGGTAGGTTTCCTTAGATTTTACCTCATGGTGTCATTTAGGATCATGGATTGACTGTGGTATTTTTTTGGGATTTGTGCTATGGGAATTTCAAAAACATGATAAATCTTTACATAGGAATTCAAATATCATCATCATTTTTTCCATGGATGAACAAGATTTCAATCAAGTCAACCACAAGCAAAGCATTTCAGAATCATACAAAAGATTGACAATTTTGAGACACCAAAATGGTCAGACCATTTATACTTCTGGGACTTGTAATTGAACTTGGATTTCAATAACAGTAGGATAAGAAAACTAACTACAAAAACTCAATAGATAACCAGGACTCTTACCGAACTTAACAAAGTCCCTCACATGCGGTAAAACCCGGAGCCTGCGTAGGGACTTACGCCAAATGTGAATTTTGTGGCGTGAGCGGTCATCGAGTTTAATAGAGGAAAAAAGCACTCAATAGAAAACTTTTGTTACACAAAAGCTTTTTGATTTTTCTTTTGAGAAATAAAAGTCTGGCCTCTTGCGGACCAGACCCTCAATTCAGATCTTCTGTAACTTGAGCCATGCTCAAGTTTCCATTGCCATCCAAAAAACAAAATCTCAATTTTCAAAAACCAACAAAATCAACCGTTGCTGCGAGATGAATAAAATTCATTACATACACAGATTTTAATTCTGACTGTAGCAAAATCATGGGTTGGTGAATCTGGTGGTAAAATCAAAATCGAGCTCCAACAGCTCACTTGAAAAAATTGCCTTGCACCAATTTCACTGCAAGAAATAGTTGATTACTGTTTGACCAAGTCAACGACGCCTTTCGTAGTCGACACCACTTCTTTGCCAATCAAACTGCTATAAGCAATGTCTCAATCTAGACCGGCTAAGCCTGCTTGCCCAAGTCGAGTTGTTCAAATATGTGAATTCATTGATTCTATACCTTTGTTTGATCCAAAGAATTTTGTGCAATTGTTTCTGGATTCACCAGACTCTACCTTAGCAAGTCACTGCCGCCTCTGGGCAACAGCTACAGGCTGGTCTTCAACTACTCGGCTTATGAGATCAATCAAAAGATTTGCAAAATCTACAGCTGCTGGAACAGCTCTATGGGAGTCTTTCATATCAGACAAGGTTGAGTCAATTGGGACTTATCTTATATTTGATAGGTGCCCTAACATCTCCATTTTTACTATGTCAATTTGCTTCCATCAGGCTGAGCAAATAGTAATTTCTCAGTCAATGCCCAGCGGCAAGGCCCCGGATGGCTCTTTTTATAGCTCTAAAGAAATTGACCACACCTTCTTTGAAAAAGATAATGAAGAAGAAAGAGAGAGAAAAGTTAGGCAATATATGCCATTCCTCTACAACCTTATACAAGCAAAAATCAAAGACACTCAGCTTCAAAGAAATTCACGAAGAGACTCAGACGTACAACTGAAACAAAAGCAATCTGAAACAAATCCTAGAATTGAAGAGGATGATGATTCTGATTGTGATTCTGGACTCACACCTGAAACCAACAAGGATGGGGAAAACATTGATAGAACTAGCGACGATCCTGCAGCGTTGCTTGACATGCGTGATGATGTTTCCTACCATTGGGAGACTGAGCGTGAGATTCAAGACCAATTTCAGTTGACTCAGATTCCCATGACTGTCTGCTCAATGATTGGTTTTGTCTGTAATTGGCGTCACAATGGACTAGCCATGCTCAACTCCGTCACTTTTCTTGCCAGTGGTGTGCCACAGCGTGCTCATGACTACCTTCACTCTTTGGGACTCACCTTGGCTTCAGCAATTGCCAACAGGTGCATGCTTACATTAAAAAAGAAGACTGAAGAACAACTTTGCTATTGATCTGCTCTCGATTGTGTCTTCCAGCCATTGGTCACAGCCGACAATATTGATATCATGAAACGGGTTCATCACACCCAAGTTGATGAGAAATCAAAGATTCACCACGGCAGCTGGGCTTATACTCATTTCTCACCCAAGCACTTACAGAAGGAAATACCAGAAGAAGCCACTGTCAAAGCTTTTCAGGCTGCCATGAAAGCAAGTGAAACTGCACCGATCAAATTGTATAACTTTTTACCCGATGAAGCCGCAAGTGATCATTGGAAATGTGCAATCAAGACTCAAATTGCAACTGCTTTAATTCGCCATGTTGTTGAAAAAGACAGTGCAGCCTACAAATACTGTAAAAAAAATCTAGCAACATCACCTCCGCCAATTGATCAGATTCCAGTCAAAAAACTAGATATAATGATGTTTAAGATGATGGCAGCTTCAGACAACTCAGCAGGTGGTGTTGCTGAGATGATTGAACAGCTGCGATTTCAGACTGGACTTTCAGAAGAAGAATATGCTTCAAAGCTATGAGTTATTGAGGGAGATCATGGTACCTGTAAAAATATTCAAAGCTTAATTACAAAATCTTTTCCTGCTGAACATCAGGATGAAGCTCACAACAAACTGATCACTATTCTCGGAGCTGCACATACTCTATGGAATGTCATCCAGACAATTCTTTTAAAATATTGGGGGGATCCAAAAGATTCTTCTGATACAGGCATGTGGAAATCTTGGGTAGCACTTGGTGGAACATCTGAGAAGCCGGTTTCAAAGAAAGATTTCAGTTCAATAATGGAAATTGTACATAAAGTCCACACATCAACCTTAGTTTTCTTGCTGCAGTATGACCAAATCTTCTACTTTTTGCCATTCAAGTTGAAATCCACTAACTCGTATCTTTCTTGACTGGCCACTGTAGTCAACTCATTGCTTCAAAGGATACAGCCTTAGACCTTGCTGAGGAGGGTGTCGCAGAGGCACTGGTTGAAGAATGTTACTTCAGATACTGTTCTGATGAATGTCGCGCTGATTTGTCTGAGGTAGAAGATGGATGTCAATGTTGGTGCGCTATGTTTAGCGGCCAGCAGGCTCTCTGCCTGTATTTGATTGGCTCTTGTCTGCATGGCCACTGGACTTCTGATGAAGATGTGAATTGGATGAAAACAAAGACTCGCAGGAATCTTTCATCAATCAATCTTATTGTATTAGTGTACTTGGTTTGGCTCTTGGGTTTCAAAAGACCTCTTGTAAACCATCATTGGTTTCTGCCCAAATGGTAAAAGATTGTGGTCATCGGTATAATGTCTTTGACCGCAGTTGGTTTTTGAAAATCAAGATTTTGTTTTTTGGATGGCAATGGAAACTTGAGCATGGCTCGAGTTACAGAAGATCTGAATTGAGGGTCTGGTCCGCAAGAGGCCAGACTTTTATTTCTCAAAAGAAAAATTGGAAAGCTTTTGTGTAACAAAAGTTTTCTATTGAGTGCTTTTTTCCTCTATTAAACTCGATGACCGCTCAGAGCATCCACAGCTGAGCTGTGCCGTAAATTTGTATTGTACAGAGCGCCGCACGGATTGTTTAGGCAAGTGTTTGAGGCATAAATTTTGAACAATGCACAGCCGTGGTGTCGTACATTACGGCTTGTAGCATATTTTGTGAAGTGAGTTATGGGTTAGTTGATCATTAAGAGCATCCACAGCCGTGTGGCGTAAACCGTGTTGTACGGAAATTTAGGGCAAAAACATCCACAGCCGATGCCCTAAATTGTCACGTAGCTAAGGGGATTTCCTCCGTGCGAGCCAAAATAGAAGAAATTTGTTCTATTTTGGCTTGCTCCCTAAATTCATCCGTACCTTGCTCTTCCCATAAAACTCCCACTTCCTTGCTGACACTCCCTGCAAATCATCCCCCTTGATGATCAATAACCCATAACTCACCTTGCCAAATATGCTTCAAGCCGTACTGTACGGAACCACAGCTGTGCATCAGTGAAAAATCATGCCTCAAACACTTCCCTAAACGATCCGTGCGACCCTCTGTACGATACCAATTTACGGCACGGCTGTGGATGCTCTGAGGGAGATATTCTGCAGGGAGTGCGGTCGTGGAAGTGGGAGTTATGGGAGAAGCGAGGTACAGATGAATTTAGGAAGCGAGCCAAAATAGAACATATTTGGCCTATTTTGGCTCGCACGAAGGGAATTCCCTTAGCTACGTGAAAATTTAGGGCATCGGCTGTGGATGATTTTGCCCTAAATTTCCGTACAACATGGTTTATGCCACACGGCTGTGGATGCTCTCACGCCACGAAAGTCACATTTGGCGTAAGTCCCTACGCAGGCTCCGGGTTTTACCGCATGCGAGGGACTTTGTTAAGTTCGGACTCTTACATGCTACTTTACAACCATAAAAAATGAAATAATGATCAAGAAATTACAAGAAGATGTTGATCGTAAGCTTGAAGTGGTGTTACATAATGCTAATCATGAGCAAATAAGTGTCAGGATGAGAGTTTTGGGTGAGGAGGACATAAGATTTATCAAGTTTAGGTTATTTTTCTTTCAAGTGTGTGGCGGGTAAGAGCAAGAAAGTGGTTTGTAAGAGTAATGTGAGGACCAAAGAAGTGAGAATCCACCAACATGCATTCTTCTTCATCTCATGTGCTTTTTGGGGCTCAGAAGATCTAGAGAGAGATAAAAAGAAAACCCTGGTCAAAAATTGATCTGTAATAGGAATGTTTCATACTGTTAACTCACCTATTTTTACCCAACAAGTTTTCTTCCATATTATCTAAACTTTGTTTTTCGGATTGACTCAATTTACCACCAATCCCTTGCATCTTTCTTCTTGATAGACAACTAACACAACTAGACTTGAGCGACCAAAAAGTAAAACAACAGATATTGAATCGGTCCATAGAAATCAAAAGAGTACTTATCACAAATAATGGTAAGAATGTCAACCGGAACCATCTTGGAATCGTCCTGATCTCAAGTGCTTTGGCCAAAGGTGATGGTAAGATGATAAGGATCAATTCAAGGATAGTTGCACTTAAAAGGATTAACAAACCAGCTACCATTCGGATAGCAATTATACCTTTGTTTTTTTTGGAATGATCTGATGTTTTTTCCATAAAGATTGGAATGACATGTTGGTTAAGACCTTGAAGGATAAATTCTACAAGACCTGCTAGAACAGCAGGATGGTTTGTGTATTTAGCTTCTAGTAATGCACGTGTCATCAAATCGGATTTCAATTCATCAAATTGAGATAACAGTCCACCTGCTTGATCCCAGGCGTTTCGGCTTCCCAAATATTTTTGAATCAACCCATCGAACTCAGATCTCATGGGTTGTGATTCAGGGTTTAAGCCATCAGGAAGAACTGAGCTAACGGCTGAGGAGATGTTGGAGCACGAGACTGAGATTGCTCGACGAGATCTTGATGGATAAGGTTGAGAGATTGAAGTAGGTTCAACAAGCCGGTCGGTCGAGTATGATCGAACCGAAGCTGCCCAATTGACTTTTCTTACCGGAGAGTGTTTTGAGGAGTTGGTTGTGTCAAGAGTAGGGTATTCGTTAGAATGATTCTTGTAATATTCATCAAAACATGCTCGACGTTCATCATTCCTTGTATGCGCGAGTGATGGATGTGAAGGGTTGTGTGGTAAGCCAGAATTGATGATGCAAATGATATCAAACGGATGAGGTGAAGCTGTCTTCTCGTGTGCCGGTATACGAGCAAACATTTCAGCGTAGCTGATAATTTCAAAGAAAGGTTTGAAAGGAGAGAATTAGATAACTTAATCAAATGGGCATTTGAACCAGGGGTATTGAACTTACCTTCTGAATTCCAATAAGAATGCCACCATGACAGAAGCATGTATTAACCATGAGTTTGTTTCTTCAAGTGGATCAAGTTTCTTAGAGTCTTGTAAGAAACACTCGAAATTAGCCATATGAAATGGTTTTTTCGATGATCCATCTAGTATAGACTGAACTTCCAAAGAGATGGTAGTAGAATCATGTTCACTTGAAGTAGTAGTAATTTCTTCAGTAGTATTAGAAGAATAACTACCAGATCTAGATTTCTCACCAATCAAGTCTTTAAAAGATGTTGGAGCTTCTTGATCAGTTTGATGACGAAAATTAAAAGTTTTTGAAATTTGTAATGGAATCCTAGGTTGTGATGATGTTCCAGTAGTTGATTCGATCACTGAAGCATGTCGAGCAAATGATAATCTACGAACTTTGGTGGGTTGAGGGGTTGTACTTTTTGATAAGGTTGTTGCTAATTCAGTACAAATTTCGGATTTCCCTTCTGTTTCAGAATATCGACGGCGAGTCCAGTCGCTTCCATAACCTCCGAGCATCTGTCCTTGTGCTTAAACAAATAAATTTGTTTTTCTTGTTTAATTGGATTTATTTAAATGCTCGAATTGAACTCAGGTAGGTTGATGATCTAAGGTTTGTAAATTTGATGTAAGGCGATGAGGAGATATAGGTTCTTATTGGAGGTTGATTTTGGACCAACTGAATAAATTCTTTTAAAGAAAAAGGAGGATTATCCACAAGAAGTGATACAAAGATTAAGTCACTGTGACGAGCAAAGCGTGAGGAGTTGGAGAAAATTGAATTTTGAACATCAAATCCTGTTGGCCTAGATTTCGTGTGATCTTTTTCGTTGTAGGTATGTGACTTGACTATCAACCACAACTTCAACGATTCGTTTTTTTTTTCATTTTCCCCGTCTATAACAACCTCAATGCAATTCAGAGGGGTTCAATAAGTTGATCAGTTTATATTTACCTGGGTGACGAATGAGGTCGAAGATCTGATATTCTTCATCATCCTTTACAAATCTGGTGGTTGAAACTTGAGTCCTTGACAACTGGTATCATTATGATTCGTAGTTCGGTCACGGTGGAATCGTAATCCCTTGACAGCCCTTGACTCCAAGGTCGAAGAAAGTTACTCCTTCTCTTCATTTCATATCCATTTCTCCGTCACATAGTCAAATACAAAGCTATTCTAAGAAATCAAACCCAAGGAGTAGCAAATCAGCGCTCAACAATCATCAGTCTATGTTGCGCATCAATTCGGAAGGCCAATTATAAGTAGTAACGCTGCAAGTAGTGGTGCAAAATGACGATATGAGACTGATCACTGACTTATGGGCTCCGATTCCTCTTACCTTCTAAATTGACTGCAGTACGGTTTCATCAGGAATTATGAAAAGCTTGAGCAACGCATATAACTGAATTGGATATCTTACTTAAGAGTGATTTAGAATCGTGAGAATGATGAAAATCTACAACCTCTCATCGAGAAGATCGATTCCAAAGCATTCGAGCTCTCCTTGTTACTTCCCCCCTGTGTCACTCGACAAGAAAAAAGATTGCTCAAGAGTTTTGATAACTAAAAGTACCACAATCATAATTTGTTGTACATAACCCTTGGCTTGTGTCTTGTTCTTGCTTATTAAAAACTTACTGAATCAAGGTGTGCCATAGTGCATGAGTTAGTACTTCTTCTTTGCCGTTTTTCCCTATTATTTTGTGTAAATTGATTGCCGGTTCCAGAGTTTCGAAAAGATCATGATCCAGACCTGTGTCTCTGGGAAACAAAGCGTTCAGGAATCAGATCAGATCAGATGTGGGAACTTGAAAAAGTAGTTTTCATTCTGTAGTTTTGGCAGTCAAATACATTTTGTGAGGGATGGAGCCTATCTGACGTCATTGGTATGATAAATGCACTTTGACTTCATCCGATTCCAGTGGTCATCCATAAATCTACCACATCACATCATACATTCCTCAACAATGACCACAATACCCTCAACAACCAAATCAATCGTTCTTCAAACCTCACTGCCATCCGAAACCCCCACTTGGCACAAAACATCAATTCTAGATGTACCACTTCGTCCCCGAACCAAAGACGAAGTGACGGTCCGAATCATTTCCTTTTCTTTAAACCATCGTGATGTTTGGATCCGTAAAGGCCTTTACCCCGGGATCCTTTCATCATCAATCTTAGGATCAGATTGTACTGGAATCATCATCGATCCAATTGACCATCCCTTACACGCTCAACAAGTCCTCATTTATCCTGCTCTGAATTGGTTAAAAGATCCTAGAGGTCCAGATATCAAAGGGAAACCATTTGGAATCTTAGGTGGCACAAAGCTCAGTAAAGGTCTTGGAACATTTACAGAATACATCAATGTACTTTCATCCCATTGTAAACCGATCCCATCACACATGATCGGTCCAAGTGCTGCTTGTATTCCTTTAGCTGGTCTAACAGCTTACAGAATCGTACTTACAAAAGCTAAAATCAAACCTAACATGAACGTTTTGGTTACTGGAATAGGTGGTGGAGTAGCTACGTTTGTGTTACAGTTTTGTTTGGCTCTGGGTGCAAGGGTTTGGGTAAGTAGTGGTAGTGAAGAGAAAATGAAATTAGCAAAAGATCTTGGAGCACAAGATGGAGTAAATTATAAACAAAGTAAGTTTAATTCATTCATTTGCCCAAACTCGTGTTTTTGGTTTAAGTTGATAAATGTTTTTGAATCTTTGGGGTTGGTAGATGATTGGCCTAGTCGTTTGGTTTCCTTGTTACCTGAAGATGAACCTTTATTAGATGTTGTGATCGATTCAAGTGGAGGTGATATTTTGCAAAAGTGTAGAAAACTTTTACGTGATGGTGGTCAAATAGTTTCTTATGGATCGTAAGTGAGAAGATCAAGCTAAAGATTAAATCAAGTAACCAAACCAATCCATTTTTCTTATGTACTGTATAATTAGAACCACTGGATCACCCATCTCAATCACCATGTCAGAAGTTCTAAAAAACTTAGAAATCAAAACAAGTACTATGGGATCTCTACAAGAGTTTCATGAAATGATTGATTTCATTGAAGCTCATCAAATCAAACCTATTATATTTAAAACTTTATTGGGTTTTGAATCTGTAGAAGAAGCTTTTGAAATTCTTAAAGATGGTAAACAATTTGGAAAAGTAGTGGTAGAGATCTCAAAAGGTTCAACTAGTTTAAAATTATAACCAATGATCCTTCAACTTTATCTTTTCGTGTTTCAGAAACCTTATCAATTGTAAGATGGTTTCTTCAGTAAAATATATCTATATCTTGTGTAGAACAAAGGCCCACAGACCAAATCATCCACTCGATCATTATCCATTAAACCTCTGTATAACAACTGCAAAAGCATTAAATCTAATGATGTTCATAACGCTTTTGTTATAACAATTAGATCTACAGACCCTGGTTTTAAGCAAAGATTACTTTACTTGTCTGGTAAATACATTAGTTTGATATTGGGATCATTAATAATAAAGAAAAGTCATTAGAACCGAAACATGAGGATAGAAACGTGTGTTCTTTGAGCCTTGTTTTGACCTGTGAAACATCAGTGAAGTAAGCATTAAGTGAGAATTGACCGAATCGGATTCACCAAATTCAACACATCTATTTCCAGAGATTCAAAAATAATAATTAGTATAAGATTGAACAATGAATTTATTTAGAAGATGAACATCTTATACTTACAATTATGATTTCAATATTCAACAGCATCTTCATCCCTTCCAGTAAGATTCGAAAGATCAGGCGTATCTTGTCTACCTTCAGTTTCATCTCTCATTTGAATATCAGATAAATCTCGAACCGATGGATTGATGGGATCTTCAATGATCGGTTGAACTTCAGTCGTACTGTTCATCATGGTAGAAGATGATGCTTCTTGTTTAGATTTAAGTTTTTCGGCTTCAATCTCGGCTAATCTTGTATCACGTGCAATACATAATTGTTCTAATTCATTCTGTTTGTGTTTTTAAAATCCGAAAAAGTTTAGTAAAAAGGCATCAATGGTGATGAAATGCGGATGGGTTTTTGGTGGGAGATTATTGATCTAATGAAGTTGAAACTTAACTTGTTTGTTGGATTTTTCTTCTAACCAAATCCTTTGTTGATCTTCAACCACCTCACGAGTTTCCCTACGTTGACTAAAGAAATGAAAAATGTCAGATCGAATGTAAGATCAAGAGATGATGAACTGATCGAGGGGGGGAACAAAGAGTGAACGACTTACCGATCTATACGTTCTTCTTGTTCTGGAAGTAACTTGTTGGGTAACCAGTAAATCGGTCTTATGGGATGATGATTCAAAGGATGTGAAGTAACAGGAGGTTCGAGATTGTCAGTTTCTAAAACATTAGTAGAAGATGTACAAAGATAATTTGAAAAAGCTAATTGATTTGAAAAATGAATAAGATTCTAAAACAAAGAACCCATTCGCCCCAAAGATTCCACCAAAGCAAAAAGTCAGGAAAAGATGATTGATTAGGTTTGGATGATGATCGATGATTTGGTGGATGGAAAAAGACTCACGCATTCCGAAAGTTGGGCTAGTTCTTCGGTTTTCCTGATCACTGAACTCTTCAGGTTCTTTTCTTCAAGTTCATATGTCCTTAGTTGATGTAAAGCTTCAGATTCGATTTTTAGTTTAGCTTGTAACCTATTCTCTACGGCTGCTCGACGTTGTGCCTATAAAGAAGATAGAAGGGTCGATTGTTCTGGATTAGATTTGGTGGTTTTGGATTTGGATTGAGGTGGTGGGGTGACTTACTGCTTCGGTTTGTCGAGTTTTGGACGTTTCGTCTTGGAATTTACTTAGTGTACCCTAAAGATTATCAAATCATTCAAACCCATCAATCGCGTCAATGTATACAATCTTACCAAACGATCCTCATTGTCAATAGTTTTCAGTAGAAAGAAAACATTTACCATTAAAGCACCAAACATTCTAACATTTCTTTTCTTATCTGCTTCAGTAAGTTTTAATTTTTTTCTTGGTTGATCGTCTTGAATGATTTCAGAAATCGAATGATTGGGTTCTTTTGAAATCTTCATTTTTTGTTCTTCATCTTGGTTTGGTGAGATGGGTTGTTCTGATTGGAATTCTACTTCGGCTGCTAGTAGTTCGTTTTCTGATGTTGTCATGATTTCGAATCAGATTGGTAGGAAAGTTGATGAACACTCTTTCTGGGTGGGTTTTGGGATGGGTTTGTTAGTTGGGTTTGGTCAGGAACTTGCTTTGTTGATCGAAGCGGTTCTTTGGTTTGGCTCATTCAGAACTGCATTGCAATCTGAAACTGTAGTATATTCGGTATAAGCATTACATATACACAGTTTACGTATGCTAATGTTGAATGTGTGCTTGAAAATCATATGCTCATGACTCATCAGTCGTTGAATCGTCGATGTGACGTCACCAAAGCAGTTTTGAATCATCATCCCTCTCAAGAATTTATAGAAGTCATAGATATAACCACCAAAAGATGAGTAAATATTAACTTATTTTACCTTGAAATCTTCTTGAAAGTTTTTTTTTTGATTTTAAATTTCCTTCAAAATTTTAGATAAATTAATTTTAGTAAAGAAACAAGTTAAGGAAAAATCATTGTCTTTTTTAATACATATATATATATTTGAAGATAAGTGTATATATATTTCTTACAAAGATATGTATGAGGATTGAAGAGAATGTTTTTCTCGATGTGTTTTGGTAAGTAAGTATGTACATATATAAGATGATGACAAGGCTTTGAAGAGATCCAATGATCTATATCCATCTCAACTTTCAACAAGAAACTTCTTCATGGTTTATTGGTTTAGACATATCTTTTTTTAATTCTCTATGAAGTACATGGAGGGCTTTGATTCGAATACTGGATGAAGAATTCAGATTGAAAAATTCATTCTATATTTGCCATGATGATATGAAGAAGGAAATGGAATGATGAATTATGAAACATAGCTGATGTTGTTCTGACTGGTCGGTGTGCATGTACCATAGCTCAAGCAGTTAGAAGACCATCAAGAAGTCATTCAAGCCCTCTAATTTCATGATCGACATTGCTTAAACTTGATATTCCTAATCTTGCATTCTTATCACAACCTAGTATTCGAAAGTTTCTGGCGCATTGGTTGTTTTATCATGAGATAAGAATGAGAATCATGAACATTTGAAGCACAAAAAGAAAGGCACATCAAATGGAAAGAATGATGAAGAAAAAAAGGTTGAACGAGTTGGAGATACTCTGACTAATAGATTGGTCGCTTAAAATGATCACGAGAACAGTATGAATCAATCATCAGAAGACATTCTCATTTTGTTTTCGTGAATTTTTACAGACCGATCTGATAGAAGTGTACTTTCATGTCGTTGACTCGGTTTGACCTTTTGAAGTTTGGAGATCGTTGTTCCGTTGGGTGTGGTTCATTGGACGGCACTTCTACTCATGGTGGTAGGGGCTTGACGAGGGCGCTTTATATCAGCATGACGCACCAATGGCCAAGAGGTTGCAATGAGTAGAGACGTTGGGAGGAATATATGGGATGAGATGGTATTGTGGAGGATCCGTGGGAAGGGATAAGTGAGGATGTGGGCAATTTATAGACCGGTCTTCTCAACAAACGCGCTACTTGCGAATAGAGAGCTGTGAGGCTGAGAAAAGCTTCATCCTCTTGCTTTGTTCTTTATACGGTTTGGGATGCAAAAAGATTGGTTTTTTGCAGTTCAAACGTGCTTGATCATACATCATACTTCTTGCGATCAATACTTGTGATTGTTAGTCTCAGGCTCTTTATTCCTTTTTAACAATTGGCTAGGATAAGATCTTTTGAGGAACTATTGTTTCCTTTTTGTACGACGCTCTTGGCTTGGGAATTAGACCAGTAAGGTCTAAGCAAGATCAATTCTAATTACTCGTTCAAAGGATATGAACAGATGAATGAGTGTGAACAAAAAACAGTCATCATCCTTGAGACTTTAAAGGGAGACTTCGAGATGTTCATGTTGGATTGTGAAGTAGTCCTACGACGCTCTTTGTTTCATCCTCTTCCTCTTCCTCGTCCTGAGATAATCTTTGTGAGTTTTGTGTTTTTCCTCTTGTATGACGCTGTTGGCAATGGCAATATTGCTTCTTTGATCACTCTGACTCAAGGCTCTCGCGTTCAGATATGTCACAGTCCTTGAAACCTCTCGATCGAGTTGAAATGAACACCCTAAGGTACAAAACACCTAGCCTAAGTAGAGCTTAAGCGTGTTCGGTGACCTAACTACGGTCGGTACCAGGAAGTTAAAGGTTGATCTGATCAATTTTAGTTCTTTGACTCTTGACTGTTTACCATTCAATTCAAATCAAACACCAACCAACCAGAACTAACTAACTAACCATCCCAAAGATATCATCAAGATTATATATCATCAAGAAAGAAATCAAAGAACAAACACTTACTTAGTTAATGAAAGTCAAACAAACACTCATTCATCTTCATATATTCAATCTGAATTAAAATCAAAATGAATCCAACCTTTCCAGTACAAAGACCACCCACTGCAACTAATCACGTTCCTCAAAATGACTTACATCAAACATCATCGATCGGAAATCAACCACCTACTTCTCATTGGGCTACTTTAAATACCAATCCAGAATTACAACGTACACTTTGTCAAGCTGCTGCTTCAGGTCAACTTACTCCCGATCAAATGAGCTCATTTTCACTCTATATGAAAGGTAATCCTACTGCTTTTAAAATGTATCAACTTGAACTTGCCACACAACAACAACAACTTCATCAAAATCAACAACAACAACAGCAGCAGCAGCAGCAACAACAACAACAGCAACTGCAGCAGCAGCAACAACAACAGCAACAACAACAGCAGCAACAACAGTCAACTCATCAAACTCATCAGACTCAACATCTTGAACCTGGTAAGCTACCTTCTCAACACGTACTTCATCAGCATCGTCAGTGGCCTAGTCCCTCCCTTCTTTCAACCAAGCTAAAAAAAACTGACCGCATGACTTACATCCCTGCATTACTTAGCGAATGGAAACAATGCATTTATGCAATCTTCTCACCCTAATCCTCAAGTGCCCTTACAACTTCAACAACAACCGATCACCCATCATTATTCATCTCCTCAACAATCAAATTCGGTGGCACAGCCTAACATGCAGCAAGCAAGAATGCCAGATTCAGTCCATATGCTCTCAGGCGATCTTCAATTAACTCAGACTATTGCTCAGTTTCGTCAAACTCAAGAGTTATTAAAGAATCCAAATCTTACTCAAGTCGAACGTGAAAATGCAGCCATGAGAGGTCGTGAACTTCGTGAAGCTTTAGCCACACGGATGACTCAACTTGGGATTCGAAGAGATCCGAATGTAGGTAGTCCAGCTACTACACCTTTGATGCCGGGTTCTCAAGGATTTCAACCTGCTGGACAGACTGGTCAACCACAACATCCGAATGATGTTCAACGTGCTCATCTTTCAGTAGCCTATCAACGTCAACAACAAATGATGTCTGGAATGCCAATCCCTTCACAACCTCCTGGTGGTGCTGCTCATAACATAGCTCGACCACTCAGTCGTAATCTGGCTCCTACTTCAGCTTCTAGTCCTCGTCCATTGAATCTGATCTCGGGTCGGAATAGTCCATCTCCTAATCCTACAAACGTGAATTCTAATAACCTCATGCAATCGATCTCTCGTCCGAATTCTTCTCAACAATCTATGATGGGACCTGCCTCATCACCTCCAGCTTTACATAACGTCACTAGTCCTCCTAATAATACGGCTTCTGATCTTGCTCGTCGAGTGATCGCTGCTAGACCAGTGACGGCTAAGAATGTAGGAACACCACCGACTAATGTGGGATCTCCTCTAAATCAATCGGCTAATACGGCACCTTCTCCTCGACCTCCATCCGCTGCATCGATCAATCCATTACATATGGCTCAACAATCTCAGAGTAATAATTTGAATGGTAACCTAGCCCAACACTTGTCTCCGGCTGCTTGCCGAGTCACTTCACCTCCGGTCGCTCAAACACGTGAAACTTCCTTACCGGCACCAAGTTCACAGAATGTAGCCCCTTCCGAGCCGATCACACGCGTCACTCCTCCTACCCAGGGATTTCCAAGCTCAACTCAACTTCCTAAAGCTGCTGTGAATCCTACGACGAGCACACAACAATCACAACAATATAGTGCGATTGCAGCACAACAACAAGCCAGTTCGCAACCAGTCACATCCACCACATCAGGACCATCTACAACACATAATGCCCCTGTTGTACCACGAGAAGTACCGACCCCAAGACCTACATCACCAGTTCCATCACCTTTCCCAGCTCCAAGACCGACATTAACAGGAGGACATGCTACTTCTACTACACTTTCAGGTACTACACTTCATAGACCACCTGTGAATGGGATTCATGAAGCATTAGGACAATCTAATTCTCATCATCATGATCCGAATGGGAGAGGAGGACAAGAAAGTACGAGTAGTAGTAGGATTCTGTCCAAGAGGAAAATTCAAGAGTTGGTGGAAAGTATCGATCCTAGTGAAAGATTAGAAGCAGAGGTAGAAGATGTAAGTAGATTGGAACTTTTTGATGTAGATTTGATTGGTACAGAAAAGCTTACTAGGCGTGTGTTTTTTTGTTTTTTTTTTCGGATTGGATTAGCTTTTGTTGGAATTGGCGGATGAGTTTATTGATTCGGTCACAAGGTTTTCGTGTCAACTTGCTAAACATAGAAAATCAGATCGACTTGAAACTAAAGATATTCAATTACATTTAGGTAAGCCAATTTTTTTGGATGATTTTCAATTCTAGATTTGAAAAAAAAGATGCAAAAGAAAAAGTTCAAGTTTTTTTTGATGATTTTCCGAAATTCATCCAACTATTCTTTTTTTTCTTTTTTTTTCTGTTGGGTTTTTTTTTGGGGGTGGTTTGATTTGAATAGAACGGTCTTGGAATATAAGGATTCCTGGATTTGCTAATGATGAGATTCGACAAAGTCAAAGTAGAAGGGTGAATGCTTTACCTGCTTATCAAGCAAGAGTTGCAGCTGTTAGAGAAGCTGCAAAGAAACGTAGACCTACTACTTGATTTAAAATTTAATTCATTGGAAAGGTTTTTTTTTCGGTTTGGTATGGTTACCTAAGGGGTTGGGGGGTTTGGTTTGTAGAAAGGTATTTTTGGAGGATGCTTTGGTACAATTGGAGGGATTGAAGAAGTTGAATGGGGTTTTTGTTTTGATGGTTTGAGTTTTTTTTTTGTGGTTTGTGGTTTAATCATTAGAGTTTAAGAAGTTTAAGGTGTGTTCTTTGTGTTTTTTGTGTTTTTGTGTTTTGTTATGAATAGTAGTGAATAGTAGTGATATTTCAATTGAGATAAATATATATATGTAAAGTGAATTATGAGATATGGAATGAGTTCTTGATTTAGAGATTGTAAGATCTTTGAAACGGTTTATTGGGTTCTTTGATTATGATTTACTTTTTTTGGAAATTATTGGTGAGTTTTTCTTATGAAGGAATTTGTTTGATCAATTAAATGAATTTCCCTGGAGGTGAGGGATCTTGGTTAGTTATTATGATGCAGAACGCGGGTTGGTTTTTCAGAGTTTTTTAAGTTCAGTTTGTATCTCTTTGATGATTAGAACATCATGACTCTGTGCTCCTATTATTCTAGGTGTTGAATAATTTACATTTTCTTTGGGGATTCAAAGATAAAATATTGGGTAAATGTCGTATGACAGACGATGATGAAGTGATGTTTTACAAATTGGAAAAATTGGTTTGGTTGAACTTGAAGGAGAGATGTATAAGATAATTACGAAATGTTGGTTCTCTGGGAGATGTTTGAAGTTAAAAATGTACTTAAGAAAGATGAAATCGTCATTTTTTTGTATATGCTCTTTTCTTATACGTCTTCTTATTTCTTGGATTTCAAAGGTTGGGAAACTATTTTGTGTCTGAGCGATAGGCATTTCTTATGAAAAGTTGAAGTTCCTATTTACTTTGATTTTTGGAACATATCCATTTATTAAGCAGTCGCTGAGAGGAATATTAGTACCAACAGACCATACTGGGAGTAGGTTGATCTGCTAAATTTATTTTATTATGGGTCTGGACCTTTGAACATTCTCTCTTGATTTGCCTTTCAAATCAAACCTCGTGTTTTGTTCTCTCCTCTATCGCAAACAGGGGATTCAAAGGGTTCCGAAGGTCATCGTTCTAGCCTCTCACTCTCAAAAGCAAGGCTCTTTACATGGCATCAGACTCACAACGCGACCAAACTGAGACGTCTCATGAAAGGTATCTCAAACCTCTTTCGAGATCAAATAAAATTTTAAAAAGGTCAGGATCGAGTATCCATCAAGTTTTGTTTCAAAGCCAAAAAAGTAAGAGATGATAATTCAAAAAAAAAGGAAAACAAGAACTTGATAAATCGAGAAAGTTTAAAAGAAAAAGAAGAAAGTAAAATAAGTGAAAAGATGACTGAGGTACTGCTGAGAGATAGAATAAAAAAGAAAACTTGTAAAGAAAAATTAATCAAGTAAAACAAATTAAACTTTAATGCTACGGTACTGCTACAATAAGATGAAAAAAGGATATAAATTGAGACTAGAAAAAAAAGACTACTATGCAAATTTGATGAACTGATTAAGGGAAAAACAATAATATACAAGGAGAAAGCAATCAGAGAAAGAAGATCTCAAGATCGAGGTAGAGGACTTGAAACTTTTCCCGGACTATCCTCTATGAAGATCTCGATGACCTCGGGTTCTTCCTCCGGCAATGGTAAAATATGGTCTATAGGCGTCTCGTAACACCTATAGAATTGGAATGGATTGGTATCGCTACCATCCTGTGAATCAAGTGGTCGAGTTCCACTTGGGCGCGTAGTCGGCCTCGATTTCTCCCTGGCCTCTTCCGTGCTGGCGATCTGCCGGTTCCGCGGCCTTGATGCATTGTTTCTCGCCATGCTGCGGTTGACTTGTCGAACTCGGTCTGGGGTGACCTGTTCGGTGTCCGTCGTCGAGGTTTCGCCGTACATGAGACGGCGAGTGCGAGCGCTCATCCTCAGCTCCCTAGATGGAGTTTTCCCATCTGACATAAATGAATGTCGAACATATGTCAGCTAGCAGTCATTACCAAGTACTGAAGAGAGAAAGGCCTTACGGTTAGGGATTTGCCGTCCTGAGCGTCTGGGAGTGACCAGGTTGCTTCCGCCAGCTTCATTCTCCGTACCGCTTCTCACAATGGCCCCGCTGCAGGAGGTGATTGGAGCGACAGATTTAGGTGCCACGGGTTGAGCGTTTGGGCTGGACATCTTGGTTGTTTTAGGATTTAAAAAAATAAGGGCAAAGGGTTTTGATGAGGTATAATGAAATCAAAAAAGGGGCAGTAGGAGAGGACAAGAGTGATTCAGACTGATGAAAGAGTTGGGTAAAAGATTTCTAATCAAGTTTAGCGGGTAAATAAATGTGTTTGTTGTGAGTGATGAGGTTCGAGGTTGAGGGTGAGACAAGCGCTTTTTATATGTGATTTGAGAGCTGATCATCAAACGGAACTCAGGAACACCTCAGGCAGCTTCCAAGCGCGTGAAGCTAGACAAAGGCACCATTTCGGCTGGCCAAGCTCAGGGATTCTATACCACACATCCAGCCATCAAGTGCTGGGGTTGGTGACGCATGACGTGATCGGCAGGGAACGCATGAGCTCTGTGCCTGGACTCATTGTGCAATGCCGCAAACGAAACATAATATGTGGAAAGGAGTATGTCAAATACATTTTCGAAGACGGAAGCGCTGGGCCAAGTCGGAATCAAGGGCATTGTGGAATCAGGCAATTTCGTAATGAGCGCACAATTGTGCAAAGACCTAGGACAACGGCGTGCTGTGGACCTGGATGATGACCTCTTCACTGAGGAGCATTCTGGGAGTCTACGCGACGAGTTTTGACTGGTGGAAACTTTGGCTACGAGGCTACAGATTTGTTTGCATTCACAGTAGAGGTTTGTATACCTAGGACAGTTGATGGCATGGGTAGATTCAAAGCTAATGAGGTACAGTCATTTAAGAAAAGCTTGCCCCAAATTCCCCGCCAATTCGCTCAAGTTTTGGGGGCAAAATAGGGCAAAATTGAGCAAGCCTTTCTTACATGACTGTACAACAGTCCCAACAGATGAGCAATTTGACAAATATGAAAAGTATCAGGACATGATGCGTGGAGAAGTTCAAATCGAAGTCTCAAAGGAATGAATATACAAATGAAAGGTGGCCTTGAAGCGAAGATGCACACTTGCGAAAAAAATATGAGCCGATACGCAAATTAGAAGAAAATGGCAGACGGTACCGGGGGCCGTTTCGGAAGGTTATCTTTCAACCGGGCCGCGGGGACTCGGAAGAACCCGGTTCGGGACATATACACTAGCTAGCCTAGGACACACAGAGAAAAATCCTCTGTACACGAAAAATCTCCCTTGGGAAGTGTTCACAAAATTTGCATTTTTCCAATCTAGCACCTTGGGGAATATTACCCATGGAGACGGTTCCTTCTGTATTTTGTACCAAATGTCCTATCCCCAGAACAACCCAGAGATACCTTCAGTCAATACCTTTGTTGATAAGAATAAATTTGGAACAAGCTGGGATGATGTCAAAGTGTTGGTAATATTTTTCAAATACAACCAAGGGAATTTACAGCTCAGCATTTTTGACTGGGAAAAGGCTTACTAACAAATTTTGACACACCCATTGCAATGGAGGTAACTTCCAATGTCAGATTTAATGGGTTTACACACATATCCAGTTTGGTGGTGTGGCAGGTTGTACTGGTGTGCTTTTTTGGGCATCTGATTGGTGGAGAGAGATCATAAAGAGGAAATTGAAATTAGAAAAAGCTTTTAGGTGGGTGGATGATAATTTATTGGTAAAAAGTACCAACAACCCAACTAACATTGAAGATGTTGTGAGGTTGAGTAACAAAATGAATGTGGTGTCCAACTTGGAAAAAGTTCACAACTTTTCAGATGAACAAGATATATATAGTTCATATGGAATGTAAAAGATTGAATTGTCAGACTTCCAGTTGAGAAGTTGAAAGAAGGAAAACAACACATTCCTGACTTCCTGGTACCTGGCAGGTAGTTTCACCTGAAGGAGACATAGAAACTTATGGGAAGACTGCTTTACACAACATACATACTGCCCCACCTGCAATGTTGTAGTCCCAGTTTGTATTGTTGGGATAAAGAAAGGAAGGTTTCATCAGTTAGAAGAGTGGTACCAGCGGATTCAAAGGAGAATTTAACTGAATGCATTTGAAGTGAGACAAAGCATACCTGACTTAACCCCAGTGGACCTAGATTGAGTAGGGGACGCCTCCATGGCAGGGATAGTGGTTTTGGTTGGTGAAAAGTGGGCACAATATGATTTATTGGATGGTTAAAATGCTCTGTTTTCTCTTCACATTACCCAGAGTATAGCCTGGGCTGAGACCATGGCTATACATTTAGGGTTGATGATGATTGACAAATTGTTAAGGTAGGAGAGAAGACATTTATTGTCTTCACAGAAAATACCACATCACAATCTGCAGTGGAAAAGAGGAGGTCAGGAGACCATGTGGTGAATGGAGAATGGAAGAGGATTCAAGATTTGTTATTAGACTCAAATGCAGACTTGGTGGCACATTGGGTAAAATCAGGTGACAGTCTGGCTGGCTTACTGTTGAGAGGAAAAGATAAACAGATGATTGAGAGTCGGGTGGCAATCAGGAGTCCCGCTGATCTGATTTCTGCTGTGGAACAGGTACTCTGGAAATGTTGATTTGTTTAGTTTCAGGCCTTGTTCTTTCTTGAAATACCTTTCTGTGTGAGCACCAACCAAGGTACAACTTGGTACAGAATTCCATGAGCTGGAAGGATGTGTGTAGATGAGAAGATATGCTTATAGTGAGGGAACTCGCGCAAAGTTCTGAAGAGAACTGTGTTGGGAAGTAAAACGTTTTTTCCCTAACAAAGTTCCCAACCAACAGCCTATCTTCCACAGACACATCTCAGCTCATTCAAAGTTTCAAATTTTATATTTCATCATATGAAAAGATTTTCCATCTGCCCACCCGGCAGAGTCACAAGTACCAGGTTTGGTAAATGAGAAGTTTTTCTCATGGACGCAAACCTGGAGGCTTGGCGGCGGTGCCCCCCATACCTTAGGCTAGAGTAAAGATTATGCTATCTTAAGGGGGATGGTTGGTGAATCCCAAATGATGTAATATACATCAAAATCACGACCCCAGTAGTAATGGACCCTTCCTGAAACAATCAGCCTGTTTTTAGCCTGGTATTGGACTATCAAGAGGAGTGCAACAAGAGACCTTTTTAATTGTTTTTCCAATAAAACCTGTCATCCCATTCTTTGACCAGATATTGCCTGTCTGAAGGTCCTGAAAGTCCTATGACCCTCGGAGCCATCATCTGAAATACTCCATTCTGATTACCTAATGCTTCATTGTTACACATCACCAACTACCTTATATGTGAGGGTAGTGACACTTTTAAAGGAGGCTACACTCACTAAAAGGTGGTACTGGGAGTAGTTTCCAATGAAGTATAATAAGTATTATTATCTTTCATTTGTTAAACTAGGTACAAAGGAAGAAGAGGATGATGAGAAAGAGGAAGATAGGATATAAGGTTAACAACTAAGAGTCTGCTAGGACAAATCCTGGCAGACTACTGTTAGTTGACTCTTGAAGAAGAGGTTTTAGTTTATGAATGAATATAACAATGAGAACTGGATCCCAAAGTTCTCCAATATCCTTCTTGGTAACAGGATAAAGAGATATTGTGATATACACAAGTGTTACTATATCAGGTTTATATTAATTATTTTATTATTTTTCTAATTAATTACACTTAATGTTATGTTCAGTAACCATTAAGTGTTTTATACCATATAACCATTTTTAACTCTTGATACTAAGTTATGAGATGTTACTATTGTTTTTTGTACGTAATCTTATATGTTACACATTAGTTCTAGAGTATATGTATATGTAATCAGGGTTTATGTGTCTTTTATTACATTTTACATATGTTTTATAGGCTGTATGTACATGTAATTGGATTTTCTAAGTGATGGTCATATATTACAAGTTGTTCTTTGGGTACATGTATATGTACCCAGGGCTGACATTATACCACAAACTGGTATAGAATTCCTCAGAGCAGGAGATGGCCTCATTCTCTTGTCAAGTGACTCCATTAAGACATACATGCTGAAAAGCAGTTGGTCCAATGCAACTATGAGCAATGCCAGAGTGTTAAGACTACTTGCCTTTGCTCTCAAAGAATGGGTAAACCGTGAATCACTACTATCAATAAAAACTGTGATTCTATATTTTTTGTAGTATGGGCCAGCCCACCTTTGTCAGACAACTCATCTGATACTGGTCCACCACCAATCAAATCAACCACAGTCAGGACCTACTTGTTGGACATCCAGACCTGGCATCTATTCCATGATGCTGATTATCCTCATCAGGCAACCCCAAAGTTCAAAGTGTTATTTAAAACAGCTGCAAAGTTAGAATCAATGTGATTGCCCAAAGTTTCCAGAGAACCCAGTCCTAGTAGAAAACCACTCTAGGTGTCAATGGATCTACCACTGTACAACTTTGTTGAACTCACTTTGTTGACTATGGCACTTGTAATCCGTCATTTGTACCTTCTACTGTATGACTACATTGTTGGGAGGAGGAACCAAAAACCAGGTTGCCTACACAGTCACATTAGTTGCCTTCTGGGGTGTGGCATGACTGGGTGAACTTTTGAAACTAGTGGCAAGTAATAGTAAAGTAAGAGTTCAAGATGTAGTGTGGGATTCTATAAACTAATTTCTATGGATTTGGATTAAGAGGCAAAGGTGACGGCAGTAAGGGAAGTGAAAGAGATAAATTGTCAACATAAGGCCTTCTGGATATACCGGCTTGGCGCAGACTGGCAGTGAAACAGATGATTCTTTCCACGGAAGCAACAGAAGATGATCTGCTTTTCTCCTATCTGTGTGCTAACCAACCAATTATATTGACAAAGACTTGGTGTCAGAAGATTTTTGAAGAGGTGTGGCAATCAAAATTGGGAGTGAAGCTAAGCAGACATTCATTTTGAGTGGGTGGTGCTTCATTGAGAAGGAATTGGGTAGCCCCTTGGAGGAAATAGTGGCAGTAGGCAGATGGAGATCCAAGGCCTATAAGCTGTACATGAGAGACACATGTCAGAGAGGGCATAAGCTGCCTCAAAGGCATATCACCTTTCTTACAAAGAACTCATTACATATCAATAATCTACATGTAATCAACAAATTACATGTACTAATAACAAAAAGAAACATGTAATACTTAATTAAATACAAATCAACACATGTAATCATCAATTACATGCATAGCACACAAACTATCCTTTTCTATCTCAGTTAATATTCAGTTATCCACTTTTACTTAGTCTATTTTATATTGTTTCTCTTTCTATGTGATATTTAACAGGTATACATCATTCAAACAAAGAAAGTACACACAAATCAATTTGGAAGACAATTCTGTGCAATTATTTTTATGATAATCTTTCTAGCAACCACATGTAGCCTTAGTTCAAGCAACTAAGATGGATTGGGAACCCAAATTAGCAGCTTCAAAACTGATCTTCTTGGCATGTGATGGCCACCAAGAAGGGAAGTCTAGTGCTCTTGTGCTAAATAGAAGGGTTGTTGTAGAATGAATTGCACAGGTGAATCAGGGTTCTATGGGAACATAAAGATCATACATGGTAACTAGTAGATCACTACAGACACACATCTTATTGTATTAATCACATGAGATCATCTGCAGATCAATGATCAGTTGTTCAAAGGAGTTGCTCAGATTAACCTCTACTACTAGGCTTTCTGCTATTTATCTCTTTGACCACAATGTGAAACACTGTCCCGCATTCTTAGGTTTCAATCAGCTGGAACAGCGTGAATAGAATGAGAGGAAAGGTAATGAGTAACATTTCATATATGAATCAATCAGACAAAGGAAAAAGAAAGAACAAGAGAGAATGATTCGTACCTGGAACAGCGTGAATAGAATGAGAGGAAAGGTGAGGAAAAAGTCAACCTTTCCTATGCTGTACCAGGCAGGTTATATAGTGAACTAATTACGTAAGGTATCACATGCCAAACATTTTGCTAAGCACACAAAGAGAAAATATGGAATATGTCACAGTAGACATTAGCGGACGGAAGTCACGCAGGACTTTGAAATAACACTGGATAGTCTTGCAGGACTGTATAATGACATAATACATTAGTCACGCAGGACTATTCCAACATACATATGTAAAACTGTAATTAACCTATAACAGGTATATATCAACTATTACATGGTGGATTTCTTGCTCAATAATTGTCCTTATCTGCAACACAGATGACAAGTATAAAAACACACAATGTTTGTTGGAGGATCTGGAATTGGCTTGATCAGAGTTTGAATCTTGGGGTGATCATAGTAGATCCCAATTCAATCTTTTTTGTATAACTTACTAGGAGCCTAAGATGTGGTAGCTGAGAAATCTGAAGCTAGAGTTTTTGGAAGGGGGGAGTGTAGGAAATTCTTGGGGTGCTTGACTCAGGCTGCTGTAGGTGGGAGATCACAGCTAGGAAAATGTCCTGAGTCATGGGGAAGCTCTCTCCCATCAACAGTCACAGGTGGACCTGCTCCCCTCGGTGCTGCCCCCCAGAAGACCTGAGCCTCTATGGTACAAGTAGGTCTGGTTTGTCTAGCTCCCAAACCTAGACATCACAAAGTAGAGAGTGGATTATGAATTAGACCCCATGTTGGTTTTTAGAGAGATTTTCAAGTTCAGTTTGTTTTGTATCTCTTTGATGATTAAAAAATCATGACTCTGAGCTCCTATTATTTTCAATGGTGGATAATTTGCATTTTACTTGGGGATTCAACAATACAATATTGGGTAAAGTATATGTATGAAATACATAATGATGAGATGATGTTTTACAGATTGAAAAATTGGTTTGGTTGAAGGAGATATGAAATGTTAATTTCTTAGGAGATGATGAAGTCAAAGATGTACTAAGAAAGATGGAATCATCATTATTTTGTATATACTCTTTTCTTGTACCAGGAAACTATTTTGTGTCGGAGTGATATGTAGGCTTATCTTCACCCTGAGAGAAATATTACATGTACCAACAGACCATACTGGGAGTAGGTTGATCTGCTAAAGTTATTTTATTATGAGTCATGCATTGAAGCTTTGATGTTTTTTCCTTCATTTGCCTTTCATATTAACTTCATGTCTGTTTCTCTCAGTTTTTGCAAACAAGAGATTCCAAGGGTTGCAATCATTCAAAGAGGGCTCTTTATTACATCAGACTCACAACGCAACCAAATTGAGACATCATCAAAGAAAAGTTCAGAAAGGTCAGGATCAAAAATCCATTAAGTTTTGTTTCAAAGCCAAAAAAATAAAAAATGATAATTCAAAAAAAGAGTAAAACAAGAGGTTTGTAAATCGAGAAAGTTTTAAAGAAAAAGTAAATAGTGAAATAGTGAAATGATGACTGAGGTACTAATAAGAGATAGAACAAAAGAAAGCTCGTAGAGAAAAATGAACCAAGTAAAACAAATCAAACTTCAATGCTGTGATACTGTTACAATAAGATAGAAAAAGGATATAAATTGATGAAACTAAAAAAAATGACGACTATACAATCTTGATGAACTGATGACTACTGATAAACCAATATATGAGATGAAGTAAGGCCAGGGAAAACAATATACAAGGAGAAAGCGATCAGAGAAAGAAGATCTCAAGATCGAGGTAGAGGACTTGAAACTTTTCCCGGACTATCCTCTATGATGATCTCGAGGACCTCGGGTTCTTCCTCCGGCAATGGTAAAATATGGTCTATAGGCGTCTCGTAACACCTATAGAATTGGAATGGATTGGTATCGCTACCATCCTGTGAATCAAGTGGTCGAGTTCCACTTGGGCGCGTAGTCGGCCTCGATTTCTCCCTGGCCTCTTCCGTGCTGGCGATCTGCCGGTTCCGCGGCCTTGATGCATTGTTTCTCGCCATGCTGCGGTTGACTTGTCGAACTCGGTCTGGGGTGACCTGTTCGGTGTCCGTCGTCGAGGTTTCGCCGTACATGAGACGGCGAGTGCGAGAGCTCATCCTGAGCTCCCTAGATGGAGTTTTCCCATCTGACATAAATGAATGTCGAACATATGTCAGCTAGCAGTCATTACCAAGTACTGAAGAGAGAAAGGCCTTACGGTTAGGGATTTCCCGTCCTGAGCGTCTGGGAGTGACCAGGTTGCTTCCGCCAGCTTCATTCTCCGTACCGTTTCTCACACTGGGCCCACTGCGGGAGGTGATTGTAGCGACAGATTTAGTAGCCACGGGTTGAGCGTTTTGGCTGGACATCTTGGTTGTTTTAAAATAATAAAAATAAGGGCGAAGAGTTTTGATCAGGTATAATGAAATCGAAAAAGGGGCAGTAGGAGAGGACAAGAGTGATTCAGACTGATGAAAGAGTTGGGTAAAAGATTTCTAATCAAGTTTAGCGGGTAAATAAATGTGTTTGTTGTGAGTGATGAGGTTCGAGGTTGAGGGTGAGACAAGCGCTTTTTATATGTGATTTGAGAGCTGATCATCAAACGGAACTCAGGAACACCTCAGGCAGCTTCCAAGCGCGTGAAGCTAGACAAAGGCACCATTTCGGCTGGCCAAGCTCAGGGATTCTATACCACACATCCAGCCATCAAGTGCTGGGGTTGGTGACGCATGACGTGATCGGCAGGGAACGCATGAGCTCTGTGCCTGGACTCATTGTGCAATGCCGCAAACGAAACATAATATGTGGAAAGGAGTATGTCAAATACATTTTCGAAGACGGAAGCGCTGGGCCAAGTCGGAATCAAGGGCATTGTGGAATCAGGCAATTTCGTAATGAGCGCACAATTGTGCAAAGACCTAGGACAACGGCGTGCTGTGGACCTGGATGATGACCTCTTCACTCAGGAGCATTGTACATGGGAGTTTACGCGACGAGTTTTGACTGGTCGAAACTTTGGCTACGAGGCTACAAATTTGTTTGCATTCACAGTAAAGGTTTGCTGCTGCATACCTAGGACAGTTGGTGGCATGGGTCAGATTCAAAGCTAATGAGTTACAACAGACCGAACAAATGAGTGTACAATCTGACAGATATGAAAAGTATCAGGACATGATGCGTGGAGAGGTTGAAATCGAAGTCTCACAGGAATGGATAAATGAAAGGTGTCCTTCAAGTGAAAATGCACACGTGCGAAAGAAAAAAGTGCCGATGATAAAAGCAAATCATAAGGAAATCACAATTGCAATCGACTGGTAAAGCGAGATAAGTCGGCGGCAAACTGTTTCATATAAGCCTCATCTTCACCTCCAAATACCCGATTGACATCATCAGTGAACCCAGCAAGAACAAAGCCTCTCCAACTGACATTCTTCTCAGCTCCGACAGGAACAAGCAAGGCTGATGCAAAATTCGCTAAGCCAGTCTTGGGCTTCGGTTCGACCTCAGTGGTTTCAGTTTCGGCGAAAGCTTGATTTTGATAGAGTAGCCCACCTTCAGGTGCTCGAAGAGCACGCAAATGTAAGGCAGAATCGAAATCAGGCATTGGCGAAGGCAAGTTATATGAAGACACGACAAAGGTTCGTCCACTATCTAACGAATGAGGATGGGCCTCGACCGCAAGCACATAAACTAAAGAAAGATCAAGTGTGACGCCCACGGCCTGCGTCGCCAAATCTAAAATCCTCTTCAAATTAGGTTTTATAGCAGATTCTGGTCGATCAAATATGCTGGGAGATTCAGAAGCAGGAGTCGAACCGTTCATTGGGTGGCAAGCTGAAGAAGCTGTTGTAGGAGTTGAGGCCTCTGAGTAAATGCTTGTAAATCCCGCAAAACTTCGCTTCTTGATGGGCGAATTGAGGGGCGAATTATAGGGCGAAGACGAAGGAGTCGAGGCTTCAGAGTTAGCAATTTTGAAGCCATTGAGGCTGCGCGTTTTACGTGGACTTAAGTTATCGGGGATGACGTCTAATAGGTGGTTGGTAAACCTGATGATACTGGGCTTCTTTCTGCGTACTGATGAAGTCGGCGGAGCTGGAATGGATTCAGTTTGTTCTTCGACTGGTGAAAGTGGAGTGGTTACCTGGATTGGTATGTTTGTCGAAACCTCTTCAACACTACCCATTTGCTCAGCCTCAAGACTCCAGTCTTTTCGAGATTTTTCTAAGATCTCTACTTTCTGAGATATCTTATTCATAAACCATAATTCAATCTCCTGGCGTGCATATTCTGCCATATAGACAAGTTTTTTGCGTTGTTCAACCCCAAACGAATCCCAAGGTTTAGTGTCTATGATGCACAGAGTGCCAATAGGGTAGGAAGCGTTTTCTTCAGATCCAAGCCTTGGTGAGAGGAGAGGTACGCCTTTTTGCAAAACAAACATATCAGAAACCGCTCAAGGAGCAGTAGGATGTGTAAAAGGAAAACAGGAAGACTCACCAGCATAGAAGCGCGTGCCCCAATATTGACAAAGGGGCCCAAGTGCAAAGCGCCAATCTTTTTGCGCATCAAGAATCACAAAACCTTTCCGACCACTCAAGACAGTGTGAGTGCCTGAGCAAGAAGACAACACTTTTGTCAGAGTCCAAACCTAGAGGCCCAAGAAAGCCGTCAAAAATGCTTACACATGCTGAAATCTCTTGGAGCTTCACGTCCGTCGGCACCCCCAGATATAGCCAAGAAGATTTGAGTTTCTTCTTGCATGATCTGAACAGCGAGTGACGCGTGGAGGAAGTAGATGGAATTATAAATCAGCAAACGGTCTAGATTATCATTTTTCAGATGGAACTCAGTAACGATGCAACAGACCAACTCACGCTGATCAGGGAGTGAGCTGTTCCAAACATTTCACGACATTGTTTTACAATCTTGCGGAAGATAGGATGTTGTTCAAGTGTTTCTGGAACGTAGGATGCCTTGGTGGTGTTTGAAGCAGACGTCATCATGGTAGAGGTGTCAGACCAAGCCTCAGATAAGCTCTTCGGCTCCCTCCCTTCTCCTTCAAGCTGTTCGGCCAATTTGGTCCTTTCGCGAGCTCGCGCAACTGCTTCTTCTGAGGTATCGTATCCGCCCTTGCCACAAACGGCCAATCTTCTGATGATCAACTGTCGAGCCTCTTCATCCACCGCCAAGCCTGGATCGTATTTCTTCTCTTCATACGGCGTTGGATGATCAGGGTTTGGTTCAAGTGGAGGAAGAGGCGGATCGTTCACATCGATTTGCTCCTATCAAAGCACAGCGATAAGCGCGATGTTGAGCTTGAATTCATCAAGTGGCATGAAATGGAAATTTTGTAAGACTCACCGAAGAATAGAGATCAGTGTACTCTTCCCATGTCTTTGGCTTTTGTTCTTCGGGACTCTTGCTACTTATTCGACGACGAACGACTGCTACAAGTTTTTTGACTTTAGCATTTCGTCCTATGGACCTGATACGCCAGCCTCTATACACTGTGAATTCTGAACTGCGGTACTTCTTGGCGAGAGAATGCTTTTTTGATAGCGCATGATGTGAGGCGCCCTCAGTTGAGGTCACAATATTGGACTTAGTACTTCCTGGCTTGTTCACGAATCCCAGGAAGGATATGTGACGAAAGGCAGATCTCTTTGGCTTTTGGGGCGTAAGACCAGATGGTGGTGCTTGTGACGCGTCATCGTTCTCGATATCAATCCAGTCAGACGCGTCCGGATTTTCGAGCCAGCTTTGGTCTGATGCCACAGAGAGGTGAGCGTCAGAGTTGGAGTTAGGAGAAGCCGTGGCTTTCTGCCAGTAATAGTCGGATGCGGGTCGCTTAAAGGTATCCTTCTTGGGGACTGCGAAGATTGAGGCATATGGAAGGCCAAAGCTGAACGGTGCTGCGATTAGATCCGACATGGTGATTATAAAGACGAGATAATAAGCTAAGCGTATATGATGATAGGATCTGACAGGATGGAGTTTACAAGTCAAAGAAGCGTATTGCGATAAGAATGATGAGATGGTTGCAGGTGATGCGGAGGGCAAGATATGAAGAAAGGCTTTTTGTAGACCTCCGGGTGGAACAATCAAAGTTCTCTAATTGCTTCCCCAATTGATCATCAACGATTCATTATTGTGAGCTTCTCGATGGCAGGGAATTCGATCTCAACAGAAGCACCACCGCCGTGATTGACTCATATGCTGCCGCCCGTGCCAATCTTATTGGTAGTGAACATTCGTAAAAGGTGACAAATTGTGACAGCCTTCCATACCAGAGAAGCACCTGGGCCCGTCAGTCCCATACGTCCGCGGGTGACTCGAAACGAAAAGGATTTATCATGGGTCAGCGCAGCAACGGCTGCAAAGTTTGCCATGGACATACCGGTTTGTTATGAGGAGGAACAAGCTGCAATAACGGGATTCCACGACTTTTGAAAAACTTTGACGCTTCATCATCTTTCAGCCTGGCGATCAGGAAGCATTTCATCAAGGGTAATCACTCCAAGGAATTTGGCTTTGAGGCACGGTCCAAATGAAATAGATTCTAGTGGCATCGTAGGGTTCCTCAAGGACGATGCCTCCTTCAAACGAAGCAATATTTCAAGGGAGCCGATATTAAAGTTACAACAACGTAAGCCCATCAAAGTACCCATGGAGGGCCACTTTGATATGTTTGATTCGAAACCCGCCGGATATGCATAGTATTGAAGTCTCTACATCACTTCATTTCACATAACTCTTATTCAAGAGATGCCAGATGAGGAGCCTTTTGGCCATAGTTATATATATTCCATTTGTGATCAATTTGTAGACCTTTATATGTTCTCAATCGAGCTTTCTATTCAACTGAGTAGGCCGCCGCTCTACAATTCATACCTTGTGTCTATCTGCTTCAATATAAAGCCAAGCTCAACTCTTTTGATTATACGGAAGAAGCAAAATAACCCATCGCTATCTGCGCCAAATGGGATTCCACAGCCAACGCCACCGGCGCTCCGCCCGAGATAGCGGCAGCGGAGCGGTAGCACAGCGCGCGCTCCGCCGGCGCTAGGCCTTTTTCCATATAGCGGGTCCCGGGTTTCACTATAGCTATGGTAAAACCCAGACAAATATAGCGGTTTTGAGATCCGCTCTCTATAGCGGTATCTCGCTGTGCTATGGACCGCCACAGCAACCACAAGCGCATAGCAACAGGGCGCCTCAGAGCGCCCCGTAGCGCTTCTGAGCACGCGTTATTGTGGTTTTTGTGGGTGCATAACGATCTCACCACACATTCACCTACACGCCCTCATACCAACCAACGACAATTCTTTCCATCTTCAATTACACCAAATACAAAACCGTCTACAATCCCATCGACTCATTTGAATACAAATACCTGGGAAGAGAAGATTGAAATGTTAGGATCTGGACCTGTGTTTTCGGATGAAAGTGTGATGAAGCGTGAGGTGAGTGCGAATTTGGCTAGGATCGAAGGTTGCAGAGAGGCTAGATCTTATCGATTACATTTTCAGGTTAGTCAATTCTTTTCATCAAAAGACAATACACAGATCATAAATTTTCTAATGCTTTGAGTTTTACCTTTTTAATGGTTCTGGGCAAAACCTTTCTTTGTTTGAATACTTGTGTGTGTGTGTTTTTTAGAACGTGCATGTGGAACAAATACGAATTTCGGATTTGATGCTCATCATCAATCGAATTGATTAAGGATGCACAAAGGACATCAGAATGACGTTCAAGCTATGCATGAAGTCTTAAAGATCAAACTCATCAAGAAATCATTGAGGCGAGTTTCAAAAGAAGGAAAGAAACACTAATGATTTGGATGATTGAAATGGGTAAAAAAAATCCCCGCTCCCAAAGAAAAGCAATCACTGATCTTTGTACAATGTGTGTGACGTAACATATTCTCTTTTCTTTTTCAAATTTTTAGATCGTTTCATATGCACCACATTAGCCGTGTTCAAACCTGACCCGGTTTCAAAAAACCCAGTTGACCCGGTGGACTTTTTGGCTGGAATCTGTCAAGAACTGTCAATGGATACACAAAGTTACCACCAGAAAAGCAACTGGCACAGTGTCCGCCAAAAACGCGCCGGTCGTCTGGTGAGCTGTGTATGCATCAGATATGTGAAATTTGTGAGATCTTTGTTCCCAAAATCACGTATTAGCTCAGCCTCCCTGTGGCCACGTTGAGTTCCTCAGGAGTCTAGCGTGAGCTCATCGTTGAATTCCTCAAGCAAGCTTAAGCTGAACGCGCTTGACTTGTTGAGACACTTTTGTTTGTTGCGCTTGCGGCCCTACTTTCTTATCTGGCTCTTACGGTATTTGTCTAGTACACTTGTACCGCCAGGACCGTCGTATGCGAATTCACTTATCTAAGCCCGAGTCCAACACAAGCTACAGAGCTGTTGTAAAGTGATCTAACAGGAATGGGCTTGGAGGCCCAGATCTTTAGGATCGTGATGGTATGCCAGAGGAGGTGGAAAATTAAGTGGAATTGCCTTTCATCCATCAGGCATGTTTGTTACTATTTGGTAGCCGTGATTCGCTGTATGTATTTGCTGTTATCTTCGCGGGAGTTTGAGAGAACTGCCGTGCATCAATTTTAAAAAGGAAAGCCCTTCCATCAATCCCTTTCCTTCACCGGCGACTCTTGGCAGCTCTTAGCTCCTTTCATCAAAACCACCTTGACCATTCATACCGTATGCTCCAAAGGTGCTATCCCGGAGTCTTGTACTTGTGCTTAGGAATCACGGCTATTTTGACCCTTCCCAAAACTTTGCAACCGGTGAAGTCTTGCTCCCGTTCATCAAGACCATTGGTTCATCAAGACAATCACTCTGTCGCCAATGTCTTTCAACTTAACATCACGGCTATTTTAACACTTCCCAAAACTTCGCAAACGGTGAAATATTGCTCCCGTTCATCAAGACAATCACTCTGTGTCACCAATGTCTTTCGAGTTCACTGTTGATGGATTATTTCCATATTTAAGGTCCATTAAATCCCCTCAATCTGGCTCATTCAGGACAGGTCATTCCACCTCTCAATCCAATTCTTTCATCCATTACGCGCTTCTCAACACAGTTTGTCTAATCTTTTCTGTTTTTAGTGCCACCTTACAAGCACAATAAGACTGTGTCTTCCGGTCCTCTCACGTTGCGGACTTCTCATCAAAGTTTGACGCTAGCAATCAACAACCAGGGCTCCTCCGTATCTATTGACCTTAGCAACACCAATATGAACAATGCGTCTTCCGGTGCTCTCACGTTGAGGAATCCTTGTCAAAGTTTGACGCTAGCGTTTAAGAAACGTCGCTTCTCTGTATCTATGGACGATGGTGACACCGGTACAAATATTTCTCAATAATCTGAACGCTTAATGAAAGATTGCTTTCTGATCATACCCTTCTTGCAGTACAACCTGGTAAGCGCTACAAGTTGAGCTCCCCAGCTCGTTTTTTTTGGCAGATACATTTCCTGCCCCTTCCTCCGTCAGATATCAGTATGGCTGGGTTCTTCATGAGAACAAAGGTCCAGTCTTTTGGGGCTCCTATCAAACAGTTGGTTGCACCAAAAGAATTGAAGATCACCCGCAAGTAGAGTCTTCTGATAATTTTTGATGTTCTAAATCATCTACTTTTTCAAAGTCATGTCCTATGGTTTTTTTTCTTGTACATGATCCATTTTTTTTCATACACATCCTCAAATCATACACGAATAGTTCTTGGAAGGAGAGGCCCCGAATTGAAAACTGCGCACTTTTTTTCTTGTACATAGTTCATTTCTTTTTTCCATACACGTCCTCAAATCATACACGAATGATTCTTGGAAGGAGAGGCCCGAATTGAGAACTGCGCACTTACATACAGTGTACGCTCCAGCACTCAAAAAGTGCGGCGATGTCCGATTTTGAGAAATGCTAGGAAGCCTCGGGTCATATCTCCTTTCGCGCCTCTTTGGAGGCGAAGAAACGATAAACATTATTTTGAATTGTCTAAGGCAACCACATAGGATCCGAGTAGCTGAATTGAGACTGATGCGCAGCTAGCCCTGAGCACCTCAGGCCTCAATTTGCTGCGCCATCTGGATGTCCTCAGTCGAAGACATAAAGCTTTTGCTGATTGTGCTGTGCTCAATTTTACATGTTCAGGGCGGGCGCGTTTTCACGCAAAACGCAAAAATTACACAAACTTGACAAAGAGCCAAGCTCACCGGACGTCCGGCGCGTTTTTGGCGGACACTGTGTGGGTAACCGGGTTTTTGTGTCAACCGGGTCAGGTTTGAACGCGGCTATTATTTAGGAGGACTTTCACCATTCACATACAGTTGTTATCACCAAAGCCCTCTGACTGGCTCCCTGCAAGAATGATTGGGGCAGTTGACCCGGTACTTTGGTATTTTTCATGCCATGATATTTCTTGAAAAGCCCATTTTTGGACTGTTCAGGTGTACAGGAACCAAGAAATGGTACTCATGAACCTGTACAGCCACTTTTGCAAAAAGAAATTGATCTAAGACCCTGACCAGTCGGACCGCGGGCTGATTTGAGCCCGATGCAAGCCTAATACAGGCAGATTTCATGGCTTTACATAACTAGCTATGTACTTAAAATCATAGTTAAGTCAGATTTATAGCATAAAAACCCACAAAAAATACAAAAGTTTGGTCAAAATTGGTGAAAACCCCCAAATTTTTTATTGTTTTGGTGAAAGTAGGTGTTATTGGAGCCCCCTGACCAGTCGGACCGGGGCCGGCCCCGGCCAAACCAGTCAGAGAGCTTTGGTGATAACAACTGTATGGATTATTTCATTCATCTGAAATCATTAGATCTTTATCGGTTGGATTCATTAGACAAATCAAATCACATCTGACTGGACAAAAGTTTTTTCAAGGATTTAATACGTTTCATACGTTAGCTTATCAAAGGTTAGCTCATTCCATGTATAAACGAATCTTGGGTAGTTTTTTCCAATGCAAATGTCAATCGGGCACGAATGGGAATGGGAATTTGTTTTGTTTTGATATGATGAGTTTATTACTTTTGCTAAAAAGCTTGGTCAGACGAAGAAAAAATAAAATAGAATTAGACCCAGATTTCACCGCAGCAGTCACAACGCAGCAGAGAGAAAAAAAATTTAGGGTGCTGTCAGCTGTGGTGCGACTTCCCTTCCATTCCAGCCTTTTGATCACCCCGCTACCGCCAATATTTTTCATATTCTCCAAATACGAATCAACCACTTCGCTTTCCTCACTGAACCCAACCCCTCCAATGGGTGGTTTCCGGAAGTATTCACCCGACGTGAAAGTGCTTGCTGTTACCTGGTCTCTCAAGGGTCTTCCAAGGACTCTGATCCGACAGCGACTTCGCAAATCAATATATCGCCAGTCACTCACCCGTTGGACCGAGCTCTACCGCCTCACCCGCGCTGTCATACGTGATCCACACACCCACCAACCACGTGGCCGACGCCAGCACTTGAATAACACCGACCGCGAATTCATGGAAGTTTTGGTTAATGAGCAGCCAGAACTTTTTTTGGATGAGATTCAGGAGAAGCTTTACAATGCCCATGGAAAGATGCCATCAATCAGCACGGTTCATCTCGAGCTCCAGTCCCGTCTTATGATCAGCTTGAAGAAGGCTTGTGTTAGTAATGTTCGCAAATCTGTGCGACCCAAGTTGTTATGGGAACGTGATATGATGGGATACCCCTCAAACTTCTTAGTATTTACTGGTAAGTCAGATTTCTCTCATGACCATTCATGGGTACTGATTCTCCCTTACCCAATACTTGTAGATGAGAGCGCTATCTGTGGTCGAGATCTCTTGAGAACTCATCAGCGAAGCAGAATTGGAATACGCACCACACGCAAGATTCCCAAGATGCATCAAGGCCGCTATTCTTTGCTCCCGGCCATCAGTTTCAATGGTTTAATCGCTCTTTCCGTGCTTGAGGGACCTGTGAATCGAAAGCGATTTGAAAGATTCCTCAAATATACCTTGGTAAGTCTGTTCCCTTTTTATTCAATTATTCAACCAATTCCTGACCTTAATTTACTGCACAGCTTCCCCGCATGAATCGCTTCCCAGCCCCAAATAGTGTACTAGTCCTTGACAACGCGTCGATTCATTGTGGTGGATCGATTGCTGATCTCTGTAAGGAAAAAGGTACACTTTGACGTTTCAATTCCTGCCATTTTTCTCTTCATCGTGATTCATTCAACTTACTGACAATGCCCAATATCAAATCTAGGTATTCTTCTTCGATATCTACCACCATACTGTCCCGAGTTGAACCCCATCGAGTTTGGATTCAATGTCTTAAAATTTGATGTCCGGAGATCACAAGTTTTAGTAACTAGGTCAAATCCAGTCGAACGAATCCGAAAGGCAGCTCACAAAACCTTTACAGCTGAATTGACACACAAATTGTACTATCATTGTGGTTATCGGATGTTTGAAGAGGACCTTGATCATGTAGAATAGATGAGTTGTAGATAGAGAAGATCATGATTGTATAGGAATAAGAAAGAAGAAATCATAGATCAGATTTGTGTGAAGATCGAAATCGTTCCAATTCTCTTCATAGGATCCCGAGCGATTCACATGATTTCAATCTTGTTCCAAAAAACCAGTCTCTAGATTACATAAGAGAGCTGAGGTTGTTCACAATCTCTTCTATAGGAACATCGGAAGGTTGATTGGTTTTAACCAAGAAAAACCAGTTGATCATTGGATTATCAAATTCTTCAATAAAAAAGTGATTGTTTTTCGTCTTGTTCATAGGACCAAAGACAAACTGAAAGGGTTTGATTGACTTGTTTTTAATAACATAAGAGACAGCTTGAAGACTACCAATCCATCATATCACACCACAACCATCTCAACATCAAAAGAAAATCCATCAGAACAACATCCTGGCAGATTCTAAACAAGAAATAAAGGGTTCTACTTCAAATAAGTGATCGTTTTAAAACAAAGATCTCAGTCCTTCATCGAAAGGTTTCTTCTCTAACAGATTTCAATCCATGAATCCTACTGAAATCATAGTGATCGATCTAGATCCAACTCGAGAAGCTTTACAAACTATCGATCAACCACCAAATCAACTTAAACCTACATTTGGATTGTTTCTTGATCTTTCTCAACAAAAGTCAGTTTTGATCGATGATTCTGACAATCTTGATTACCTTGAAAACTCACTCAGATTTTGGATATATTTCATAAGAAATTCAATCTCTTTTGTTATTCAGCAGAGCTTGGGACTGGACCGGTTGAAGAATGTAAGATACATCTCATTCAACTGGCCCTTTTTCTCACATTAGGATGGTAGTTGCGAGCTCGTTAAAAGCTTCAACATCATTTATTTATTGCATTTGTTAACAGATGTTCATCAGCAACATGTGAGGAATCCAAACAGTGCAGAGAGGAGAGTTTCATGCCACCAATGACTTCTTTCCTTGTCGAGCTGCATTTCGTTTCTTAGTCTTTGAGAGCCTATATTTCCGAGCATCGTTATAAAGTGTAGTAATCATGACCTTGGAAAGTCCTTGCTGGATCAAATCTTCTCAAGGTAAATCATCTTTATTGATTGATCTATAGTCGGTAACATCAGTATCTTCAAAAACTTTGCGGATTTTTGCCTTTTTTTCTTCTGGGAAAGTGCAGAAGTTGAGGAATCCGTTGATTCCGTTTGGTTCGTCTGGATCATGTGCAGTGGGTGGTGAAGATGAAAGAGGGGGAGGGTGCTCAGGCGAAACGGTTTGTTTGTGAGAAGCACGAGGTGTGGTGGGATCTGGCGAGGCGTGGTTGTGCGCTGGATTTCTTTGAGGTGGCCGAACTGCTTCCCCAACAGCTGCTGCAACACCAACAAGAAGATCTTTGATAGCAGCAGGCGTGAAAGAATTGGTGCTGTTGCTTTCTGGGGGCACAACAGTTGGTTTACGAGGGTCTTTCGCTGGCTTTTTGACCAAGTCGTACTTGAAATGAGCCGGAGGATTATCAATATCAACATCATCGTTGTGCTGGGAACAAAAGTTAGCGCATGTGGGTGACCAGTTATGTAAAAATGATGCTAACTCACTCGGAGTTTGGCCCATTCTTCTGCTTTTTCGAGTGTCAAAGCAAAGTATCGGGTGGAGTCTTTTGGATCTATGACAATAGGATACTTGGTGTTGTGGACACCATCCATCACGTGGTGGTCAAGCAGCTCATGGCAAAAAGCAGCCTCAAGTGCAGCACCTGAGTCTTGAGAATTCTCAGATGCACAATCAGACTACCGAGTTAAATCAAACAAAAGCAATGTGAGTGAATGAAATAGAGGGTTAGTTACAAATGTTCTGACCTCTTCAGAGTCAAACATATCCTTGTCAATTCCTTTGCCGATCTGTCGTTTTAGCTTGCGCTCAGCTGAGGCAGCAATCACCTCGGTACGTGCAGCCTGAAAGAAATAACTGTAAGAAGATGGTTTGAATTTCAAAAGGCTCAAGAAGTAGAACTCACCGCATTAGCTTGAGCTTTGACTTTGTTCGGATGGGGCACAAGATAAGAAATACCAGACTCTCGACCAGGAAAGAGGGCCTGACTTTCTTCAACCCATGTTTGGACTGTGTCTAAGTTCAACTCAACACGGCGGTCTAATGTCTTTGGAAAGTTGGAAGACTTTTTGATGTAGAGGGTCCACACTCCGGGGTTCTTCCTGCTGTTTGATGAATGAAGAAGTACTTTTTCAATGGATTTTTTGGTTGCATCGCTTTTGGCAAGCTCCATGCACTTTGCCTTCAGACTGTCTATATCAAAACAAGTGGCATGCCAAGGTACTACACTTGAAGTACATGCAATTCGTGTGAAGCCTCCTTTCCCCTTTTTGTCAGGAACCCACATCTCACAGTCAAAAAAGAAGGTGTATGCGTTATCGTCTTCATCAATTTGTTCAGCGTCAACACTGGGATGTGGGCTCTGTGAATGAGATTGAAGGAAGAAAAAGCTGTGAGCTTCATGAATAGTGATAGTGTGAAAAGTTCAAAAACAGCATACCATAGCAATCTGATCATCTCTCAATCGGGTAGTCACACTTTCATGAGGCAATGAATCTGGTTCAGAAGAACGGTCCAGAAAGATTGGGTTGATGTGATTGTTCTCCATGTTGCAAACTAGAGCACGTAAAAGATTAAATAGAAGTCGTTGTTTGACATTTCATCAGGCACAATAAATTTTTTAAAGAACATGTAAAATTGAGAGGCCTACCTAGAGCACACAAAGACGAGATGGAAAGGGTGAGGACACAAGACCCTTTCCACGTGAAGCTCTAGGCAAGTTTATATACAAAAGTAGCTGACAATTGTGTAAGAGCATATGAGAAAAGTGGTAAAGATAGATCATCAATCATTGATCACCAAACACCGATGACTGATCTTTGTGTGGTGAGAACAATCATCTGGATTGTTGTTAGAAAAAACAACAGAAAATCAATAAGAGATATGTTCACAGCATAGCTTGACTGACTTAACAAGATTTTGAGACCATTGAAACAATTCAACATCTCAAACCCATCTTGAAAGAGTGTGGGAAGGAAGAGCTGGCGAGGTGATGGTGAGACCAAGCTAGGTGAATTAATCACTGATCTCAGACTGTAATGTGAGGATGGTCATCTGAATCACACGATATGAAAAGGTTTTTAGAAAGCACACCAATAGATAATGAATAGAAGACATAGAGTGACTTACCAAGAGTTTGACCAGCTCATCTTGCAAGAGTGTGGGAAGAAATAGGTGGCGAGGTGATGGTGAACTAAAGGTGGGTGATCAAAAGGCTGGAATGGAAGGGAAGTCGCACCACAGCTGACAGCACCCTAAAATTTTTTTCTCTCTGCTGCGTTGTGACTGCTGCGGTGAAATCTGGGTCTAATTCTATTTTATTTTTTCTTTTTCTGACCAAGCTTTTTAGCAAAAGTAATATGCAAGAAGCATTGAATTTATTTGATTCAATTTGTAATTCAAGATGGTTTACAAAAACTTTGATAATTTTATCTTTGAATAAAATCGATTTGTTTAAAGATCAATTGAAAGATTCACAAATTGAAAATTACTTCCTTGATTGTCAACTCTTACCATCACATGCAACTGATCAAGATGGATTACAAGCTGGTGCTGATTTCTTTATTAGTACATTTATTAGTCTTAATCAAAGTCCTACTAAACATGTTAGGATTTTTCTTCTCTTTTTTCTCTGTTTCCTTTCTATTTAAAAGATTCCTCACAGCGCTTTTAGGCGCTTTCAAAGGTGAAATTTGCCCATAGCGGAGCGGAGCGATCTAAAACATCGCACCGCTCTCAGAAGTCATAGCGCTTCAAGAAAGATAGCGGAGCGATTAGCGTTTTATCATAGCGCTGAATCGCTTCGCTTGTGAAATTCTGAGATATAGCGAAGCGGAGCGGAGCGCCGGTGGTGTTGCCACAGCCACAACGAGAAAATCATGGTAGATATATACTGTACAAAAAAATGATGCCAAGAGCCTTGGATGTAATAACTGACATTGTGATAAGCTTAGCACAACAACTAAAGTTACTAATATTGTTTTGGTGAGAAAGAAATCAATCAAGAAGTGAGCTCAAGATACATAAGCTTGGTACATAGGCTCGATAGATATTATGAGACGAGTGAATAAGATGTAGCCATTTGTGAAACAGCCGAGGAAAACCGCATAAAACACCTCTCCAGGAGAAGAGCAAACGCCCTAGGTTGGACGTGCTTGAACCGCCCCACTTGATCATACTATCAAACCAGTATTCTCCAAATCTTCTCTCCCCAATTTCTGGGGGGTAACTCCTCTTCTTCGACTACAGATTTCATTCAAGTTAGCTGAAGACGTAAACGTGGAAATTGTTGATAAACGCGCATGAGGTATGAACTTACTAGCATCTCGACTTCCGGTAACTGAAAAAGAACAGTCAGCATCGAGGATACTAGATACTCCGCTTTGATAGTTTTGCCTCTTGTAACAATTTTGCAAGCGGAAAGACTTACCGAAATCCATATCCACCTTTTCAACGAGGCTGGTCCTCGTCCACCATCTATGAGCAACGTACAAGGCCAAGAAAGCCACGCATGGGAAATAACTCGTAAAGCTGGTGACATTATATGGTCATCAGTGGAAGATCGTTGGTGTGTCCTGATTTGAAAACAAGGCTGCCTCACAAGGTTGCAAGATCCCATCTTCCAGGAAGGAAGACATCAAATCCGTTGAATATGATGATGATTGAGCACAAAGTGAGGCCACACCATGCACCCAACGGTCCCACACTGGTCCAAATAATTGATATTAGAAATTCTGCTACAGATATGGGCTTTCCTACGCCATCAAAGAGATGACTCACGGAGATTGATAAGGCAATTGGGATCTATCATAACCCTGCGCGATTGTCCCAGCCTAAATTTTGATGGTTAGAGTCCAAGTCAGGACTTGATGTTCGGAAGGCGAATTCTACTTTTCGAAAGTTGGCTTACATGGAACCTGATATACCTGTAGATGTCAAAGACACGCGAATTCATTAAAACTAGAAAATATGAGATAAGAGATTTGAATAATCACGTGACAAAGATTCCCGCCCATGTTAGCATACCGGTCGTGCTCGTTAGAGATGCAAGGTAGCCAAAGATCTTTCCTGCCTGTGATGAAAGAGGGTGTGCAGCAGTTTAGATAGATGAGAGCAAAAAATAACAATGTACGGTGAGAACCGACTTACCTGTCCGTCACTAGCCGACATGAATGATAATGTGCTTTATTAGAATATGAAATCACAAAGTACCAGATTATCAAAATGTCAGCGAATGGCGTCTGTAACACATCAAATTCATCTATGTTACCCCATGGCAATCCCTATCAGATAGCAATATATGGGCAGTCCTCTAGCAGTCCTCCGAGAACTGAACATCACAAAAGGTCAGAATTGATTTGGTGGATATTTCAAAAGAGCTGTTCATACAAAAAATAGCTTACAGGAATCTGGGGGCATTTCCTGTGATGCTCAAACCATAAAGCGAACGACTGCCGATATATCTTGAAGTCGCAAAATGTCACAATAACTTAGGTTCATGACGCAAAGATAAACCCCAAGGAGATATTCTCACAAGTCTGACGAAGCTGCTGACCACGCTCCACTCAACAGAGACGCGTTGATAACTGAAGGTAGCCCTTTGATTCCCGCATTTTTCATACTGTTCTTCAAAAGTGTCAACATGTCTGACGTTTTCCCACTAGTTTTGTTTCACGTCCTGAAGGGGGACTTACGCGATCACGAAAGGTGACTTGGCACCAGTCTGCACAGCGAGTGAAAGTTGAGGGTCTTTGGAAGATACCAGAAGCGCTATTATTTGAACAAGTCGTCGGTTTAGCGCATCAAGTTAAGGGAGCTGCGAAATTGTGAATTCCGTACAGATTATTAACGTTCCAGTCACATACTAATTAATAGAATCGTCAGTTCGCAAAGTCCTGAGTGGGACAGACTGAGATATCAGAGAACAAGCTCACAAATATCAAAACTCTAGCTGCGACACGTTTGATTGCCTTGGGCAAGTTGCGCTAGGAAGACCAAAACTTTAGACCTCGCATTTTGGCTGTAGAGGGGTTTTGAAAGGCTTACCCTAGGGTTTTTGGCTTCTGCTGCTGCAATTGCCGCTGTAAATGCATAACAATATTGGTCAGCAGGGAAGGATTTTACATCAACTTTCACTTACGCATTTCAACACCGACGTAAGCAAATGCCGCATTGATGAGGACCGAAAAAAACCCAAGAAGCCTCCCAGTTGCCCCAGGGACACCTTGATACTATTTTCCAAGAAACCAATTCTTTAACTCGGGTCAATTCGATAGCTTTGCACTGGAGACTCACCTGAACAAACAAGCCTGGGGTAGAAATGTATTAGCCATATATTCGGTGCTTCTGATAATTGATAATGCTGTTTACCTGGATCTTTCCAATAACGGAATCCAATTCGTTCGCCCGTGACCCCCCCTAAGTCTAATATGATTCCGAGAATCACAACAGTAACAATGGTGAGGATCTTGATACTTGCAAACCAAAATTCCATTTCGCCTATCGAAGAGAATAAATCAGCGTATCCCGAAGGTTATCGCTATATGCCAAGAGGGAATGTACCATAGATTTTTGCTCCGCTGCATGGAAAGATGTACGGGTTAGTTCATGCCTCGACTCCAACACTGAAAGGCATTCAAACTTACCCCAAGTTTATCATTGCAACCGCAAAAAGAAACACAGTTATCCCTTCAAGGAGTCGCATTTCAGCATTGGTGGGGTTTACGAGTATATTCATTTGATTCATCAGGACTCACAGACTGCATTACTGACTTTTGTGGTCCAGAAGCTCATCAAAATTGCTGCTGCAGAAAGCTCAGCTATGAGGTAAAGTGACAATCATTCATCTGTTCTGTGAACCGCAAGATGTAAGGCTTTTCTTTGAAAACTCACCAGGTAAGACTATTGACCTGATGGAAGCGAGTGACATTCACATTGATGAATTAATTATGTGTTCAATTCAACGCTCGGATGACAACTTCCATCCTTATGAAACTCACCACAGATACCAATAGGACCATCCCAAGGTAAAGGCGAGACTCGGAGAAAAGAAACGGTCGGCGAGAGCTATGGAAAAACGGAGGTGGCTCGTTTCAGCTCAGCGAAAAAGAATTCATAAAGTCAAGATAAGATACCTAGATGGCCCCCGACGATGGGGAGGTGGGATATCATCTCTCCTAGTAGTGGTGATCATCAGAATTGCATCTTGCTCGTCAACATCTTCTCGCGAGATTGGCTTACCCAGACTGCACATGAGTGACCAAGCCAAAACCCCCGTTAGAGTATATCCAAGTACGAGTGAAAGGGGTCCGCCATGCTGCAAGGCGGTCCCGGTCGCGATGAACAGACCCGTGCCTTCGGAGTAGTCACGCAAGTCTCAGAGACGCGGCAGTGCTTGTGAGGAGCATAAAGAGTAAGACTATACCTATGGCACCTCCCCTGGAAGAGTTTGGGTAAGTGTCTTGGAGATCGACAAAGGATACATCATTCAAAAAACTCACATTGATATCATGGCCACATGTCTGTTCTTCAGCTGACGGTGAGCTTCGCCTGGTGGCGGTTGATGGTCGGTCTCGCTGACTACAGAATCGCGCCTGCTCCTTCCAATCTTCTCAACATCGAGGGCCACCTTATGCACTCCCATTGCTTTGGAGGATGCTACGCCGAGCTTACTTTCTGGAAAGGTCAGGGATGACGTCCTTGACGAAGAGGGAAACCGTGACTAAAAGCCTATGTAAAATTCACAACCGTCCGGACAGGCCTGAAGAGCGGGAAATGCAGCCAAACAACCAAACTACGAATCCTGCTAGGATTCGCGTGACGTGCAAAAAAACGACTAGTCGGGATACTTGAAGGAGAGCGCCGATTGTAAGCTGGTTCCCTATGAAGTAGCTTCTTGTCGGATCAATCCTGGTCCTAGTTGGTCAGACAGATGATACTGTACAGGGAAATTATCTCTTATCGTGGAACGAATGTCAGGGGACCTTTCATATCGGTCTGCGAACGCGTCTCCACTTTTTGTCCGTAGGAGATTTCTATCAAACTTTTGAAAATCATGGCTACGGGGAACGCGGAACGGATAGGGATACGAAAGCGCTCTGCGAAAATGTGTTACGAGCTGGCTCTCTGGAACAAGTTTCGAAGCTGTATAGCAGTTTTAGCATGAGTATAGGCCAGGTGATGCACCAGTACACGATCGATTTCCGGATTCAGTAGACCAAGCAATGAGATAAGAGATCAAAGATAAATGGCCATCTTGCAATAATTCGAGAGTTCGATCACGATGCTGGCATGCTGGGCGAAGGTTAGCCACTAAGAACGAGCATATGAGGAAACCAACGTCAGTCGCTGCATCTTGCCCCCCCTCCGGTTGACAATCAACTTCCGCGCCGAGCATATCCAATAATATGCTACATACCATCAGCGATAATCAAATTCGGTTGCTGCATTTGGACAATCGATAGACTTGCTCTTTCACCGCTGGTTCTTTACACGAAGATTGTTCAAGGACGATATGGCCTTTCTGTTCTCTCAGCTTCGGTTTCCCGACCCACGTTCGTACCGATTTTTAATGATACCCATGAGACAAGCAATACACAAAATGTTCGTGGCGCATACATATGGGCTGTCGACACTGTTTACACATCTCGTGAGGTTTGCTTGGGAGGCATGACTGACTCCAGCGCAGGCGACTTGGTATACAGATACGAAAGATACGAAAATGACGTTTTTGATAAAAGGAGAGGCCCAGCGTGATTCTTTTTGAGTTAAAGTTGGACTGCGATGTTTGCCCCGCTGTCTCCACTTGTCATGGCACCATGATCTATAGAAACTTGCGGAGTTACTCTCGGCCTACCATTCTGCGTTCTGGATAACAGTCTACGTTGCCCCTACGGAGTTGAACAGACCGGACAAACTTTAGCAAGGAATGGAGCCACTATCGCGATCACTTATCTTGTCTACAGACTACACCATTCGAAACCCGTTTGAACGAATCCTTACCATAACACGCCTTCGATCCGAATCTTTCTCGTACCTTTCATTGGCTCGCAGGCTCGCAGAACAGGACCCTGGAAAGCTCCTGGAGAACAAACCGTCCTGAGGGGGTTTTCGGATACCGGTGTTTTGTGAAGTCATGTCACATGGTACCAGAGATGTGACAGGTGCAAAAGATGCGCCTCAACGAGGGCTATCAGATGGTACACATGTCTGACCCTGAACATGACTGGTGGCTTGGGAAATGTGTGATTTGTAACTTTTGCCCCCCCAGACCGACGAAAATCCATACCGGCTCGGGTCGGGTACTTACATACGGATATCTCGGTGATTACACGTGGTACAAAACTGAAAGTATATGTAATCGAGAGCCCTGATCAAGGCGCTTCTCCTACCACCGAGAAATCCATGTTAACCCACCTCTCCTCGGGGCAAATAGTGAAAGTGTGAGGGCCGGGGCCGGAATGGATCGAGGACGGTTTGTTCTCCAGGAGCTTTCCGGGGTCCTCGCAGAACGTCAAGGAGAATGGTCAAAGAGAACGGTCCTGAACATTCCTGACACTGATGTGTGGTGTGGTGGACCGTGTCCGTGACCCAGGCTCGACACGTCGGCGCGCACCAACGCACTCTTCACTACTCGACAAGGCGCATCGAGGGCGTGCCGGGGCACTATATACATACAAAAATATATGTGGGCCAACACTCCTGTTGTTTAATGTTTGTATTTACATGCCAAAGAGATAGATCAACATTGATTCTTGCTTCACATGGATCTTTTGCTCTTTGAACCACAGGAATTGGATAGGGTAAAGGAACAAGCTATGCTCCAAAACTTTTGCAAAAAGGCCTGAATCAGGCTGTGGGACTAGCATCACTTAGCTTGACTAGACATATGTTTGGAAATCATAGCAAAGGCAAGGTTATTTCCTATTGGTGAATATGTCAATCAACTTCTTCTCTCTCTTGAATGGCCTAGTATTCAACCTCCTGAATTTGGATTTGATACAGAGCCTAGAAAACCTGCCTTGGGCTGCAAGATATCATCATGAGCTTGAAAAATGGGTTTGAAGTGATCAAAACTCAAAAAATTGACAACCAAAAGGTGAATGATGCAAATATTGAAATATCATATTTGAAACATGGATATCACAAAAATCCAAAATGAGATCCAGGTCTGGAATCACAAACCCTAGATCTTCCTCAAACCAGATACATTTCTATAACACAGTGGGATACCATCATTTATGTTTGCAATCATGACCCGCCTGTCAAATTCTATCGGAGGTCATGTAGAGCACTTTTGTACCAATTTGGTATCATCTTGTTCCTCACCTGCAACAATGCTAAAAAATACTACTTTGACTTGACAGATCCTGCTACATGAGGAATTGCCAGATCTTTTCAAGTAAATTCTTTGGGATTGGTTCATCTTCTTCAACTAGAGTCCAAGAGCACTTTCAGTAAGTTTGACGGAAAGATTTCAATATTTGAAGAACACAGCTCACCGCACGATCTACTCCCAGTGTCTTAAGGGGGGAATTTGGTTATTAATGAGCTGAAGAACTTGGCAAGCTGGAAGCAGCATACGACTTACCAAAGTCCATGCTTCCTTTGGCGACTAGCTTAGAGCCAGTCCACCATGAATGGGCAATGAATGTGAGAATGTATGCAACAACCGGAAAGTAGCACGTAAAACTAACATGCAACATGGACAAATGATTTTAGAACATCTCATGTTGTGCAGTCAAGCCCGAAAACTTACAAAGTCTCAAAGTCCCAGCTTCCCTTCAAGAAAACCCCAAATCCATTTGTGATGATGATGACTACACAGCAAAGAAGACCGCCCCAAGCTGCTTTTGGACCAAGTCTGTTTCCATCGCATGTCAGATTTAGTCCAGACATCCCACCTTGTGGTACATTTTCAAATAAAATGTAGCTTACGGCGATCGATAAGGCAACTGGGACTTGTCATATCTCTGAACGGCCATGCCACCCTTTTAAATTATGTTGTTTGTCAAAACGGTCCTAAGATTCAGTGGAGAAGCAGTGGGCATATCTTACATGAAACCGGATGTAACTGTAAACCCAAAAAATCTTCATCAGAAAGATGAAAGGGCGAAAAAATAGAGAAAAATTCTTACGTGGCAAATATAGACGCCCAGGTTAACAATCCGCTAACGCTAGTCATCGAAACCAGGAAGCCAAACACTCGGCCAGCCTATCGACGTTTTTTTTGTAAGCACGCACATACGACGTCAGAAGAGATTGTGAACATTCGCTGATCGTTAAGGGAGTAAATGATCATTGACCTTTCCTTCGCCTGCTGACATCAGCGACAAAGAACTAGGGAGTGTAAAATATCAGCTGGTCGTTTGAAATCGTGAGTGTCGATATAAAGACAAAGATGCGCTTCACCCCATCGCAATTCCAACGAAATAACAATAGATTGGTAACCCATTCGAGGTGAGTTTGGATCTGTTTCAAAAAGATCGGAAGCTCAGCTCTCAATTCTACCGTAAAGAAGATACTATCAAATCTCACAAAAAGCGAGGCGCATTGCCGCTGATGCTCAGTCCGTATAAAGTTCGAGTACAAACGTATCTGAAAGGCGGAGAATGTACTGATAAGTTAATTTTCGATTCCTTTGTCTTTAACACAATTTGAAGATAACATACAATATGGAGGATCCAGAGGACAAGGCTGACGTCAAAAGGGATGCATTTATGACTGAAGGAAGTCCTCTGATTCCAGCGTTTTGAACACTAGATGGAGGAAGAAAGTAATCTATGAGTGAAATGGCTACAATCAAAGATGACCATCGTCTTGTTGAAAGGGGCTCAAACTCACGCAATGACAAAGGGAGACTTTGCGCCAGTGGCTACTGCTAGCTTAAGTCTAGGCTCGTTTGAAGGCACAAGGAGCGCTAAAGTCCCAACCTAAATATGAGTGTGTGTAGTTCATCTTCGAGCTATACGCCAAGGCGGGACTGACATATAACTGCAGTTCCGGACACGTACTTTCAGTCGAAGGAGTCAGTGAAGTAGATCATGGCGCGCACTTCAAGAGATGAACCCACAAACAACAACACTCTACCAAAGACCCTCCTTATGGCTTTGGGCATGTTGCGCTGACCAAACCGCGAGAGTCAATCAGTCTTGGTCTTCAGTGGTTTGTTTCATTCTGCAGGTACATCACATACCCTTGGGTTTTTAGCTTCTGCAGCTGCCATTGCCGCTGCGGAAGAGGAATGTCATATGTGAACTCTACTTCATTTCCACATCGATAAATAATCGCAAAACCTTACAAAACTCTATACCGATATACGAAAAGGCGGCGGTGATGAACACAGAAAAAAATCCACAAAACCGACCGGCTGCTCCAGGTACTCCTGCATACTGATGGAAGATGATTTCAATACTCTGTCATGTGCAATTCGCATTATTGAGCACCGATTATGTTTTCGAGGTGACTCACTTGTACAAATGGACCTGAGGATTACAGAATTTATCAGAACGGTCGTCACACTCCTGGTACGGAGAACTACACACTGACCCGGATCTCGCCAGTATCGGAACCCAATACGTTCGCCTGTTACCCCCCCTAGGTCTAGTATGATTCCCAAGATCACAACTCCCACGATTGTAACAATCTTGATACTGCAAAACCAAAACTCCATCTCGCCTGTGCCAGCGTCATTGCCACAAGTTTGCTAAAATCAATGATCTTTATTGGCCATAAAACCTCCATGATGAAGACTTTTGGTGATTAAGAAAAATGACAACTGTAGAGCGCATCACAAAAGGATACTGACCATATAGTCGCGCGCCCCTGCCAGTAACTTACTTCAGCAATAGGACAACATTTGGAGATTGGATTTGTTGAGCTCACCCTAGATTGATGAGTGAAACCCCGATCAAGAATATTATCATCCCTGCCGATTTGGTATCGGGGATCAATATATTAAGCTGATGCAAAAAACTAGGGAAAAGATGACCAACACAGTGCCGGATTGATACTCGTCGTCCAGAAACGGATTAGGATTGCCGATGCAGCGAGCTCAGCTGTGAGCTCGGATAATCATAAGTCATACTTATTCTGCCTCGTGTGCAGAGATCAAGAGACTGGATGATGATTCTTACTTGCCAGACAGACAGACCTGCGAAAATATGGACGTCAATATCTCACTGTTACTGTCTCTAAAAGTGCACGAGACTGACCAAGTGTACCAATAAGCCCATCCAAGTGTGAATCCCATACTTGGAGAGAAAAAGCGAAAAGCGAGGGAAGTGTGACCACCGGCAACGGGAAGATGGCAGATCATTTCACCTGGAATTGTATGTCTCAGGACATCAAGATCAAGCATAATCACATCGATTCAGCTAGGATTGACTAACCTAAACTGCACATCAATGCCCAAGCGAGAATCCCGGTGAAGGCGTAGCCTATAACCAATGATGCGGGTCCACCGTGCGAAAGAGCCGTGCCAGTCCCTATGAATAACCCCGTGCCTGAAGTCCTCGGAAAAGTACTTGCCCGGTATCAGAGTTTCGATGACCTAAAACATATCTGCTCATAAAATTTGAAAGATGCGATGAATGTGTTTACCTATCGCGCCACCACTTACATGTATCCTAAGATCAGTAATTTTCTTAGATAGGCCCAAAGCATTCTCGGACGACTGACACTGATATCATGGCCACATGTCTATTTTTCAACTGACGTTGGAGATCATTTGTACCACTACTCGGAGGATCAATGTTCGAAGCGCTCGTGCAATTGTTTAGTTCCTTTTCCATTTCCTTTGGCTTTGGATTTATGATCATTCTATATATATACCTTTGTGAAAGCGAAACAAAACGACTTTCAATTTCTATTTATCAAATGGAATGCTGAACAATGGGAAGAAAGTGGGGTTTAGGCGCAAAGTATATGCTGAGCAATATTTCATCAATTTATGTTTAACTATTCGGTCCGATGTGCCGTTGAAGCTTTGAAGTTTTTTACGAAACCATCGAACTTCAAAGATTTCAGTACAATAGCTACATGTGACCAGTTTCAAGCTAGAGGCAGCGAAGGTTAAGTATGATCATCGGTGAACTCCCGCGAGCCTATAGTCAGCTATAAACACAAGGGGTTTAAAGTTCGAGATTCCCCAAAACAAAACGTGGAAAGGTCTTCTGTCTGCTGTTGTATACATATCCAATTTCCATGTAACAGGTGCCGTTGTCCCTTTGGGCACCTGTTTAGGTCCATGAAAATATGTGATGAACGGCACGAGACAGTTAATTCCGTAGATTTCGATCGATGATATGTAGATGTGGGTAAGACTAGATCTTCGCCTGATGGACTTGACGTGTTTAGGATTTAATCGAGTTTGATCAGGCTTCAAAGGGTCTATCTTTGGGGTTCCTCTCTGAGTTGAAGAGTTCTAGCTCAACACAAGCCCCACTCAACTGTAGAGACATCCCCCCGAGCCTGCGGAGGGGGCCTTGCGACTTATCAGCAAATTTGGCCTGATACCAATTTCAGTTTGGGGCTGGCTGGGACTATCTCCAGCCAGCATTTGCCACACATTGTATAAAACAAACCTCTCTAATTTGTCTGCATCCATTGCCGTCTCACATTGTTCATAACTACCCAGAAGTTCTGTTTATGTCCAATGTCTTTTTTTTGGAAAACGTGCAAGTGATTCCGCTGCGATCACGCGTGTGTTCACACATACAATGATGGTATTTTGTTTTTTAAGACTTACAGGTGTTCCTGAAGAGCATACACAACTGTTTGCATTAAAATTAGGGTTGGTACTAGTATTACGAGGGGGGAATAAGCAAGTCTAAAAGTGACACATCAGAAGAACAATCTACCTAACTTGTAAGATGACGTAGAATAAAAATTGAAGGAATGATGAATATAGAAAGCATCAGATCTAACCAATTCTCATAGCAAGTTTATGTTTGTCTCTGAGTGTTCCCATTTTTATTATTAGTTATAAATGATACTTAGAATCGCAATAATATTGTATCAAATTTCTGTTGTACTTTTTGCTCTTTCATACTGAAAATCTGTGTTGGAAATTATACAGATCACAAACATGTTCAACTTATTATTCAGTAGTTATCATCTTTTATCATAGTTCAAACAAGTTTTAATTTCACACCCGCCACCCTCTAGTCAGACTAGGGTTAAGGTTGATGCAGAAAAATGAAGACTTAATGCAGACTTAATGCATTTTGAATCATTTTGTAAAATAAATGTAATCATTTTTCACCTTGGAAAAATACATTGTAGTCACAGTGTTAGTTGAACCAAAGTTAGAGATTGTTAGCTGGGGTCAACTAATCTAATGACAATTCCCACAGTCATTGGTGTTACAAGAGGATGTAATGATCTGTGATGTTGACAAACATATAATCAAATTTTGACAAGAAAACATCTTGTGATGGAAGTTGGTTTTTAACAAATATGGTCAGATTAGTTACAAAGAGTTTTGTCAGATATTGTATTCATGTGTTTACTGTGTAAATACTTGTATCAGATTATGCTTTCTTGTCTTATCAGAATATTAAAGCAGTCTTTCTCCTTCTAAAAACCTTACCTAGGTAGCCATGCGCTCACCCAAGGTACACCAGAGCCCTTACAGTATAATTCAATCATCAAAAATCATTGCACGGTCACCTTTTCTTTTTTCTCAGTCTCTTTTTCTCTTTTTTGTTTCTACTCCTTTTGTACGGAACATGTGAATCATTGTTGTGATTTTTCTTCTGGTTACCTTTGATTACTTTGTTTGTTACTATTTTCTGGCTTGATATAGGTTGTGTTGTTTTGCAGTTTTTTTGTTTCCAGTTTTATATTTTCTCAGTTGAGAAATATCATTCTTGGTGGCTGTGTTTTGTCCTCCCTTGCATACCTTTTTGGTCATGGTTGTGTGGTCAAGTTTTGTTTTTCTGTTTCTGGTCCCTTTGTCACTTGATTAAGTGCAGTTTCCGTGTAGTTTTGATTCTCTGTCTCATGCTACTTCAGTTACTCTTGTGTCACAATTTTTTCTTGGGTTTGTGGACTTGGATTTATCTTTTTGTTTGTGGTGATATGTGTGGTGCATAGTTACATTGTGGTGAGCAGATTATGTTACTACTGTTTCATTAGGGGTTGGGCAAAATTTTGACCAACCGGTTTTGCGCCTGTGAGAAGCCCGGCAAAAGGAGTCAAAGATAGAGGCAGACATGTTTTCTGGGTTTCACACGTCTGTTATGGGTCTGAGCTCAGCACCAAGAGATTTTAGGGAGTGCCTGGGTCAGATTTTTCCAGAAGCAAAGGATCTGGGGCTCTGTGAAAGGAGCCAGAGGGGAGTTTGCGTGGCTTGTAGTGGCCCAAATTGCTTTTTGCTGTAAGAGTTTTGAATGGCTACAGCTTTGGCTTGATCAAGAAGCATATCATACCAGTCTACTTTTTTGGAAAGCAAAAAGATCAATAAAAGTTTTGGTTGGTTAAGAGTGGCTTTGATATTGCTTTCTAGCCATCTCAAAAGGATTCTTAAATCGTTGAACTACAACTGAATGAGTCTTGCAAACCGGTTGGTCAAAATTTCGCCCAACCCCTATTATATCTTGGACATCAAGAAAAAATAATAAAGTTGAAATTTCAGTTTTTAACTAGATTTAAACACAGCAACCACTGTATTGTCTGTTTTTTGTTGGTGAATCTTGAAGTTTAATCTACTTTAAGGTAGTAAAAACCTCATTATTTGTTTCTTGATGCCCAACATATGATGGAATAGCTGTACCAATCAAAAGATTGAATTCTTCAAAAGATATACTCTCTTATTACAGTTGTCAAACCTGAGGACTGTGTACAGGACCATGGACTAACAGAAACACATGCAAATATATGTAACTTGCCTAAAACCATAAGAATTACACCTCATGACTCAGCATCAAGAGTCACTTAGATAACAAGACTTAACTAATACTTAAATAGTAAAGTAAACCTAACCCAAACCTAACTCAAAAAAAGACAAACCTAAGCGCTAACCACAAGTTGACACCTAGGTCTGGAATATATGAACCCCTCTTCTTCCCACTCTGGAAGAAGAACAAACTTATTATCATTCCACAATTATACATCACAACTTACTTGATCCTTACCAAGAATTTTGAGTAAAGTGATTCTATTGTATTTGATCTTCTAGTTCTACAATCCTCTCCAAGCCCTCATAAGCTTTAAAGTGTTGGTTCTAAGCTAATGGGAATAGCTACAGAATCAAGCTTTAGAATTGCATAGGATACCTCCTGAGTTGAGTGTGAATTTGTAAGGCTTGAATAGCCTTCACTGGGATACTTCGGACGGGACGCTGTGAGGCACAGCAAAAGGTTTCTAGAACCCAAGAGATCCGATCTGTTATTTCCAATACCAACAAGAACTCGTCTGGTTCCGAAGGATAGGGGGCAGGAGATCAGTCCCAATATCTCTCTGAACTACAAGACTGATAAAAGGGAGAAAAGATAGAAATAAGAAAAGACTATACCTGGTTCCGAAGGATAGGGGGCAGGAGATCAGTCCCGATATCTCTAAGGAACCAGTCATTGATTGAGAACGAAAACAACTATAAATGAATCTGAGCTTAAGACTAAGTAGTAATATTTAGATGTATGTATTAGGGGTTGTGTAATGACCACAGGTCTTACAGAATTATCCAGCGTAGCCTTTGAGTAATCAAAGTGCAAAGCTCTGCAGGATCTGAGTGCAACTTCTGACAGATCTCTGAGTAAGATACTTTGAGGCATTATTCAGCCAACCCACTGGCTATTGAATCCTCTTTTTAGAGGGCAATTTACTGTAGTCTTTACTTGGGTGTACCAAGTGAAGACTATATCTTACCTACTTTTCACCTTATAGCCCTTGTTGTGCTATAAGTACCACACCAGTACCTCCAACCACAATTCCTAAACAAATCAAAGCAAATGTGGTGCTTCCAAAGCATAACTTGGCTCTCACCAATGTCAACTTGATCAAGCTGATTGAAGATAATCATATGAAGATATACAATTATCAAGCTAAAAAACTCCAAGTCAAATCTGTGGTTGCATTGGGACCCTGACTGAGAACAAAGAATGTGTAGGTTGGAATTCCAAGCAGATTGAGATCAAGATGTGCTCCAACCGTTATCAGTTGTGTTCAGGATAGATTATCTGGCCACCGGCTGATTTTAAAGCCCTCTCTGGCATCCAGATCCGACATGATATGCAGCAAAAACCTGGGCCCGGGTCTCATCTTGAGATTGAGACAAAGTGGTAAAACCTCACTAAGGCTGTAGATTTTTTCTAAATCACTCAAGTGTTTTTGATTGTTAAAAGATCAACAACTTTTCATTCCCAAACTTAATTACTCACCAAAGAAAAAGCAGTAGCCAATAACACAATTTTCTTTCTAGACCACACTAAAGCTTCACAGCCTCAAAAGTCTCTCACATATATAATGTTATACTCCTTACACAGGAGTTGTGTGTGAAAGGCGCACAAGGAGATGTCACACACGCGTGTCAAATTAGTCTTGCAGAGCTCAGCCGTTGCCGACTCCCTTTTCCCCATCTGACAATCATCATACCAAAAGGGATTACCTTGCAGAACCCCTCAGACTCCTTGCCTCTCGCCGTCTAGAACCCTATCCCCAGCCCATAACATACGAGTCTTTGAAACTCATCCATTCAAAGCCTTCTTAATGTTCCATTAAACCAAAAGAAAAAGCAAAAGAAGGTTTTTTTCTAAATTTTGTATTAATAAGTATGTATGATCTTTACTCAAAGTAAAAGTAAGTTTCCAAATTTCTCAGACTTATCCCAACCCCTCTCAAATAACTTAAACCCAAACCACATTAGAAAACCCCCATTTTTAATGTATCAATGAAGGACCAAAAAAATAAAAACATAGTATCATGATGAATTTAAATCTTACATAAATTTATAAAAAAAAATCATATTAATTTAACCAAGTTTAATCTGATCTTATCTTCTTTGATCATAAGTAAAAAAGAAAGGCTATATCATCAAATCAAATCAAATCAAATCAAATCAAATCAAATCAAATCAAATCAAATCAAATCAAAAAAAAAGTAAAATAGATAAATGTAAAATAGATGTAGAGAGAGAGATAGAGAGAGAGATAGAGATGTATACAATCATCTTAATGAAAATCACCACAAAGAATCAAATTAAAATCAAAAAAATCAAAATCAAAATCAAAAAAATTAAAATCAATCATCTTCTATCCAAAACAACAAAATCAACACAATCACAATCATTGACATAAAAACACAAAACCCTCCAGAAAAAAACCCAAGATCCAAAATCCCAAAAAGTAAAATTAACCTTAGCAAATCACCCAATAAAAAACCCCTTTCTCCCCCACAAAAAACCCCATCTCTCACCCCGCAAAAAACCCTCCTCAAAATCCCACCAAGAAAAAACCCCTCCTGCTTCTTCCCCTTTTACTTTCAAACCCCATGATCAACTTCCAATTCTAGCATTCCCATTCCCAGCAAGATTATTCAAAGAAGTAGTAGTACTCGTAGGTGTAGTAGTATCCTTAACCGAAAGATACCTAAGTGCCAAAAAATCTGAAGACCTACTCACCGATCTTCTACTCTTCTCATTCAAATTCATTCCAATCCCATTCATTCCATTCTCATTCGAAAAACTCATTCTTTCTTCTTCATTGGTTCCCAGATTCTGATGTTGATTTGCATTTAAAACTTGAGTTTGAGAAGTCAGATTAGATGAAACTGATTGTCTTCTATGATTCTGTTGTGTAGAAGATGTAAGCATCGACATAGATTTCGACATAAGTTTTTGAATCGAATGATGTTTAAAGATTTTCCCATTAGAAGATTTCATTGGATTCTTTTGAACTTCTTCTTGATTTGTTTCTTCAAGTTCATGTGATCTAGATCCATTTTCAAATGGAACACCAGTCGTCGAACTTCTTGAACATCCTTCTTGTGTTGTTTCTTGAGGATATGTTGAAAGTTCTTCATGTCGACTTAATTTAGATCCTCTCCTATTTGGAAAATTCGATACTGGTAGACATGGTCCATCAATCAATTCTTCATCATCATCATCTGTGATAGTTGAAAAGTATAAATTGTTATTAGGTGATCTAGATCCATTAGTTTGTGAAATCGGTGATGTTAATCCATTAGAATGATGTGCCGATCTTAAAGGTAATCGTTGATTAGGTAACGATAAACAAGATGGGTTTCTTCGATGTGATGATTGTTGTTCTCTTGCTAAAAGTGAAAGTGATGGGGGTGGTGCTAATGGTTCGTTATCAAGTTCATCATGATTCGTGAGTTGGGTTGGATTCACTCTAACTGCATCTGTAGACTTATGTCGTTTGATACCTAATTTCATCAAGAATCCATTCAAGGCTTTCTTAGATCGACTTTTCTGTCTAGCAGAAGATGTGGGTGGAGGTGTTAAGATCACAGCTGATGTGTTCGATTGATTGGGAAATAATTGAGGTGATGTTAATTCGGTTTGTGACATATTATGTCGATCATGTGATAATCCGATATGCATATCAATCATCGAACCAGATGGTGCAAAGGATAAAATCGATTGGGATGTACTTCTTCGATTCCGACTCCATCTTGAAAACGGTCTTCCCATACTCTCTGCAAATCCACTTCGAACACTAAATCGACTAGGTGATGGGGGTCTTGGTGATGCTGATCCACTTGAAGTTAAATAGTGGGGTGCTGAGACCGGAACGTTGGCTAACATATCTGTACTATTATTGTAAGTTCCAAATGAGGGTGAAGCATGAAGTGGAGTGACTGGTGATTGAGAGAATCCATTACGTGTGGCTGATGCACTAGAAAACCGTCTACTGGAGACTATCATCACATCCAATCTCAGTCAAATCAATCATCAAGAAATACCCAGAGAAAAAATCTTACTAGAATGTCGGTTTTTACTTTCACTTGCACGACCTTTAGAAGCCGCCAATTTCTCGTCTTTCGAAATATCCACCGTCTCGAGCATCATTCCATTAGATAAGATAGTAGACTGTCGACTTGGATTTCGATTCTTATGATGAACTCCATTAAGGATCGGAAGTGTCTTTTCACCCATCGATCCTTGACTTGATCGAAGTTGATCAATGTTTTGTAAACTAGTCCGAATCGCTTGTTCGACTCGTTCGTTTTCAACTTGAGTGGTGAGTTTAGCCTTGTGTTCCAACTCTAGATAATGTGCTTGCTCTTTCAAGTATAATTGTAGTGTACGCCATCGATGTGAAGCGGCAGGTGGATTCTGATCAAAAGCTGATGATTAGAATCAAGCGAAGGATTGAGAGATTCGATTCGAAACTTACGATTGAAGTCCAGGTCTTGAGAGCAGGTTGAGTTAATGGTGAACCGAATCCTAAACGTTTCTTTCGATTTGTTCGATGGAGTCCACTAGACAAAGAATCGTTACAGAGACTTGAACCTTCTCTTGAAGTGTTTGTGATTCCACCGTTGCTTCTAGACTAATGAAATCACCATCACATAAGACTCAAGATGATAGATGAAACCAGAAAAAAGAGTCACTTACCTTGAGACTTTCCAGTTCATCTGTTTCATCAAGTTGAGCTTCAGCAGCCATCGCATCTTGAAAATCCGCATCACTCTTCCTTTCCCAAACCCCAGGACCGAGTACATCGACATCAGCCATATCACGATCTCTCATCATACATTCTACACACACTTCAGCCACTGGTAAAGGTTGAGGAACTGAGATTGGAGTAGGTTGAGGAACTGAGATTGGAAGAGGTAAAGGTCTGATGATCGATTGAGAATTAGGAATTGACCATCCAGATGAAGTAAGAGGAGTGACACGTGTGACTTTTTGATCATTAAGTTCAAAGGCATGAGTATAAGGAGCATTGATTGAATCGAGATGAGGTTGAGGAGATTTAGTGATAGGTTCGGTTAAGTTTTGATTCTTATCGACAAATGAAGCTTGAGGTGGTAAAGCAGAAGTTGAATAACGAGTTGAATTCATCTTTGGAGAGGTAGCTTGTTGAGTGATAGGAGAAGAGATTGGATCAAGTTGAAGTTGAGTTGTGTTGGTAGGTGAAAAGCTTTGATTACTTGCAGTGGCAGTCTTGAAGTTTGATTGATTTGGTGATGATGGTGACAGATTGTGTTCTTGATTGACTGCTAAAGAGTGAAAAAGAGAGAGAGTATGAGTAAGTACCATGAAGATGAAGTTGAATTTGATAGGAGTTGAATGAATGGTCACCTGAGATGTTAGTTTGATTAGGAGATGAGATAGACTGAATCTGATTAGGAGAGAAGTTGAAGTTGAAGTTCTTGTTGTTGTTGTTGCTGTTTTGCTTTGATGGTAATAATGGAGAAGGTAATGGAGAAGGTTGAGAAGAGATTGAAGTTGATTTTCTATGATGATTTGGTTGTAATTCGTTCATCAAATTCTCATCAGCTACCCACATTTCCCATCCATTCTTAGATCGATCTACTTTCTCTGTCAACGTATCTGGCTGCTGAGAATGATCACCAACCCCAACGACTGCTGAATCAAAATCAGATCGAGAAGAAGTCATTGTAAAATAAAATAATATCAAAATAATCAAAATAATATCAAATTCAATCAATCAATCAATTCTATCACTTAAATCTGGAAATCGAAATGGTAAACAAGATCATCAACCAATCAAAATCAAAACCTTAAGATCTACAAAACTTTCATCTTAACCCAACTTACAATCTACACTAAGTACTTAATTACATATACTAAAATCCACTCAATCCACTTCAAAACTTATTCATCAAAAACCCTCTGAACATCATCAAATCAGAAAAAAATTGGATCTTTGACTCTGACAATACCTGAACTGATCTCTCAAAGTTATACTGTCAAGTGCAGTGCTATGGTTTAATCAAAAAACTTGGGCTGCTCAACAGTCTAAGTCAGTTCAACTATTTTCAGCCTTCCATAAAAAAAGCCATTGGCATGTTGAAAGTAAGTTTGATCAAATTTCATCAACTGATTTCTTTCTCTACATCTTCATTATATTCATTCAACTTCTCTCTTGAAACCTTTTTTGCATATGGATAGGAGAACTAAGGAGACTTTTGTTTGGATTTTTTGGACTACAAAAGGGAAAAGGCATTGGTTGGAGCAACAGTCAAGTATATTGACAAAAACTTGGAGTATAAATCAACTCATCTTGCTCTTGAAATGGTTGGTTGACAACAGTTTGGGGTTCTCATAGTGATCAAACCCATAGACTGTTTCTTGATTCGACATGGCCTCCATAAAAATATCACTCTCATTATGATTTACCACTTCCATCTCCAATACCATTTCCCTTTACTTCAATTTTGTTTCTTTCATACTAACTTCCTCCTTCCATTTTGTAATACTGACATGCTAGCTTAGACTATGTACAATGGATGAATAAGAGACCAATGGATTCAGAACTCAGATTGATGTTTGTCAATGCTGAAGCTTCAGTCACCTGGGAATTGGATTACTTGTCCAATCACATTCAATGTTATGCCCACAAACTCAACTGTGTAGTTGGACATGGTCTCACAGCTGTTGGTCAAATGTCTAGTGTTGCCTCACCATCTGTACCTTGTGGGGTTCCTCTCCCTATAGCTGGTATTGAGTTCAATGGTAGTGATGATGTGATTGAGTATGACTCTGAATCAGACAAGAGGAGCAACACTGGTTTGTCAGATGAGGCCAATGGTGTTGATGAAGATGGAGATGAGGATGGCAAGTTGACCAGTCTAGCTTGTGAAAATGATGACTTGGTTGTAGTTGCCCTTGAGAAATTAAGTTATCTTCATACAATTCATATCAAGTCCTTTATTCATATCAGTTCTGATGATAGATGATGTCTTTGTAACAGGGGTGGACATGGTCCCTGGCCAGATTGCTAGTAGTGCAGCTTGCAGGAATGCCTTCAAGACATGTGCCACTTGTATGGTTGAATGCTCAAACATCTTTACAAGACTCAGATTGTCTTTTCTCTCATACTCATAGTCATTCTTCATTGATACCTACAGGTCATCAACTCAATGATAGAAGCCAATCAAAAGGCTTGTTTCTTCAAGGGCATAACTATCTATGCCTCCAAGTGGAATGCTTTGCAGTTGGTGGACAAATTCTTGAAGGTGAGTGTATATCTCTCTTTCCTTGCTTTTGATAGGTAATACATCATACTCCTAGCTGAGTACAAACAACTCATCATAGAACTCAGACTTTATCAAGCAGAGGATTTGGTATCTGTGGGTCTTGACAATGTCATTGATATAATTGTGGAGCGGCTCACTGAGTATCAGCATGAGGCTTCTGAATGTGACACCATCTACTAGCAAAGATTTTCAATCCCTGATATTAGGACAAGTTTTTCACACTCCATTATCCTAAACATGACATGACATTTCAAATTTTGATGAACATTACCTTTGAGGATGTTGTGGAGAAATCTGAGGGGCGCAAACAAACAGCATCACCTAAACAGACCAATAATACTGTGTAACACAATGGGTTTGATGTGGTTGGATGTTCCACTGGCCTTGTGATCAAGACTTTCAGTTTAGATCTAAAAGACTATCTGTGCCAAGGTCAATTTCCTGTCAAAAAAGACTAATCTGCATGTGATTGGTGGAAGGTAAGTGTCCTCCATCTTGCCTTCTCATCAATTCTGAGTTAGATTCTACCTTGGATAATCTCATCTTCATTCATTCAACAGGAAAATCATTTCTGGTTCCCAATCCTTGCAAAACTTACATTCAATCACCTAGTTATCTCAGCAACCTCATGTGTGTACCAGTGTACATTCTCAGCCGATGCAGATGTCTGTACCCCGTCTGAAGGTATAGTGCTACCTAGAACAATGAAGCAATTGGTAGGCTCCCAAGCCTGGTTAAATGAGGGGATTTTTCCAGATAGTCCATTTGAAGAGGCTGTAAAAGGCCTTGAAGCTTACATTGATCACTTTGTAAAGAAGAAACACTACCCTTGTCTTTCATTTCTTACATATAAATCAAGTCATGAAACTTTGTGCGTGTTGGGTTACTTCCCTTTCCTTTTTCTTTCTGTTAGCTTTTTACTTAATTCGTGGATCATTCATTGTAGAAGCCAATCCGCTCTCCTACCTGACCCAACGCTATATTCTTGGACTGGTATACATGTATTTTTAATGAAATGCTCTGTTTTGTTCTTTGACCTGACATAGTGTGTGATATAGCGGATGTAGTGCGCTATATGACAGTCACATTTGAAATATAGTGAGGTCATGGTGGTTTGACCACTAGACAATCCCGTGAGTTTTTTTTTTCACAGAGTAGAAATCAGTAGTTCTCCAAATCATATAGCGCATGCTGTGGAACACTATGTAAATCAGTCATGTTTTGCTGCATTTTGTAGTGATCCCATTTTTGTCTGTGAGAAGTGGGAGTGAAGTTTTTTGTCTATTCTTGAAAATCAAACTCCAATGATTATCTTTCTAATTCATATCATCTTTTTTTTTGAGAAATTTACCTTTTAATCTTAGATATGTACTTGTTTTACTTTCCAGAAAACTGTCAAATGTGTCTTTCTTATATGAATTTAAGCAAAGTTGAAAAGAAATAAGAAAATTTACAGACACAATTGTTCAGTTACAAATTTCTTTGTATAGATCACTGAAACAAAAAAATGATACTCACAATAAATTCACTTCTGTAGAATGTCTCAATCCTTTTTCCTCCAAACCAAGTATCCTCAGAGGTACCAGACTTGTAACTTCACAATCTCCAAAATTGGAATCATCAGAGTACAAGAAGTGTATCTGTATCTTACTTAGAATCATACCAGATGGCTCCAGAAGTTAAAAATGGAATGGAAGTGTGAATCAACAGATCTCTTGGCCAATTACAAGTAATGGTTTATTGCTCTTTCTTTTCCTGATGTATGTAGAAGCTTGCACTACACAGTTGCTTGAACTATGGCAGGTTATATATCTTGCTTTTGTTATAATCATCACTTGGACCCCATGTAATCCAAGTAATTTATATCACACTTTAAATATTTTTGGGTTGTATCTATTGGACTTGAGCCATTCTTGTGATCTTGGTCATTCTTAAAGTCGCATTCAGATAGTTTTGATGATCAGGAATATGAATAAGTTACTTAATTTTACAAAAACATAAGTATACATACATTGACTCAATTTTGTCAAGATTTCATGAATTCTAGATCACACCAACCAAAGGGATATTGACAGGAGCTTGTATTTATATATGTGTTCAGTTGGGTTTGCCTTATCCTTCAAAACATATGGTATATGAAGTTGAACTTCCAGTAGTTTTTTCTGGAGAGCTTTGATCAAAGACTAATCATGGATCCCAAGGTTAGGTATCTTTCACATCAACCATGGATTATCAAAGTAAATCTTAGTCTTTGGTAAGATCTGATATGTAGTTGCGGTACTCAAAGCTACATACGTACGCGTACATAGTTGTCGTACATAGTTTCTTTTGACGGGGAAAAAAACAAAAGAAGTATATTCGAAGTATTTTGCCCGCCAAAAAAAACTATGTACGGCAACTATGTACGCGAACATAGTTGCTTTGAGTACCGTATATTGAAGATTAGAAAAAAAAGACAAGACACAATCATTGGAAAAAGATTGAGCCTAAGCAAGATAAACAGATAAGATATATCAAGATATGAACAGCTCATAAGTATCTGTGTACTCTGACACAGGAATAGTACATGATCATAAAAGATAATCAGTCTCATTGAAGCTATTCAAATAAAGAAACAGAATCACAACCCACCTCACTGCCCCACTGTGGTCCTACTTCATTTCCAGGCAATATTGTACACGTCTGAAAGGTGTTGTAAATTTATGTGTGAAGCTCTGATATATCCTCTTTCTAGAAGCTACATTTCTTTAGTAGCTTGTAAATCTCTTACATTTTTTTTGCTCTGTGAGCTTCTAGTAGTGGTCTTCCTATCAGACTGTGACTGTCACTACCTCTCTGCTTAGCGCTTACAATTGATCTTGAGATCATGTTGTCTGGCATGAGCTTTTCAAATGAATCCATGTGTTGAAACAAATAAATGTCATCTATTCCCATATGTGTAGCTCACAACACTGCAGTCTGGTCATCATGACAAATGTCTCAAAAGAAAAGCGGAAATCTCTTGGATGAGGATTACAATCAAGCCTCCAGCATTGAAACGCATTGGCCATGTTTGACATCAGAGGTTGATCAAGTGAGTTGCTGGCCTTTTACCACTTTTGGAAGGCTTATATCTCACGCTTCAAGTTGTGAGTTGTCCTAGGGTTTCATGCCCCGCCAGGCAATATGCTGAAATATTAGCAGTTGTATTGTTAAGCCATTCATCCAGGGCTCAAGAATGACAGGGATACCCCTGGGGAGTTAAAGACTTGCAGAACCTGAACGAGCTGGTGACCACCCGATTGTCGCCTATTTCTTGGTTTTCCGTCATCTCGTAAGTCATCGATTTGACTTTATCGAGGTCTGCTCAGCTCGGGGAACCAAACTCATGTGACTAAAGGTTATCATTCCTTTCCGCGCAACTGGTAAAGCCAGTGTTGCCGAGCGGACGGACAAACCATCGATATTGAACAGCCCGACCAATTCTGGCGGGAGAAACTCGATTGAACTCGCGGCGAACGGAGGGCACGCATGTCCAAATTTGCGTCGCTCTACGATTGTACTGTCTTCACGGTGCATGATTCAAGAACGTGTTGTTTGATAATCTGGTCAAACGATAGTCAAGTCTTGTATTCGAAAAGATGACTGTGGCCGATGAGCTGTACACAATTGCAATGAGACGACTGCTTGTGCTTCGCATCAAGGATTGACTGAGCTATCCCCTCGTAATTGAACGCAACGTCAGAATGCCTGGGTCCCACACCAGAAATCCAAAGCCAATCTAGATGACACAGCGCGGAGGCCGCTCGCCCGAGTCAATCAATAAATTGGATTTGATGAGATGCAATCCAAACCATTAACAAGTCTCATCAACTTCCAAGATGGTCTCAATTGAAAGAAATCGTCAAGGACGTCTTGATGAACACAAACCGAGGCAACGCTCATTGACATCGGCCACGCACAAAGTGGGGCCATACACGCAACGTCCGATTATTCCTGCACAATCGACATGCCTCTCAGCCAGTAGATATACGAGCTTTACTCACACCAGTGGATTCATGCTGAACAGAAAAAACAGATTGATATCGATGATGAGACAATGGAAGCATAGGCTTAGATTTAGACACAAGTTTTTGCAAACTATGTATGATGTTTAGATCTCGCATTCTTCAATTCCGTCAATTCTGGAATATCTTTTGATTCTTTGTGTTCTGTGATCTAGAAACAATTTCAAATGGTAATCTAGTTGAAGTAATTCTAACAAAACTTTCGTGATGGTTTTCTTCTGAATCTCTCATGTTCAGCAATTGTGTTTGCGGAAGAATCGGTCCTTGAGTTGATCCACCATTATATAGAATTGTTGAACATGTGAATTATTATTTGGTTAACTAGATACACCAATTTGTAGAATAGGTTAAATCAGTCGCTTTGAATTGTTTGATCCTATTTGACTCGGGAAGGATAAACAAGAGGGATTTCCACAATGTGATTATTGTTGGTCTCTTGCTAAAATTCAAGTGACAGTAGTGCCAATGGTTCATTATCAATTTCAAGATTATTATGCAATGATTGTGAATATTCACTCTAAAACCATCTATCAATTCATATTTCTTGATCCGAAGTTCATCAGAATTGAATGCAATGCTTTCTCAATCTGCGTTTTTGTCTAGGAGGTGCGGATGGCGGTGGTGTATATTGATGATTAGGAAATAATTGAGGTGATCCTAATTTGTTTTGCGACATAGGATGTCGCTCATGTGATAATCCAATACGCATATCAATCCTTGAACCAGGTGGTGCAGCTGATAAAACTGGTTGCGATGTCCGCCACAAAAAATGACCGTCTTCACTCTACAAATCTAACTCTAACACAAAATTGACCAGTTGACGGGTCTCGTGGAGATGGTGATCCACTAGAAGTGGGAAATTGTGGTGCTGAGATTGAATCGTGGTCCAACAAATCTGTACTATTATTTTGATGACACAAACTAGAGAGAGTGAGTCTTTTGGAGTTCCAGGAATTATGTTGAGATCTTGGGATATCTCGTTAGGCTTGAAGTGGAGCTACTGATGATTGAGTGAAACCATTACGTGTTTCTTCTCATGCGCTAGAAAATAGTCTACTTGAGGCTGTAATCATATTCACTGTCATTCAGATAATCCGGAACTTGTCCACGAGAAAAAAGAAACATGCCAGAATGTCGATTTTTACTTGTGCTTGCACAACATTTAGCAGCAGCCAAATTCACATCATTAGAGATATCCCCAGTCTCAAGCATCATTCCATTTGATGAGATAGTAGATTATCGACTTGGATTTCCATTCTTATGATGATGATCAATTAAGTTGAGCTTTGGAAGAGTCATCGCACCATAGATCCTCAATTTGAACAAAGTTGATCAATGTCTGGCGAACTATTATGGATCACATGTCCCTCGTTTGTTTTCAACTTGACTCATTAGTAGTCTTGTGTTCAAACTCATGATTTGAGTCGTGATAGTAAGATCAATCCCAACCGGTCAGGCAGCCAAAGGTATGAATCTAGTATGACAATACGATGTTAAGCGATGTATTTACGCCAAATTCCACCAGCTTTGGAAGTAGAAACCGGATCTCTCCTTGAAGATGTACGATCAAGCAACACAAACGTTGTCAAACCGTGTATCTGAACAGCTTGCTTCCTGGGTCTTGAAGACAGACCGACTTATTGTCTAGAGACACCGGTCCATTGTCCGAGCAAGCAAAGACCGTATAAAGACTTGTGAAAATGTGCACACGTATAACAGCACTAAAGTTTACCGACATATCATCCAAAGACACCGGTTCATGATTGAGCGAGCAAGCAAAGACCGTATAGCGACGTGTACAGATGTGCACACGTATAACAGCACCAAAGATTCCGGGCGGAGCCGCTAACATCTGAGACCTTCACTAAGAGATGGGAAGACAGTTTCCACAAACTGGGTCTTAAAGTGATCATACGTGAGGTGATTTGAGACAGTCTCAAGATATGAAGTTCATTTCTCAATGTGAATGCAACACGATTGGTGCATGAATAGACACATTGATCGATCACCTAAATCTGATAATGAAATCACCAAAGCTTCACAAGATGATATATCATGTTGTTTTATTTGTTGCTTGAACAACCTGTGCAAAGTGAATTCTGTGACAACTCAGATGTTACTTGTTTTGAAGGTACGCTGGATTCTGACGCGACCAAAACCGCGTATTGAAAGGAAAAAGCGTACAAAGTATGCCGAATAGATTAGGTCAACCATAATATGCAAATCACGACTTCGTCGCTGATGATTATGCATATCCATGCCTAGGATCCCGGATTTTTGACGCGGGGTCCTCATCATCTAAGGAGTACGCGTACACCATGCTAAGCTTATACAGTTCCTTTCTCTCTACCTGTCACCTGATCACTTTCCAAATCTCGCGAACTAGAATTTCTCCTCGTTTTGATCACATCACCCTGGTCAACTGAGTTCTATCAACTTCATCAAAATGACCTACGGACCTAGATATACCTTACATAAATTCCAGGGAAACGAAAGAGAAGTTTTCACTGGCGATTTTAAAGATGACTACGTGGTGAGTGATCATATCCTGTTTTGTTCTCTTTTCTACTCTCGTTTGTCCTCATCACCTTTCCTTGTCGATCTTTTCTTTTCTTAGAGCTATGCTTCAGGCCTTGAGCGCCGTGCCATGGAGCCCGATGAAAGCGCGGACTCTGTCTGTCAAAGGCCGTTGGTCATTCACCTAGACGACACCCTCTCTGCACCTCCTCCCGAGCCTACTGTCCGCTGTCGAACCAACATCAGAAGAATGTGTCCAGATGATTACAACAAGGATGGATTGGTATGTCTCTTTATCTTTGTCATCGTTATCTTACAATCCTCTACGCGCGTCCGTTCGGTATATTCATTCTCCATGACTTTGAAGGATTACGAATCGGGCAAACGTCGACAAGCGATCCGAGCCGCCCAAGAGGCTTCTCAACCCCAATCCAGTCGCAAAGAGCTCTTGGTCATCAAATGTGGATCAGATGAACCTTTACCAGTAGCTGGACCCTCATCCCCATCTGAAACCTTGATCGAGGCCAAATTAGACTCCATTGTGAAAGTTCTACGTATGTACCATCCTGGATTCCAACTCCTTACAAATCTAAATAGTACTGACACATCATACTCTGATCCGTCTATAGGTTCTCACTCACTCAACTCGATATCTGAGAAGCTCAAGACAGCCCTTGAAAAAACAAAAGGAAAGATGCGATCGCGAGCTCAAAGTCAGTAATTTGTACACTTTTTTATCCAAAATTCTCCATAGATCTACTGCTTCAACAAAGTCTCCAGAAAATTGACATTCTCTTCCTTCTATGTCGCAGGCTCTGTTGACCAAACACTTTCAAATTCAAACCCCGAACGTACAATCAAGCGACAGGGAAGATGCTTAGATGCTGAAGCCATTCAAGGCGCATTGAAGGAACACTTTGGACTTGAACTCAATCCTGCTACTAACTCAGAAGATGCCTATGGTACACCTAGTCGACAATCTCACGACTCTGATGCTTCTGTCTATAGTCAATCCTCTGGTGGTTCTGCCTATAGTCAATCCTCTGGTTGATCTTCATACCCAGGTTCATTGAATCTGTTTCCTCCTTCCCATCCTTGACTGTTACTTCAACTTGTATCTTGATTACTTCTCAACAACTTATATCTTGATGACCTCTTAACAACTTACATCTTGATAACTTCTCAACAACTTATATATTGATAACCTCTCAAAAACTTATATATTGATCACCTCTCAACAACTTATATACTGATAACCTCTCAACAACTTATATATTGATAACCTCTCAACAACTTACATCTTGATGACCTCTCAACAACTTAGGTATTGATGACCTCTCAACAACATATATCTTGATAACCTCTCAAAAAGTTTTATATTGATGAACTCTTAACAAATTATATCCTGATGGCCTCTGAATGTACCATTATTGCTTGTGATTCCTTTCCAATGACCAAGACAATTTGACTGTATTCCAAATGATCGAAATGGTGAATCTTACATTGAGATCAGATAAGCTTACATTGGTCATCCAATTGGATTCTATGAATCCTGACACGCAAGAGTGAGCGCATCAGCCCAAAGCTGCTCTTGTCATCCAGCCTTAGTGAGTCTTGCGTCTTGACCCCAAAGTTTGTGTTGAGCCCAAATAGGAAGAGCTTTACATTCCAGGTGAATTCAATACTCATCAAGTGCAGGCCAGTTTTCCAAACCACGCACATCAAGCTTCCCATTATCCAGTATCCCAAAGGAAATTCCTAAAGGTGAGGGATACTATTCTCCCCACAATATCCAAATTTTTCAAAACAGATCCAGAGACGCAGTGCACACAAACATCTTGGATTTTTTTTACTCTCTCCTTCAAAAAAACACATCTCCTCAGTTCCTCCCAACAGCAAATTACAGTGGACTCGTGGATCCCTCTGTCTTGGAAACATAGGTGATACATACAATGAGAAATGACTCGTGATCTTTGGCTTCTGCTCACTGTCTTCATTTTGTACATAAATGATCCATTTTTACAACAAAACTTTCATGTTTAAGATTGACTTTCTTGGATATGTTTTCCACAAATCCGTAGAAATATACAGTCAATCATCCAAAGCGATTAATCATGACAGAAAGTGCGGAAAGTGTGGTCTTTTTTCATTGTCAACATACTACATTGAGGTGTTTGGAACCAATCTATCTCAACCTGATATCTTTTTGATACTCTTGAAACAAATGAATGCCCCCAAATGTAATCCAAACCTCATAGCAATCCTCTGGTGTCCCTAAGTCAATTTATTCAAGTGCTTCATGCTCTTAATGATCCTTTTGATTTAATTAATTGCTTGTCTACAACCTCGCGGGCTGGCCTATCAGGTTGTCCCTCGCCAAGTGTCACTCGGGAGAGAATTGTGTCACACAAAATGTGAGCTATCATGATCCGAAATGGGGAATTATGTAGTAGAATTTTCGTGTCGTTGCACATGGTTTCGATATCATTCCCTTTGGTAGATTGGGATCACATTTATTTTTCCTTTTTACCAAATCCGACTGAATAGTCAAAAATTTGATTAAAATCTCTAAAAAGAGTTTGCAAAATCGGTATGACTTTCTTTTGTCTCTTTACCAATCTCTAGTGGAATTATCTTCTTGCGTGTGGAATATATCACTTGGATCCAGCCGAGTTTCTTGACTCGGAATAGATCTTGAACACATTTTTGCTCCCATAAACGCAGCAGTCACCTAACATCACCCGCCTTTTTCGATCAGAGACATCATGGCCTGCCAATACGATCCCAATTTTAGCTCCAACGTCGGTTTTCCCGTCATATGTTGCTTTAGTTGATGCCGTTCGTTATAGAAGGACGTTGCGATCACGATGAATACACAGAAGAACATTGACAACCGACGCTCCTTTCACCAGGAAACAAGAAAATCATCATTAAAAATTTGTGCCATAAATAGAATGTGTGAATAGACTTATGGAATCTGCTTAGCCCCTCCATGAGCAACTTGCAATCTTTATCGCAAAACAATACCTGTTATTTTTGTCATTACTCCATTTTGTTGATTTCGAAACCTTTTACAAATTGAACATCATGTATTTGAACTTGTGCTTTCTACTTGGTGGGTTGATATTCGCTGGTCAGGCTATAGGGGGTCGTATCAATGAATCGAATCCTCCCCGAGGTACAATAATGGTAGAACCTGGAAAAGGAACGTAAGTAGACCATCGTTCGGAAGGCGGATCGATCTTTGCACATATAATAAGCTGACACTTAATCTTACAGCTTGAGCGCGGCACTTGCTAAATTGAAAAACAGGTCTGGACCTCAGGCTATCTTATTGAAGGCCGGTAAGTTGAAGGTTTTCATCATCCACCCGGACATGTCCGCCATGGCTAAGAAATCTGTTCAGGCGACTATTATGATAATGCTGTCTTGGAGGGTTTTAATGGTGTCAGTCTTTCTTCATTTCATACTGGTCTATTGTTGATTGACAAGATTTGCTTTGACTTTCAGGGTGTAGTAATACAGGGAGCACGTGGAAATTCAAAGGGCTATCAGTTTAACCGTGTTAAAATTATTTCCTCAAAGAAAGGATTGGATGAGGCTTCAGCTTTAAGAGTTATGACGAATAAGTCAGGCATATTCCCTCTAGATAGATTTGAACATATAAACCAAAGTGATAGGTCCTAATGGATGTGCATTCTTTTTTCCGTTTAAAGTGTTGAAGTCTACAGCATGTGAGTTGATCACATTATTCAATCTTTCCAATTTTTTCAATGCTACTTTTTCTGATCCATAGATATTATTCAGTACTTTCATCAATAACTTTGGTACCGGTCAGGACACTCAAGCTGTGGCCTTGACAGCGGATGGAAACAACCACAGTAAGTCTTCTGCTCAGAGCTGATGGTCCAAAGCAGAACCGTGTCTCAAGGAGGCAAGGTGACTCAAATGTTCCAAACAGTTTACGGACAATGCAGCTTCCAAGGGTATCAAGATACATTATATGATAAGTCTGGTACACACTTCTTTGATGAGTGTGAGATTCGAGGTGCAATTGGTAATATCCTTCACCTCTCACAATTCAATCTTTCAAGACCAGGCACGAGTTCCTGAGGGGATCTGAAAGGAATTTGGAAATAACATAATATTTTTTTCTTCAGATTTCATCTTTGGTGCAGCTAGAAGCTTTTATCTGAATGCACACATTGGGATTGTGAAATCAGTCGCAGGTGGAACACAAATGTCAGTAAAGTTTTTTAATAATCATCAAGTTTCAACTTTTGCACCTCATTAATATTTCTCAAACATTTTGTACTTGCTTTTCTTCAAATCTCAAAACCTAGTGTTACTGCAAATCGTGGAGGAATCTTTGTCTTTCAGAGTCCCAACTTTGATGATATAAATGGGGCGCCTGCTCAATCAACTTACTATGGAAGAGCTTGGGGTGAAAACCCCAAGGTTGTAATGCAACACGCTAAACCACCAGCTAGCTTATCTAAAGAAGGTTGGAATATGACTCCAGCTGGTAATTTCAAATTTTCATCTGCTGGTTTCCTAGAGTACCCAAAGTCTCAAACAACCAATGGTCATACATCTCCAAAGGCCTACACAAAGCAAGAAATCTTTGGTAAACCTTAATAGCTCTTGCTAGTACAAAGTCTTTTCTAAGAATTTCTTCTTTCCACAACCTTGTTCTTTTCTGCCATCTCATGATATTGTCACTTTCTTCAATTTTTCTTCAATTCCCTACAACATCCATTTTAAACTTTATGGAGCATTTACACAAGTAATTAGTCTGTCATCTGATAGTCTTTAAAGACACTCCATCTCAACCTCAAGTCACACAACATCAAAATGTTTGTATCCTAATGTGTCACAATCACAGCCCCCAATCATGAGTCACTGGCAGGCCAGTGCAACCTGTAATGATGCACACGCTTAGCATCATTACAAGCATATTATCACAACCACAACTACACTTAGACCTTAGACCTTAGACCTACCAGTGTTTCCTATATTAATGGTATTCAAGATTCGAGAAGTGGCGTCCAGAAGTGTCACAAAGTGACATCCAGAAGTTTCTTGAACATGCTCAAGAAACTTCTGGAACTTCTGGAACTTCTGGAACTCTTCTGAAATCTATGTGCGCGTTTACGCGGTGACCACGCGGCAGCTCGGGAGCAGTTTTTTTTTTGAACACTTTACATATTTATATTAAACCTTCTTTACCTGTTACAAATTTATGTAGGTCTTATAAAGCGTGAAGTCTCATGATCAAATGGCCAATCTACCACCCTCCAACCATAACACAAGCGAAGCCCCGATCACCACATCCCAATCACCTTCGATTTTTACTCAAACGTTCCCTTTTGCTGTAGTTTTGCCATCTTTAAATCACCTTTGGAACCCTATGCCTTCTTACCATCCACCTAGTTCTCAAGTTCAGAGTCCAGCAAACCCTCCTCCTCAACGAGAAAGTACTCCCAGCCCTTTGAAGAAGGCTCCACGCCAACGCAAGAAGAAAAACGGCGACATCAAAACTTCTCCCGTCCGTCCTCGAACTTCGTGGCGCACAGCTCGAAACAAGGATGGCCAGAACGCTCTTGGTGTCTTAGCTGATTGGTTGTCTACCCCCGATGGCGATGGTTTCCAGCTTGATAGGTGGCGGGGTGATGGTGGAACCATCACAAAGACAAGTGTTGGCGAGGAAATTGCTCAGTACCTGGCCGAGAGAGGCTTTCCAAACATTCCTGGTACATCTGTAGAGGCGCAGGTATGTTTTCATAAACAGTCCTGGTTATCAATAATTCATGTTAATCATTGCTATCTTTATCTGTTTAGATACGAGAAATCGAAAAGGCCTTTTGAAAAGCAAGAGACATGCAAACCGGGACGGGTCAAGGTTCAAGAGAGAGAGATATGAATGATGCTTTGGCCGAGAAGGAACAAAATGGCTATGCTACTGATAGAAAAGTATGGCGAGAACTATTATCAAGTGTAGAGGAAAGATTCGAAAGTAAGTCCTTATATCACTGTAAGTATCAAGTTATGTAGGTAACTGACCTGTGGTGATCAGCACGACTTGAAAAGACCTGTCCCAATTATTACCAGCTGTTCCCAGCATTTCAGAGACGCCCAGCAACATCACCCGGAGCTGTTCAAGAGTCTGCCGACATCTTTGATGAAGAATCGATCTTACCAAACACAAATCCTAGCCTTCGATTATCGGATTTGGCTGAAGACGCTTCTGAAAACTCGGCGGGGCCAGTGCTTGAGGGGAGTGTATTCAATCTCGAACAGGTACTTAGTACTGTCAAGAGTCCAATCTTAGATCGATTGGAACCTAGCGAGGCGGATCACGGCCACATCAAGACTAGTGATGATATCTCAGTAACTGCATCAACCAACTCGATCACCAAATCGGCTAAGCCTCGTTTATCTCAACCACGGACCAGCCGTGCTTCAATTGAAGAGGTCAACAAACTATCGGGAAATTCCCCTCTTAAGAACAATGCAAACTCGTCCAATGCAACATCAAATTTATTATCACAACACTTGCCATCACGCGAAGATCGACAAGCCGAATGGGAATTCAAGAAGGAACATATGCTCGCTGAAAGAGAAACGAGGGAGGCTGAATTGAAGGGTAGCTTAGAACTTACACGGGCAATTACTCAATCTTTGACTCCACAACCGAGTGCCCATACCGAAGCGCTTCAGGGATTACAAATCAGAAGAGAAACATTAGAATTGGATCGAGCTCAGGCTGAATTCAACCAGAAAGTTTTAAGCGAATCCAATGATCTGAAGAGACGCAAAGATCTAATCGAGATAGAAAAAATGGAGAAGGACCTTGAGGGCGAAAAGAAAAGACAGAAGTTTGAAGATATTGCTATGCGAGGAAAGCTGTACAAGGAGTACATGGAGAACTTCAACATCAGTTTGGCCGAAGCCAAACAAACCGTTGATGAGATGCTCAACACTTGATCATCTCACCGTGTAGGTAAGATCGATTTCTTGTTTTAATCCCCGATGATCTTCTTCCAGCACCTGTCTTTCACCAGTGATGCTTACAGGTGTGCTTTCTTTTGGTTCTCAGTTTTCTCAAACCAATATTTTGTGAAAATGGTCATTTACGGTCATTTTAAGGGCTCATAAGCAAAAACGTAATGCTTTAGGAAACTCCAAAAACTCATTTGTATCTATTTAGTGGTACCTGTTCTTGAAATGAAATTTGTTGATTTTCATTTCACGTTTGAAATGTAATGAATTTCATTTCCACTTTGATGTATACTTAAGAGACAATTCGGTGAGAGAGAAAGCGAGTCATAACAAAAGTTCATTGCCACTTTGATGTATACTTAAGAGAAAATCTCGTTTTTGATAATTGGTGAGAAAGAAAGCAAGTCATAACAAATCATGGTACAGATGGTCAGAGATAATTGAGAACATTCTAACTCGACTTTAAATAAATTTCTTATGTAGAATCCAATATCTCCTTCAACCTCACGACAAAAATCATTAAATACATCATTTCTCAACGCATCATTGTTGTCAGCCATCACATCTTCCGCTACTGCTGGGTTATTCTCTACATAATCCTCTTCAGCCTCGCGTTCGAGTACATTAGGTAATTGATATGGGAACCTTGAATCTTCGCCTTCCTTCAGCAAAAAGTTATGTAATATACAGCAAGCCATTAATAGCGCATTTGTTCGTTTCATTGATCTTTCATCTCGAAGAAGAAGCCGACATTCTTTGACCATTTGAAAGCGAGATTTCAACATGCCATTAACGTGTTTGATGATCGTTCTTGCCTCACTGAGCATTTTATTGAAAGCCGCCTTCAATCGAGAGAGGTTGCAACTTGAACCGCGCTTGAAAAGGGGGAGTACACATCTTGTAGCACTATAGCCAGAGTCTGCTACTAAGTACTCCCCTTCGGTAAAGTAACGTTCAGGATGACACCAGAGCTGAAACATGAATCAGCCACAAGTTTGGTCAAGCTTTAATTCAAGATACGTTAGAACTTACAGAAGAAGTTCTAAATACCCTTTGATTGTGCACACTTCCGCACCACCCATGTCGAGCAAAGATTATTCTTCGCTTATTGTCGCAGACAATCATCGAGTTGAGACCATAAAAATACTTACGGGTCCAGTAGTCTTCTTTGCATTGGACTGGACCAAATGCTAATGGAACAAGCGTGCCATCAACAAAACCCACACACCCTTTTAAGGCGGGGTAATCTTCAGCAATCTCGGTTTGAATTTTCAGACGTTCGAGTGGGGAAGGCCATCGCAAGTACTCGTCTTTCAGCTGAACAATAGCAGAAACACATCGCCAGGTATAATTCTCCACACTACCTTCTGTTTTTGAAAACCGAGTCAAAAAAAAAACTTGAATATTGAAAGTATGTCTGAAGACTCGCCCGAAACACCTAATAAATGGCCTATGATTGCAACTTGTCCACCATTTCCTGCCAAGCCTAAGTTTGCCAAAGCCACCAACAGTTGAATTTCGACTGGAGCTTGAGGATTGGCGGAATTGTTCTGAAACACTTGATTACCTTCAATCTTATGAAGGAGCCGAAAAAAATTGTCCTTTGTCATCCGTGCCTGGATGAATACAAAAGTGATTAAACAAATCACGGAATTGAAAGTAAGGTAAAGACTTACAACTTTGAGGAAGGTTACCTCTCTCGAATTCATGACTCGATCAAAGAGGAATTGTGTTGTCTCTCGGTCCGGGAGTGATTTCCTGGGAGAGAAGTATCGGTGATTCTCAACCGTTTGGAGGGCTGCCAACCAGACTTCGGCGTTAGATTTGTTCAGAAGGAGGTCTTCAGATCGTGACCTTCTTCGGTTTTTAAGCGCAAGAACCAAAGCAAGTCGAAGTGTTGGTGTAAGAGGAAGATCCCTTGATAGTTCAGGAACAAGAAGAATAGTCGATAGTAATGTTGAGATGGTTGATGGACGAGTTGTTGATGCTTGAAGGAGTGGTTCGGCCGGAGGGTGAGCCATATGATGGCGTGCAACACCTTTGAGTCCTCTTAAGACTTGTCGTCGGACTGAGACCCGCGGCATGATCAGGTGGTAATCGTATTGTAACCAAGAAGTTGATGGAGGTTGATGGGGCTCTCAAAGTTATCCAGAAGTGTCACGAAGTGTCACTCCAGAAGTTTCTTGAGCATGTTCAAGAAACTTCTGGATGTCACTTTGTGACACTTCTGGACGCCACTTCTCGAATCTTGAATACCATTATTATCAAATTCTGCACGCTCCATCCTAGCTCCTCAGGGAATTTGAGACTGATCTCGTAATCACCATCCTTTGGAGCTAGGTAAGCACTTTTATATATTCATCAATTATATTTCATTTTATTGTTTTCTCTTTTCATTTCAATTTCTTATAAGCTCAGGGAATTCGAGACTGATCTCGTAATCACCATCCTTTGGAGCTAGTTCTAGTAATTCATCACTTATACATTGGTTCTAGAATATCCAAGGTCCACTATAGTGGCTAAGATCATCCGTTCCCTCCGAGAGAAACCAACATCACCTTTGACTTTAAGTGAGGACTATACGTCCTTTACACAACCCACTGGCATCAACAATTTATCAGAAATTTATGAAATGG